ACAGTGTTAATTAATGTTACTCAATTTCTTTAACATAATTAGGCATAGGACAATAACCATTATTATGGTACACCGCTGAAAAAAAAAGTCACGGTTTTAAAACTGCCGCTCCTACGGTATATATATATAAAAAAAAAACACATTTATTAAGTTTTTTTTTAGGACAACAGTATCTCCAGAAGAAAAGATCTCAAAAAATTTCATTTTAAATTGTAAAGAAATGTGTGCTTATGCTAAGATAGGGCTGTTTTTCTCCCTTTTCTCACTTTGTCCTAATCAAGGGCAAGCTGAGGGGGTGTTTTTTAGCCTAACTGTCCAAATGTATCTTTCTTCGTTTCTAAATGCTACCTCCTAAGATCGGTCTCCCCTGAAAAGTTGTTTGTGATGTTTCGTATATGGTCTGGGGGGTCCAATCTCGCTATACGAAAGTGTAGTGACAAATAAATTGAATTGAATTGAATAAAGAAATCTGTTTTAGAAACAAGCAGAAGTAAATAATTCCTTTGAATTATTTAGCCTGACATGTTTACTGCTCCAAAATATTATAAATGTGTTTTAAATTGCGTTTCAAGGGGAAAAAGTTTTTGTTTTTCACCCAGACATTTTAAAATAATATATTTTAGAGCAGTTATCACAATATCGCCAAATCTGATATTTTTATCCAAGGTTATCATACTGTCAGAATCTTATACCGGCCCATGCCTAATCTGAAAACTGTTTGATTAATAAAAACCATAAAGAACTGCTTATTTCCTTTTTGTCTTTGCTCTATTGTAATGATTCTTGCCATTTTAATTTTTATACATGATTCAAACCCTTACAAAATCAACCCAACCAATCTAAAAAAATGATTTTTCACAAATAGAGCTATTCAAGACAATTGGTGAAATTGATTATATCACAATATATATCCCAGCAAAACTAAATATCGCAATGTCAGATTTTTCCAATATTGTGCAGCCCTATTAGAGACACAGAGAACGACATGGGGGGGGAACACTGAAAAAAAAAAAAATGGGGAGACTCTGAAATAAGAGCCGAACTTCCAAGCCTCCAAGGAAGAAATGGGAGTACATAATGTCCTCCATGCTAATAATCCATGATGAAATCAAAGCACAGGGAAGGTGCCCATTGGCTGGAAGGCATTCCCCACTCAGACTGTACAACTTCCCCCAAGATCAGTGGCACCAAACTACTCTCTAAAGCCCAGTGTGTGCATGTAGAGCCTTCCACATGCGCCTTTAAAAAAAACATCTGCTTCCTTTTATGGGAATGAGCAACAACACAGCACTGTTGAGATATCTCCACATTCACAGCTTCAGGAATTTTTATGCTAATGCAAGCATACTGTTATGTTAAGGTTAGGTATTGATCTTGTATGCTGTTCCTAAAACTCGTCACGTACCGTTTGTGCCACACACATGAATGGTATCTCAAATCACGTGGCCTGTTAGCAGAGGAATGCCATTACTTTTCCAAGCAATCAAACTTGTGATTTGCCTTGTGGGACAATAAAACATGCAAATAAAACCCGAGCCATGGAGAGCATAATATCTTTGCAATGACCCAAAACACTCTAACAACCATAGCGATGTGTTAAAAACTGTAGAGGATAGTGCTAGCAACAACAAGATCAAAGGATCAGTTCTCAAGGGATGCATGACATGGATCTTTGCAATATAAGGCCACTGTGGTAAAATCTCGAGTCCCCCCTTGGAATCGAGTCCGCTTAGGACCCCAAGGGACCGTCTGTGGTGAATGTCTGATCAAAAGCTATTATTGTTATACCTTGTGTGGATAGTCAGAGCTGCATTAGCTTGTTGTAGCTAGGTAGTTAACAGCAGATGTATGATTATGCTATCAGATAAAGGCTAACTAAACAATACAAAAGATAAATGTACAATGTACATCCTACATTTTTAGTTTTGCAATAGATATTGTGATATGAATACAAGTTATCTAGATGCTAAATAATTAAGAAAAAAATTGTCCTTTTAGATTGATTGGGATGATTCTGTAGGGGAGTGCACAAATTATAATAACAAAAATCTACAAGCATAGATAAATTCAATAAAGAAAAAGATACTAATTAAATAAACACTGCCTTATTGTTACCCAGGGAGTCAAAATGTATTCAGGTATACAGTAATTGAATAATCAAATGTAAAATAATACTGCATAGTCTTCGTTTTATAAACAATTCAAAAACGTTTATTATTATTAATTTTTCTAAGCGACAAATGGAACAATTTCTTACGCCTGAATGATTTATAGCCCTCACACAGTCACAGGGCTGAAAAACACTGTAATGGTCATTGAAACGCTTTTTAAATTATATAAATTAGAACATGACCGCACAGAAAATAGTTGTAATACTGTACTTACAGTATTGTTGTGGGAGTTTCTAGAAGGTCTAAGAGCTCAATTGTCTAGCACAGGTGTGTCTGATTGGGGTTGGAGCTAAAATCTGCAGGACACTGGACCTCTAGGACCAAGATTGAGAACCCCTGGTTTAGAATATACGTTTTTACATTCTGATTTCAACACCTAATTATTAAAATAACTATAAATATAATAAATATTCTTAAGAATAAAATATTATGTGTTCTTTAAAGAGAGTGTATTTGCATTATGATGCTATTATACTGTTATAAAATGAGTGGCATAAAATGGTCTTAAAATAATAATAATATACAATAATATAACAATAATATTATTTATTGCAATAAATGTTGGTGTAAAATATCAGACAACAAAATAAATCAGATATTTTGACAGACCTTTTTGTGACAACATTACCCTGGTGTAACTCTATCTGCCAAATATATAAATTTACAAGTAGATATAAAAAATAAATAAATCAAAGCCATGATTACCAATAGCAACATGGTATCTAGCAACTTTGTATATTGAAAAAAAAAAGAAAAAAAAAAAGGACGGTACAAAAAAACAAGTTTGAAAACGTCTTGGTTCCAGACAGTGATTTTATGATGTTGACCACTAAATACTGTTTTGAATCATGTGATAATATGTTACTGCACTCTGGCCAGCATGCGTGATTGGCCCTGCTGGAAACACAGACAAAGCACATCTGCCTGAAGCGCTGACTCAACACCCTCACCAGAATGACACGTCCCACTTTCCAGCGCAAAAGCTTGGGCAGGATGACGGAGAGGGGTGAAACAGAGAGGTGAAAGTGACACTTCTGCTGCTTGTCACTTCCTTTGCAGCGGGATACTTCTGTTTAGTTTTTATTTGATGTAGAAAGAAGATGTTAACGTGACAGATCCAAACACAGGAAGAAGAGGTCTAGTGTAAACATAAGAGTATGAAGTTGACTTAAAGAGAGGAAATCCGATGGTCTAGCAGTACGATTAGTAATTTTTTTATTTATTTTTTTTTGTTGACATTTTTATTCGATATTAGCAGGAAATATTTACAATCTTCTTTCCAACATTACACTGTAAATGAATTATTGCTGCCTTCAATTTATTAGTTGAATCAAACTAATTTTTCTAGTCATCTCAACCTACATCAATCAAGTTGATAAAGAATATTACATTAAACTTTGTACAACTTTAAAAAAATTGTTGAATTAACTTATTAAAAAAAGCTAAAGAAACATAAAAATATTTGTTGTCTTGAATTTTTGTTATTAAAAATAATGGCGTACAATTAGAATTTGACAGCAAAAGCAGATCATAAGCAATAAGAACAATAATATTATAAATGCAATAATACACAACAAATAAGTAAATAAATGAAACATTTTTTAAAGGAAAATAATTAATAAATATAGAAATAAACTAATAAAAAACAAGATGCCATCTTATACCATCAATATTGGTAAATAAATTGGTTAAACAGTCATAACAGCTGGAAAAGCACACAGCAGTAAACCCCTATGAGTTTGTATTAAATAAAAGAACTCATACGGTAGTTTCTGAGCTGGTACAGTGGGCTGTGACTGTTTTATTTTGCATGTGTGAGCATAGTTCATTCGCAAAGTCGATGTGTAAACTTGCTTTACCTACAGCAGATTATCCATATTCACAACTATAGTCTTTGATTATAATCAAACTTCTGCTGATGTTGTTACAGACTATAAAATGTTTACATATGCATAAACCTGCATTATCATGTCAGGAAAGGAACAGATGCAATACTAGTAACATGGTTGGGTTTATGTTTCTACTGCACCACCTGAAAAAACAGTTTTTTGGTGAAAACTTGCTTTTAGTATTAGTTTACCAACAGTTTAAATGGCATGCCAATAGAAATTCCTTAAACCTGGTTATTTATTGGGTGGTTAATGCATAGAAAATGATTAAAGTCTGTCACCAAAGAGAAGTCTGATCATTCACAGGAAGATTCATTTATCAAGATTAACCGATAAACTGATGATTAACTGACTGGCTAAGCAGTTTTCAATCAGTAGTTGCTAGTAAAGTTTGGAAATAATAAAAAAAAAAAATGGAAAGACACAGAATTAACGTGACATTTCGATGAAAAACGACTGAAATGGTATTGGACTGTATTTTTTTTACTGTGTAGATAGATAGAGAGAACTTCCATTTTATGCTAACATGCAGTGACTACTGTAAATAGTCAATACATAAGTTGATCCACAGATAGAAATAAAATTTGTAAACATCAAAATCAATGTAAACAACGAAAACATTGAAATTAATATGCATTTAACCTTTAAAAAAATGTTTACCCAAAAAAAGTGGTCCCACTTTATATTACGTATCCTTTACTACTATGTTCTTGTATCAAAATGTAAATACAATGTATTTAATGTTTTCATACAGTATTGAAAAACACTTCTGGTGCTATTGAGGTGGCATATATGGGTAGGGTTAGGGACAGGTTTGGGGGTCTGGGTAGGTTAAAAATTAGGTTAAGGTGTAAGGGAAAGACCAACAGTGTAATTATAAACGTAATTACAGAAATTAATTACAGATGTAAATTAAATGCATTAAAGTGAAACCTCCTACCTCGTCTCTATAAGATACACTGTATAAGTCTCCTGCATGTTGACTGCATTCTTCCCGGTCCTCTTCTCTGCTTCAGCCACACTGATTTCCATCTTCTTCAGAAGACTTGTCCCTTTTTCAACCATCTAGAAAAAAATTGGGTCCAGAAAAATCAGAGTGTTAAATATGCATGTTATCACTGCAGCATTTCAACGTAAAAAGAGTTCACAGAAACAGATATTTCTAAAAGCATGCTCAGCCTTTTCGGAAGATAACAGATCATGATGTGTCTGCCTTGAAGGTCTTGGGAAAACAGTTTCTCTCCTGTGTTAACACATTTCCAGGTTAAACAGGAATGTTTAAACGTATCAAACGTTTATATAATTTGTGAAAATTGCCAAGAGTTTTCAATTTATATCTCTGTCCTGAATCAGGATGTATTAAAGGCAACACATCTTCTAGTCCTAAAAGTTATCCTAAAATAATGTGCTCTTCAGAAGCATTCACATGTTTGGGTATATAGTTCAATGCTAAATGTTTTCCCACATACTCTGCTAAAATAATGAGATAAACACTTTTAATAAACACAAGCCACTAGTTAATGAAATGTCAGTGCTATGCCAAATCGTTTTAGGTGTGAAGGATAGAGGTTCGTATTTTTTTCATAAAGAAAACTAAATTTAATTAGTTTATATAAATTATTAAAAACACCGTTATGATTATTTTATTTCTGAATAGTACTTTAAATAGTTAATATTGGAAGGTACTGAATACTTTGTACCGTGTTTCAATAATCAACAATAAAATCATAAAATTCATTCAAGCATGGAGCAGTAAAGAGATTCAAGCACTGGTTAATATAACACATGGACTATATAACATCAAGCTACACTTCTAGACTTGAGCACGTCAAAAGATGCGAGTTGACACATCAGATGAGTGTGAGATGAGTGTGTGTGAGATACTGGGTGTTTACAAACTACGTGGCAAAGGCTTTGCATTGACAGCATTTAGTAACGCTGCTTACATTGCCTAATATACAGACATTATTTATATAATTCTGAAACATTATGACAAAAAACAACAATATGCACCTAGCTAATGTAAAATATTCGTAAAATCAATTGATATTTTAGTAACGTTAGTACTGTTATTGCCATTCATGAGCCAAAACAAAACACTGAACACTGAGGTCCCGTACAGATCACGAGCTCATCCGCGCGACATCCACAAAACAGCACAATATCGGCCACGCGGTTTAAAGAGATTCAGCTACAGGTTTTACCGTGTTCTTTAAGTTGTTCTGTGACTCCGACGGAGTCAGGTCTGTGTTTCCAATCACCGCTATATCCTCGCTTCCTGAATCCGCCATGGTTTACCGTCCCGCGCTTGCGCGTTGCCCACTTTCACCGTTTCACTGAGTCTGTGCGCGTGCACGCGTGCGTGACATATAGAGTTAACCATTAAATACAATAAATACAAGAAAAGCACATGGAAATTATAAGACTTGTATAAATATTCAATACAAACTATATTTGACCATGGGCGTAGATTTTGCATGGACCGAGGGGACGCTTCCACACCAACATCGACCGACCTCTGAAAAATCCCCACTAATACTTTAATTTGCGCTGTCAATATTAAAATAGACATGCAAACAGGGTCAAATCACATTTATTTTTATTTATACCTATATATGAGACAAGTCTTTATTAAACTCTCTCTTTATCAGTTAATAAACATTCCTTTAACATTATACATTTTAATTTAATAAATTGCATGAAGAGAGGATTAATTAATTATATTTTAATAGCATTATTATTAATATTATTATACAATTTGGAGGGTATTATTATGTAATTTGGGGGTTGAAATCACCAGTCCCCACCAATGTCAAGAGCAAACCTTGCATTTGACTCCGTTATTGGTGTTCAGAAATGTTTATATAAACTATAAAAAGACTTATTTAATGATTTCTGCGGATTATTGTTATTTTCTGTTTGCATCACACATTTACATTAATGTTAAACCAAATATTTGATTGTATTACACATTACTTGCTACTTTTATTGCTGCTGCTTCTGTTGTTAATAAGAAAGAAAGAAAGAAAGAAAGAAAGAAAGAACGAAAGAAAGAAAATTTGCTGATAGATTGCACAAATATTTGAGCACACACTGGACTGTAGTTCATTGTTCTCTCTATGTATTGTGAATCGTGCTTTGATAAATGTAAGTTCCTGGGCGGATCCGCTCTCACTCACATCTGGATTAAAAACATCTGGATCCGCCTACACGGAACTCAGTTACACGCAGAGAGAGAGAGAGAGAGACCCGAACTCTCTCACAGATGAGGCTGGTTTATCTGAGTCTTTGACACGAGCAGATAAAGAAAATAAGGGCATCGCTTCAGTAGTGTGGATCTTCGGAGGACTGTGTGATATTATGGGTCTGTGGACTCGAACATCTGCTCTTCTGTGCTGCTTCTGTCGTGAGTAAATCTTCACTTCTCTCGTTCTGCTTTCATTGTCTGGAGGCTCCACGCATCAGAGCTTTGTCTTTGTGCGCAAAACTTCTTTTGAAAAGAAGAGAATAAGTTTAAACAGCACATAAACAGGTTTTATACAACTGTAGAAGGAAATGGGCACATATAACCGGGTCAAAGCATCTTGGATAAGGAAAAAAAAGCATGTGTTGACAGTTACAGTGAATTTTATGGAACACATTAAAGATATCTGTTTGGGTTTTTTGAATACTGCAAATACATTAAATCAAGTGAAATAAGTTCAACAAATAAGTTCAAGTGTGTTTGACTTGCTTGTATAATACAACTTTGTAGTTTTATTAGTATGTGGGAGTTGAAAACTTGCCCAAAATAATGGTTTTGTCTCCTGAATTTCCGAACATAAAATTGCATATTTCCTGCATATTTCTTAAACCCCTTTTATTGATATTGTATTATCCCCTAGATGTTTAAATGGGAGTAAATATGACAATATATCTGTCTGGCGAATATTTGAATTATTAGCTCCCCTGTTTATTTTTTCCCCAATTTCTGTTACACAGAGAGACACATTTCTAAATATAATAGTTTTAATAACTCATTTCTAATAACTGATTTATTTTATCTTTGACATGAAAAGCCTCTTTTTAGAGGAAAATTTCAGATATCATTTAAATGTTTTTTCATCTAAACTCTTCATATACTGGAAAACAAATATATTAACCGTTTATTTTATGAACATTTTTTACTTTGTTAATTTTATAAGCATTTTTGTTAAATATAACACAAATTAATGCACTGTAGACCCAAAACACAGGTCAACTATCCCTGTAAAACTATCATATGAGGAGTGCTCAAATGGCTCCTGTTGAGATGAAAATAATTTCAAGATTCATTAAAGTAAATACCATCCAATATATCATAGAATAAAGAGACTAAAGAAAATTAATGAATAAATAAATTAAATATATCATATTCATTGTGTTTTAAGAATAAAAAGTCACAGTAGCTACAGAATAAACAGCAGTTAAAAACAGATGCTTTTTAATAGTTTAGATCAGCAATATGCTATGAAACTCTGCACCAATAATACTCTTAATAAAAAACAGAATTTCTACAAAAGATGCCACACACTATAATCTAAAAAAATAAAAACTATGCTTGGAAAGTTCCATCAAGGAAACCAAATCTTGAGAACCCAAATAATTTTAGCCCAGCAGAGAGGCCTCCTTAAACGTTTTGGGTGTGTGTGTGTGCGTGTGTGTGCGTGTGTATAGCAGCTCCACTTACAACAACAATTATGAAATATTACCATGTGGGTGGAGAGAAGCAAGCCATCACCTCTCAGCCTCACTTATCATTTCACATCTACTGTCTGAAAAAAAATAGCTGGAGAATATGTGACCACATAGAGACACTGTATATAAAAATACACAACAGACATCCCTCTTGAATCCCTTGATGCTTCTCCGCTTTGTCATCACGATCGGCCACAATGGCAATATTGTAATGACTTAAACAGAGGGTGCAATGCTGACCGGGGCTAACCCAACACTAGTGACCTCTCGCTGGACACAGATGCTCTTTTTTCTCCTTTGTTTGGCCAAGAAGTTGTTCTTGAGGGCTTGGGTTTGCATGGTACCCGTGGAGGAGAGGCATCTTGTTTTGAACGTTGATAAATGGTTGATTCTTATTATTTGGCTTGAGATAGAAGATTTCATTGGTAATGACGAGAGGTTGCATCTTCTCTGACCTCAACAAAGAAACGGCACTCATGGAGTCACGGTCAGCTTTAAAAACAGCAACATCTGTTTGTCATGAATGCCACAGTTATGCTGGCGCTGCGTTCACTGTACTGTTATGCATTTAATATCAGGAAATGCTTTCAGGGATCAAGCTGAGTTTAAAAGAAATAAAAAAAAAAAACTTGGAAATCTGCCACCCAGTGGGGTGGTTTGATTACTGCATACATGGGGCCCCCAAAAATGCTTTATGGCATGAAAGAGATATGGGAGAATATAATAAATAAAACAGTCCCATTTGTGAAGGCTTTTTATAGGGCAGTATATATAATTTTAGGGTTGAAACCTGCTAAATTACATTTACATTGCAATTGTATTATTATGTTTTTAAATTAGAATTATAGAATATTAAAAATATTAGATATGAGAAAAGTTTGTTTTGACATATTACATGTGTGGGTGTTTATATGTATATATCATTTATATGATGCACACACATACATAGAAATAAACTATACAAAAATGTTACACAGATATTCAAATATTTATATAATTTGTATCATATCCACATATACTTTATATCTAAATATAAATATTTTTTCTCAAATATGTGCATGTCTGTGTGTATTTATGTATACATAATAAATGTACACCATACACACACTTAAATTATGCCAAAACAATCTTTTATTTTGGATGCAATTTATTTTTGTCGAGCACTAATACATACAGTATGTGTATGGAAAAACAGCATAAAATGAAATATAACTGCATTATATGTATATCATTCATATTCTCATTCAAATTAATAGTTTAGTATTTACTTCAGTTTTTATTATTACTATATCAATCATTATTATTTAAATCATAAGTTTTTATATATAACAAAATGCAGAATATTATGTTATGCATTATAATTTTATTTAATATATATATTTCTTGTATTATTGTATGTATACAATATAATATTAATAAAATTATTTATTATAAAAAATCTGCCAAATGCATACATTATACAAAATATGTTTTTATTATTTTATTGTTGTATAGAGGCAACTACTAACTGTATAAATCTGATGAATGTATAATTGTAAATGATAATAACCATTTAAGTTTATACTCTGTAAAAAGTTATTGTTTACTTTTCTTAAAAAAAGTAAACCCGTTGCCTTAAAGGCGGCAAGTTTACTACTTTAAAAAATGAGTAAACCTAGTTGGTTTTGTAAATTAAAATTAACCTTATTTTTATAAATAAGCACATAGTTCATTTATTTAATTTTGTAAGGCAACAGGTTTACAATTTTTTTTTAGTTAAGTCAACTAATCATTTTAAAAGCAACAGGTTTACTCACTTATTTTAAGTAAAGTTAACTAATCATTTTAAAATATAATATGTCAAAGATTCCAAAAGGATAAAATATGTCTCATGTAAAAAAAAAAATAAAAAGATAAGTAAAAGAAGAAATAAGTTTAAGCACTAGACAAATGAAGTATGTGGTAATGGGGTGGGAAAATAATAAGCTTGTGCTTCATCCCGCTCCATTTTCGATCATGTTGAAATCTATTTTTTGTTAATGATATTTCATGTAGGATATTTTTGTTTAAAAATAAATAAATCAAATCAAAAAAGCAAAAGGTTTACTCGCTTATTTTAAATAAAGTCAACTAATAATTTTAAAAGTAACAGGTTTACTCGCTTATTTTAAGTTAAGTCACATAATGTTTTATTAACAGTGCATTTACCACTCTCAAAAAGAAAGGTACAGTACAAGAGCTGTCACTAGGGGGGTACCATCCATATTGGTAACTCAAAGGTATATATGAGTACCTAAACATTTCAAGAGGTACACTTTTGTACTTCTTAGGTCACTATTTGTAGCCTTGAGGTAATAATGAGGACCCTTTAGTTACAAATGTGTATCTTTTAAAAAGGTACCACCCCAGTGACAGCTCTTGTACCTTTATTTCTGAGAGTGTACTACCACCACTGATAACGGTATTAAATATTGTGCAAAATACTTGGCAAAACCTTTCCGTCATTATGTTTTTGGATTACAAATAGGGAACGAGAAGGGAAACTTGCCTGAGCGCAAACCAAATAATTGCAGTCCAGCATCTCCTGTAAACTCACAGCCATTGCTATCCACATAATCTCTGAGGGGTTGAGCTTCAAAACTTGGCCGCTTTTTGCACTTCTGGCTTTAATTTATTTCTGGAGTGCTTGCTGCAGAGTTTAATTACTTCAAAGTTTATAGAAGCAGGGCTTTTGTGCTTAGCCTTAAGTTTTTTCTCTCTCTCTCTCTCCCTCTGTGTGTCTGTTGTATATTTTGATGGGTTGGCATCAGCGGACATCTGGAAGTCTGTGTAAAAGATCTCTGCTCTTTCTTTCGAAGCTGTTTACTGTACGGTCGCTGGCGGAACGGCTCCCACCCCTCATCTGCTTTTTATAAACAATTAATATTGTCGTGACGCGGTCGTATCAGGACAGAGGAGAAGGAATTCAGGCTTATCCCACTAAACCACAGGAACTCCTGACACTCTCATGAATACACATGCTTTCAGTGATCTGTGCACCAAAGCAAACACACATGCACACATGCACACAGACACACACCAGGCCATACACTGCATTCATCCAAATCCAATTAGAGATTTATGAACTCCAGATGGATCACGTAGCATGAAGATTTGCTCTTAAGCATTGTCTTGATTGCAGCTGTCATTACAGCTTTCATTCCTATAACTTTGCTCTACAGTCATTGGCGTCGTAAACAGTTTTGGCTGCTTTTATTACTGCGTTATAGTAAAAAGGTCTTTGTTATTTGTGTTCTTCGTTTTTTTCCCTTGTGTGTTCCAAGAGCATCATTTAAATGTTAAAATATAGGATTTTGTAATATATGATGATCATGCATCTTATGTGCATTTTATATTACCTTTAGCATGTATTATATTAACTATATTATTGGGAAAACTATGAAAAATTGGACGTCATGGTGGCGCAGTGGGTAGCACGATCGCTTCACAGCAAGAAGGTCACTGGTTCAAGCCTCGGCTGGATCAGTTGGCATTTCCGTGTGGAGTTTGCATATTTTCCCTTGTTGGCGCGAGTTTCCTCCGGGTGCTCCAGTTTCCCTCACAGTCCAAAGACATGCGCTATAGGTGAATTGGGTGAACTAAATTGGCTGTAGTGTACAGTATGTGTGTGAATGCAAGAGTGTATGGGTGTTTTCCATTGTTGGGTTGCTGCTGTAAGGACATCCGCTGCGTAAAACATACACCAGAATAGTTGATGGTTCATTCCTCTGTGGTGTCCACTGATAAATAAGGGACTAAGCCAAAGGAAATAAATAATTAAGATATTTGAAGACTTCTTAAGACCTTGTGGACACCCTGTTTTTACTTGCAAATTCAGCTCAATTAAATTTAGAGACATAATACAGTAAGACCAGCCTTTTACAATATTTTTAAAACTTTATATTTGCTGGATAAGTTGGCAGTTCATTCCGCTGTGGCGACCCCTGATTAATAAAGGGACAAAGCCGAAAATAAAATAAATGAATGAAATTTAAAAAAAATCTTTGTTATACTAAATTCATAAAAAGTCTAAATTAAATAGATAAAATCAAAAAAAATGAAAATCATATAAAGAGTTTCACTAAATTACTAAAACTTTAAAATGAAAAATACAAAAATACATTTTATGTGAGGTTACTATGAAATATATAACCTTCATTTTATTGCAAATGTACTATAAAAATCATTTTGCACTAGTGTTGTAGTTAAATAATATTAAAAACATAAAGAAAAGCAATGACTACGTTTACATGGACATCAGTAATCGAATTACTTGCCTTAATCTGAATAAGACAATAATACGATTAAGGTGTTTGCATGAGTTGCTTTTTGAATGTTTCTTTCATGACCCCGTTTTACATGTTACAGCACATAATTCCATTAACGTCATTGGGTCATCACGCTATCCACTTTTCCTCCAGAGTTTCATGTAATTTCCAGCCTGATCTCACGAGAAAACGTAAGTATTTTACGTTTTGGCAGTTTAGTGGCTAATTCGTACGAATTCATACGAGTTCAGTCGTAAGAAAATGTACGATTTTAAAAAGGAGGCGTGGCACCTAACCCCACCCCCAAACCCAACCGCCATTGGGGGATACGCAAATCGTACTAAAATGTACAAATTAGATCGTACGAATTTGTACGAATTAGCCACTAAATGAAAAAGTTACGAATTGCCGTGAGATTGTGTTGGTAATTTCAAGTGATTCATTTTTAGTATTTTGGCTTAAACTGCAGTTTGGCACTTTCACTTTCATTCAGGAATGTTTTACTCATATCCCTGTGACAAATGAGATATTGGATGCGAGCATGAACTGCTTAAAGAGTGTTGTTTTAATGGAATTTGATACTGCATACAGAATAGGAGAAAAAAACTCCGCATTTAGCGATGTGTGAGTCTGTGGTCCTTCACTGACTCGATAGGTGGAGAAAATAGTGTCAAACAGTCGTGTGTGTATGGACTATCCTGTCGCAAAATGCAGTAAAAATTCGGACGCTGATTGTTTTCATTTTAAACGTCGTTTTAAACGTTGTCAGATTATTGGTGTCCATGTAAACATACTCATTAGTACTATTTGAAATAATAACAGGAACTTTATTTAATCTGCTAACAAATTTTATATTTTTCAAAATATATACAATTTATATTAATAAATATTTATTTAGTTTAAAAAAGTATTTAAAATAAGTAATAAAAAAGTAAAAAAAAAAATTTAAAAAGCCTAAACAAACTAGATCAGATAGATAGATTTCACTCCAAACTACAATTCATAATTTATGAAAATAGCTGTCAATATTGTAAAAACACAGAAACACATTATGTTGTGAATTGTGGGGACATTGCAAAGGTTTTCATACTGTACAGACAGTATTTTCTATCACCCCACCCCAATCCTATCCCAAAATCAACCCTCATAAGAAAACTACATGCATTTTAGTTCCTAGAAAAAAAGTCTTTCTGTATGATTTATAAACTATTTGAAAATGTGCGACATTGTCCACATTTATATGCGTGTCCTCATAAGTCACCTCTTAATATTTGTCATATTTGTCATATTTCTATAACTATAGAAATTTGTGTTCTGATACTGTATGTCATAAACACACACACACACACACACACACACACACACACACACACACACACACACACACACACACACACACACACACACACACACACACACACACACACACACACACACACACACACACACACACACACACACACACACACACACACATTACATTTGTCATCTACCTATAATCTTAAAAGAAAACATTCACAAACTGACCTAAATTGTGCCTAGTATTTTTATACCATGTAAACCTAAAATCTTCTGGTCTGTGTGTGTTGTAGTTCTGCAGGTGCAGAGTTTAAGCCCCATAAAGACCAACCTGTGTAAGTGGTGTGATCACTCCAGTCCTGTGTGTGAAGACAACGTCTGCATGAGCAACTGCAGTCTGACCTCTTACTGCTTTCTGGCTGAAGAAGTGTGTGTAGCCATATGGTAAGTCAATGCTCAAGTCTTCATCAATGCAGTATATGTGACATGCCTCAGATCTCAGCAGAGCCTCTGCAATAATTTGATTTTAAATAATTTGATTAGAAATTAAGATGATTAGAGAATGTAAATAATCACCTTAGGCAAAATTAAAAACAAAGAAGTGAAAATATAATTTATTTAGCCACTAAATTTTCACAGAAGGGGTCGGAAGCAGAGACGTTATATTTAATTCAATTCACCTTTATTTGTATAACGCTTTTACTATGTAGATTGTGTCAAAGCAGCTACACATAGAAGATCATAGATTGAAACGGTGTCAGTTCAAGAGAATAATTAGCGTAGCTGCTGTTCATAGTGTAGATAAACGAGATGCTAAAACCTGCATGAGGCACATTCATGTACCATAGCGCTAAGTTATCTGCTTTGAGTGTCTGCTTTACTAAAAGGTCTTTAAACTAGTTTTGAACTGCGAGAGTATGTCTGAGCCTCGGACATTATCACGAAGGCTATTATCACGAAGGATATCACGAAGTCTATTCCAGACTTTAGGGGCCATAAATGAGAAGGCTCGACCTCCTTTACTCGACTTTGCTATTCTAGGTACTACCAGAAGCCCTGAGTTTTGAGGGTCTAATAAAAGTAACCCCAGTCTCTATTTGTTTGATATAATAAAACATAATTATCTCATTAGATCCATTGGTTCGGGAATAAGACTTCCTTAGTTGCTCTGCATGTTATCGATTGATTCAAAATAACCTCAGTTTGTATGTTTATATGCAATAAAAAGAATCTTCGGTTTGGCTGGTAGACTTGTTTCTGAATGAATAAAGTTAAACTCAGTCTCAATTTGTTTGATTGACTATAAAGAACCATTGGTTTGGGAGTCGAACTTCACAGGTTGCACACTAGTTGTTTTAATCGCCATCACCCTCACAGGTCACTGGAAAGCACTCCCTGTTATTCAACTGAACAACATATCCCATTATGCCCTGCAGTCACACACTGGTCATTGATTACATGGACCATATGTACACCATTCACACATAAATATCCAGTGCTGAGTAATCATTTACCCGTTTCATCATTTACTCTTTGGATTATTTGTCTGCTCCTGTATTAAGCTCTGCCTTGCTGACTACTTCTACCCCTGTTGTCACAACCTCACCATTACACTAGTTTTAGATGGGATAAAAATAACCTCATTTTGTATTTGTTTGATTTAATAAAATTGTCTCATTAGTGTCACTGTTTTTTCAACCGGTTTCACTGGTTGCGTTGCATGTGTTTGATTAAAATAACCTCAGTAAAAAAAGAATCTTGTCGAACTTTGAGTCATTAAAGATGAGCTCAGTCTAAGTTTGGTTATTCACTAAAAAAAGAATAATTTGTTTGGAAGTCGAACTTCACTTGTTACACACTAGCTGTTTTGATCGCCAGTAATGTAGCCCTCACAGGTCATTAGAAAGTACTCCCTGTTATTCACCTGAACTAAATATCCCATTATGCCCTGCAGTCACACACTGGTCACTGATTACATGGACAAAATATACACTATTCACACAAATGTCCGTTGTAAGTCTTGTTATACTGCAGTGAACGTTTCTGAGTGTTTTCTTTGTTTTGTCTTGCCATGTTTTGACTCTTTGTTTATACTGTTTATTGATTGTTTACCGCCTGTCTCCACATCTTCGCCTGATTCATCAGTCTGCTCCTTTATTGAGCCTTGCTTGACTGACTACTTTTACCCATATTGTCACACCCTCACCAATACACTTGATTTAGATGCATTAAAAATAGCCTCTGTTTGTATGTGTTTGATTTAATAAAATTGTCTCATTAGTGTCATTGGTTCGGGAGACTGGTTTCACTGGTTGTGTTACATAGTTTTGATTGAAATAATCTCAGTCTGTATGTGTTTATACATTAAAACAAATCTTGTCGCACTTGTCTCTGAGTCATTAAAGATAACCTGACGTCATTTTATAATTGGACGACAATATCTGTACTTTGTTTCACAAACTCTGTCCGAGTGCTTTAGTTCGGTGTTTAATCACAGAAGAAAGCATGTGTGGGAACCATAATCAGAAACAAATGTGTTCTATAAATTTGCCTCAAAAATGACAGTATAATTACATTTCAATTATATTACGGCACTCGGAATCTGTGGTGTAATTCAGGTTGCTTTTTTATGAGTTTGCTTTTAAGCTGCTTTCATCGTGACCTTCGAGTGACTGCAGTAACGGGAAGCTGCATGTATAAAAAAAAGGCTCTTCTCTGAGGGGTAAAATAAAGAGTCCTCTAATGCAGAACAAACAGCAAACACATTTATAACCCTCAGGAAAGTTTAGACTCTGGCAAAAAGAACAAAGTACACCTCCGAGCAGGGATTCCCTGGTTAATTTTTCATTCTAGATTTCATCTGAGGAATATTTTCCCTTAAGCCTGATGTGTTTATCTTGCTTTTGTAACTACTAAAGTCATTTTTTTCTATCATTTGTTTCTCACAGGAAGAAGGACAATGTGAGCGTGAGTGTGCGGACGCTGTGTTATGACCCCCAGCATATGCTGGAGAACATAATGCTGGCGAATTACTCGTCCAAGGAGTGTCTGATGAGCCCTCATCCATCTGAAGATGGCCTGCTCTTCATCTGCAGTTGTGTTGGAGATCAGGAGTGTAACGACAGGCTCATCTTTGATAAAGGACCCAATGGTACATTATTCAATTCAAAAGGTTGCTTTAATACTGAAAAAAATAGTTTTGTTTTACTATTTGGGACCCTGAAAACCATCATAAACCATAATGTACATTTATTTTTAAATTTGAAATGAAATTAAGATTTATACTTATAAACAGATGAGATTTGTACATACTTAACTAAAATAAATAACCTTTGAATAGATGTATGGTTTGATAGGATAGTACAATTTTTGGTTGAGATGCAACTATTTAAATATAAAATTTAAGGGTTAAAATAGGGTTAAAAATATTTGAATACTGAGAAAATCACCTTTAGAGTTTTCCAAATTAAATATTAAAAATTATGTTTAATATTTTTATGGTGAACTTGAAGAAAAATCTATAATTTTGACTCTATACCTGTGCAATACCTGTGCAACTTAAGACTGGTTTTGTGGTCCAGGGTCACATTTAGGCATAAACGGGATATGCAGTGTTAATGTGGATAAATATATGTATGAAAAACATGATATAACATCAGTTTTATTTCATGTCTTTGCAATGGCATCAGTGCCATAATATGTTAAATCTGTTTTTATCTCACAGTTCTCATTTCACCTATTAATTTACGAGTCAATTGCGAGAAATAAACCTATGAAAAAGGAACGTTTACATCTCGCAATCCTGAACTTGTTTGTCAGATTTCCTACTAAATGTCTTATAGTTGTAGGCTCTCTCACAATTCTGAGCTTGTACCTGACTGATTTTTTTTTTAGAAATGTGATATGAGTTCATACAAGTAGTTGTGAGTTTGAAAAAGTCAGAATTGTGAATTTATATCATAACTGTGGGAATTTCAGAAATGCAAGATAAGTTTGATAAACATAATTTCAGATTTGTGAGATAAAATGTTGTGATTTTCTATTGTTTATTTTAATTAAAGCAATGAGCTTAGTGAGTAAAGAAATACTAATAATTATATATACAGTTTTCAGAATTATTAACCCCCTGTTTATTTTTTCCCCCAATTTCTGTTTAATGGAGAGAAGGTTTTTTTCAAACATTTCTACACATAAATGTTCTGTAGACTATGGAAAAAAAATAGCTTAAAGGGGCTAAAAATTTTGCCCTTAAAATGGTGTTTAAAAAATTTAAAACTGCTTTTATTACAGACGAAATAAAACAAATAAGACTTTCACCAGAAGAAAAAATATTATTAGACATACTGTGAAAATTTCCTTGCTCTGTTAAACAAAAAAAAAAAAAAAAATTAAAATTCAAAGGGGGGATAATAATTCTGACTTCAACTATATATACAGTATAGTCGTATATATCGTATCACAATGTGTGAATCTGCAACAGTCACATCGCAGAATCTCAAGCAAATTCAAGTGAATTTAAACAATATGAACACAAGAAATTCTAAAGTTTCCCACTTTCACAAAGATTAATTGTGTTTATTAATGCCACGAAGATTATATCGTGTATTTTTACATTTGATTATTTAATTTCTGTACTTCAATACTGTTAGGCTCCACTAAAAACCATAAAGCTTTTTTTTATTTTTAATCTTTGTTCTATTGTGTTCATCTGTGCTTTCATTTATTTTATTGATTTTTTTAAATAAATTTGAACATTTTATGCAGATGCACTCACCTAAAAAATGTATCCCAATCAATGTAAAATTCAGAATTCTTTCCAAATAGTCCTCTTATGAATGATATTCCTATCGCAATATATAAATAACAGAACAACTAAATATAATATAAATATAATTTGTCATATACAGTTGAAGTCAGAATTATTAGCCCCCCTGTTTATTTTTCCCCCAATTTCTGTTTAACGGAGAGAAGATTTTTTTCAACACATTTCTAAACATAATAGTTTTTAATAACTCATCTCTAATAACTGATTTATTTTATCTTTGCCATGATGACAGAAAATAATATTTGACTAGATATTTTTCAAGACATTTAAAGGCTTAACTAGGTTAATTAGGTTAACTAGGCAGGTTAGGGTAATTAGGCAAGTTATTGTATAACGATGGTTTGTTCTAGACTATAAAAATATATAACTAAAAGGGGCTAATAATTTTGTCCTTAAAATGGTGTTAAAGAAATTTAAAACTGCTTTTATTCAAGTCAAAATAAAACCAACAAGACTTTCTCCAGAAGAAAAAATGTCATTAGACATACTGTGAAAATTTCCTTGCTGTTAAACATCATTTGGGAAATATTTTAAAAAAAGAAAACTCAAAGGGGGCTAAAAATTCTGACTTGAGCTGTATACAATATGAAGCTTCATTCATATATTAAATATTGGCATTGAAAATAAGCCAAATATTGATTTAACACAAAATAATTTAAAATATTTGACCACTGTCAAACAAAATGTTTACAGCAAACTCTAACGGCTCCAAAACATCTCTTTGCCCATCCAAAACTACCTCTTGTGAAGTAGCATTTAAAATGCTTTCTTTGACAGCAGCTGCATATGGAGTCTGTGTGTGCTAATGTAATCACTTCCCTTTATCCCCTCAGGATTCTCAAAGCTGAAGTCTAAAGACGTGATTCCAGTCGTGGTCATAAGCCTGGTTCCTCCCCTCTTAGTAGCGGTCATTGCGACCATGGCTTTTTACCTGTATCGCACACGTCAGCCAGGCAAAAAGCCCAAGGAATGGGGACCACGACGGACCCACTACCAGTCTCTTGATCCTGCCGAGGGCCAAGCTAATGGCATCGACTTTAGTGCCAAGCGGCCATCCCTCAGCGATGACATCAATTCAGAAATGTCATCGACTTGTGCCAATAATCTAAACCACAACACGGAGCAGCTGCCCATCCAGCTGGAGGCGCTGGTGGGTAAAGGGCGCTTCGCGGAGGTATGGCGGGCACGACTTAGTCATAATGAAAGCGGGCAGTATGAAACGGTGGCTGTGAAGATTTTTCCAGCAGTGGAGTATTCATCGTGGTGTAACGAAAGAGCCATATTCTCTGATGCCAACTTGAAACATGAGAACGTGGTGCAGTTTCTGACGGCTGAGGAGCGGGGCGGTACGTCTGCCACCTCCCAGAGGCAATACTGGCTCATCATGGCTTATTATAACATGGGCAACCTTCAAGACTTTCTGGTTGGGAATATTCTGACATGGGCAGAGTTGTGTTCACTAGCAGGCTCTGTGGCAAGAGGACTGGCGCACCTGCACAGTGACACGACGCCATGTGGCATACAAAAAGTGCCCATCGCCCATCGAGATCTGAAGAGCAGCAACATTGTGTTGAAGAACCAAAGCGAATGCGTGCTCTGTGATTTCGGCCTGGCTCTGCGACTTGACCTGTCTCTCACTGTAGATGATTTCGCCAACAGTGGACAGGTAGGAAGGACTGGCTATTTGAAAACTACAACCAATTCAAGTTTATTTGTGTAGCACTTATTTTCACAATTGTGATTGCATCACAATCAAATTCGTAAAAGATAAGGTAATGAGTTACTATAACTTTATTAGTTACTAATAACTTTAACTAATTAACTAGTAACTCATAACTTTTAACAGTTGGAGAATTATATATAAGCATAGTTAACCTGCAGGTAGCCTATATAGACGAAATTAGCAACCTACTGTACGCCACACATGACGTCACACGGGTTCTCGGTTGCAAAAAAAGGCCGGTTTCAATAGCAAATATGTCGTGTTGTGCAGTAGGATGACAAAAATAGAAAACTTTTACTGTACACCACACTGCTTTCAATGCCAACCGTAGAGGATTTGGCTAAAAGGGAGCTGAATGGAGTGAGGACCTAATTAAAAATGCTGAACTCTGCAGTTGTCATTTCATATCAGGTGAGTTCACGCTATGCTGAATCATACACATTACAATGTACTCGTTTTTGATTGCAGCAATGATTTCAGCAAAAACAGTAAATGTTTATTAAACTGCGAACACAGAATGCTTAGAATGAAATGTAAAAATGTAAGATCACGTATACCCTGCCATTCAGGTGAAGTTCGCTGTCAGAAAGCAGTTGTTTTGCTTGTTGATGATTACCCAGGCCTTGAACAGTTCCGTCTTCTTTCCTTCTTGTCTTTGGCTAGGCAGAACCTCGGTTTTTAGCACTACAAAGTTTTGAACCTGGTAATCATGGAACATTATTTCTTGCACATGACCACACAGAACAGCATTGTAGGCATCCAAAGACTTGTAGTCTTTTAACTTCTCTATTGTAAAATCACTTGGAGTTGGAATGAGATAGTTGTATATTTCGGATGGATGCTTGGTCGTTTCGTCTTATCCAATATCCTTGGGGAGGGTGCTATCGCAAATGGACCTGTCAGATGAACGCCGCTCACTTTAACATTAATTTTGCCAAATCACTGTGCTTATCATTGGGTGATGAGCTGTTATATTACACTGAAAGCATTACGTAAATAATATATATAATATGTAATCAATTTAACTTATCTCTAATACAACAACAAAATCTGTACCGCGTCAGATGTCATTCCCTCACCCTAAATGTTAGCGCTCCCGTTTTTTTCTGCAACCTCACTGCGCAAATGCTTAATGTTTACAAACATCGTCTATAGCATATAGGTGATGTCCTTGTGTAGGGGAGAGTGGGGACTGTTGCAACACTTTTTGGATTTCCTTCAGTTTCTCAGAGACAGTATTTTGTGGAAACCCAAAATTTTAAAATAATAAACTCACATGTATCAGACACCCACCCACATTGTTATAATATTTGTACATGTGATAATAACTGCAGAATTTAAACTTGAACAGACGAAGTCAAATGTTGCAACTGACCCTGAGCAGGGGTACGGTTGCAACATTCATTGAAATGTAGTGATAAAAAAATCTAAAAGATCAGGTTGGGTTTTATTTACATTTTTCTTGTAAACAAACTAAATGTAAATTGGTAAAATGTGCTTAATTGGCCATATAAATACAGACCATTAAAAGAACAAGCAACAACCATATATCAGGCCTAAAAAAAAATTACAAAAATATTTTATTATTGAAAATCTGGACTGAACCTTTACTAAACTACTCCTTAGAACTTTGAAATTAATTAATAAATCAATAAATTATTATTATTATTATTTTAATTTTATTGAAACTCTGGTAAAAATAAAATTGTACATTGTTAATATGGCAAGCTTTTAAATTAATTTTGTAATTGGGGACTACTCTGTCAACCCTGATTAAACTGTCTATGCTAACAGCTTTAATGCTTTATAGCTATACATTTTTAAAGCTAAAAAAAACAGTGAGTTAAATTATACAAATAAATAATGTTTCACAAAAACAGATTAGACAGTATGAGAAATTTTCTGAATATATAAAAGATACTTTTTTTTTTTTACCCAAAAAATGAGTTTTATACTGAAGGAATGGCCTAAATATGGCTGATTTCTCTCAGATTGAAGGAGGGCGTAACTGAGAAATCTAGTATGGAGTAATACATCTTGATGCAACTGACCCATGTTATGGAACTCTCCATGTAAAACAGTTTTATTTATAATAGCACAGTTATTCGTATAAGTATTTTCCAAGGGATGTTTAAGAGGTTTTTTTCCAACACGTATTTAAATATAGTCATTTTTTTCTCTTTGTCATGATGACAATACATAATATTGAACTAGTTATTTTTTAAGATGCTAGTATTCAGCTTAACCCTTTAACTACTCCTCTATTAAACTGTTGACCATGTTTTTACAGTTTTAAATAATGACTGTTAATGACATTTAAAGAATGACTGTTTTAATTAATGGTGTACACGCACAGAACTGTTGGTTTACAAACAAAAAATTCAAACAAAAATAATCCTGTTGCACTACTACACTAGATTTTGGTTTAATTGTTAAAAATAAAAAAATAAAAAACAAGAAAGCATGTTAGATGAGAATCTGAAATATTTAATGTTTATTAAATATTTAATAGAAATATTTAATATTTAATAAATACTTTTTTTTTAAGTGATTTAGTATCCAATAATGTTTTATTTTTAAAAATAAATAGATTTTACACTTCATATTTTCTGATTTTTTATAGTAATAAATTTCTATTTTATTTATTTATTAATTCCTAACACTTTGACCATAAAACGACATGTCAACCATTTGGTAGAGGCTAATCATTTAGAAATTATGGGATATGTTGAAAAAATGCATTGTGTCAACTAGCAACATAAGAAGTTAAGAAATGCAATCCAAACATTTTTTTCTTGATGGGGTAGTTAAAGGGTTAAAATGCAAATTAAAGGGTTAAAATCCAAGTTAGTTAGGTTAACTATACAAGAGAGGATAATTAGAAAAGTGGTTACAACAGTGGTTTGTTCTGTAGTCACATTCGGAAAAAAATATTTCTAAGAGGGCTAAAATATTGACATTAAGAATGATATACAACTAATTTAAAGCTACTTTTTATTCCAACCTAACAAAAGATGCATGACATTCCCCAAACTGTGAAAATGTCCAAGCTCTTTTAAATATCGTAAAGGAAATGTTTAAAAAAGAATTTGAATTTCAAACACTGTTAAATGCAGGGTTCCCACAATTCTTTCATGTTGTCCCGACACAAATCAATAAGGTTAACTTAAAGTTTTTGCAAATTTAAGTTGATTGAATGAAGAATTGTGTTGCTTCAGCTCATTTAAAATAAGTAGTTTGAACAACCAGCAAAAATAGTTTGAATGCAGGAGGGCTAATAATTTCTTCAATTAATATATATATATATATATATATATATATATATATATATATATATATATATATATATATATATATATATATATATATATATGCAAGATTGTCCCAGAAAAATGATACTATCTGTGGTCACCCTGTTGTTTATATGTTCAAACTGCCCAAACTAACACATTGTTTCTGGATTTAGGAGCGATTATGTAGTAATTTTCACCAATAGAGGGCGCTAAATGCACTACTCTGATTATTATTGGGCACAATTACTTTTTGTCTCTTAAAAGATATAATCAGTTCTGAACTGCTGAAACACGTCCTCACACTTTTACTTCTGAAACTGATCTACTGTAAAAGTTTGCATTTGCCTATGGCTGCAATCATCTTATTTGCTTGCAAATAACATCTGTTTGATCCATCCTCAAACTCTTTTCTCAGTTCATGTTGACAAACCATTTCTTCAATCACACTATTTGCCGCTGTGATTAATGTAAATGCATCTAATTGGCAATTGAATTCATAACCTCAACAAAAATACGCATGATTGACAATTATTCTCTAAACTTCATGATAGATATTTCACATACTGACAAGAAACTGTCTAGCTTGTACAAATTAGTGTGATATTATTTGCATTAAAATGTAGACATTGATTAAAAATGGATACAAATTGCCATGAGACTGCACTGGGAAGACCAAGTAAAACGGAATGGGTTTAGAAAGAATGACAGCAAATTCTATTCGGAAGAGCTCATCGTCAACGCTTAACAGAGGGTGTGTCTTGACGCAATCGTCATAGCAGTGTCAGCCAATGAAATTAATCAGCAATAGGCCACTGTCTGAGCTCGTTTATTTGCATAAAGCGATCTGATTGGCTGACGCTTCCTTCGGTGTTTGAAAAGTTAAGCAAGTCCCAACTTCTGGGTTGATGCTAGATCGGATATGTTTGCGGCCGGAAGTTAACAAGAATTGTATTTATTATTTATTAAATTTCCCATTCATTGTATTTTATTAACGTCTACCCCCACCCCAACCCTAAACCCAACCGTCACAGTAGCGTAAAAACAGTAGTTGTGCTGAGTATTATTTATGTTATCTATTAGATTACCCAATAAATAGTATTTTAAACGCCTACCCCCACCCCAACCGTCACAATACTGTAAAAATATTAATAATTGTTATACAGTGTCATAAAAAATGCTGCAATATTAATGTGCATATCGCACGTCCAGCCGGCCGCATATCCGATCTATACTCACTGAATCGGCGCTGACGGATCCACAATGTAGTTCGGCAACGCCTGACGTCACTCATTCAAACTGAATGGGAAGCATTGAAGCTCACGCCTCATGTGAATGGAGCGTTATCCCCTTGGGTTTACAGTTTACAGCAGGGGTGCCCAAACTCAGTCCAGGAGTGCTGGTGTCCAAGAGAGAGTTTAGCTTCAACCCTAATCAAACACACTGAACAAGCTAATCAAGCTCTAGGTATACTAGAAACATCCTAGCAGGTGGTTTGAAGCAAGTTAGAGCTAAACTCTGCTTCATAGGGACAAGTCCTTTGGACTTAATATGCTGTTCGACACCAAACAACTTCCATAGACAAAAAATCATGGAAGCTCAGTGTTCATCAATTGTAAATTGGGCCCTACGAAGAGGCCAGTTTTGAGCACCACGGTTTAATATGGCCACCATGATTGTTTTCACTCCCAAGTGCATTTTGGAGAGCGATATATCTAGTTTGGCATGCATATTTTAATAAGTAGTTTGGGACTATTAGAGGCGGTACGGGAGCAATCTTTACTGATGCTCCAGGCAAACAACAATCACGCCGCCCTCATGAAAGTGAAGATTGCTTCATGCTTATATTGCCTATGCCTAAATATGCCACTGATTAGAGAAGGGATGTAAAATGTGCATTATGATAAAATCAAAGTATATAGTACATGCACTATTAACTAAAAACTAAACCATAATAGGGGTACTTAAAAGATGTGGACTGAACCCAAACATCTAAACATTTCTAATTCAACATTTTTGTGTGCTTTCCTCACCATCTTTAGGGACTATGTTTAGACCACTTAAGCAGAAATTTTGACTAAAAATAAAAAGGTTAGAAGCCAGTATAGTCACCCAAAACACCCATGTAATGTCTGCATAGTTTCCAGAAAGAGAGCTTCAAACGTTCACAGAAAACAGCCATTCCAAAACAGATCAATGAAAGTATGATCTGAGTGGGAAGAACTGCAGCAGGCATGAAGATCAATTCTTCAAGCTCTCTCAGTGCAACCTAAAAGCTCTGTGGTTGATTTGTAAAGGTCATGGATTTAATCACATTACACCAATGGTAATTCAATTTGAGGAAGTTTCGAATCACATGGTCTGTGTTCGTCTAGGTGGGAACTGCCCGCTATATGGCCCCAGAAGTTCTGGAGTCCAGGGTGAATCTCGAGGACCTGGAGTCCTTTAAACAGATTGATATCTACTCCATGGCTCTAGTGATGTGGGAAATGGTCTCTAGGTGTGACGTCATAGGAGGCAAGTAAAGCTCTCGATGCATATATTCTCTTGAGGTTAAAACCACGCCATAATGTTATGAAGTATCTGTTTGGTTTTCAACAGAGGTAAAGAGTTACGAACCTCCATTTGGCTCCAAAGTGTGTGAGCAGCCGTGTGTGGACAGCATGAGAGACCTGGTGTTGAGAGACCGAGGAAGACCAGATATTCCAGACAGCTGGACCACACATTCAGTGGGTGCACAATTATAACTGTGGATTTATGAAGTGCAAAACACTGGGTTATATATGAATATTTGAATGTCATTTTTAAGCAGCACTGTAGGGTTTTTTTTACATTAAAATTATGTCTAAAATGATTTCAGTGGTAGAATAACTTTTAAACGGGTCCTATTATGCAAAATCATTTTAAAAGGAGTTTAAATACAGTTGTGTGGCAACAGTGTGTGAATATAACCAGCTTCCAATGGTAAAAATATAATAATTTTATTTCTTATAATCACACTTGATATAACCAGTCTGCAGAAACACTTTGATTGACATTCTCCCATTGTACATGTCATCAGAAGTGAAAAGCCCCGCCCACCAGTGACAACCTCTCCCTATAGCATATGACGTTAGTCTTGTTTTTGAAACTGCCACTATGCTGACACATAGGCATTTGTAGCTCCGCCCTCTTTTGAAATGCACAATCTCATTTGAATTTAAAGCGACAGTCACCAAAACCGCACAATTAGGATCAAAGCCTAAAAGGGGCTGTTTCAAAGAGTTCTAAAACATTATTTGTGGGGTATTTTGAGCTGAAACTTCACATACACACTCTAGAGACATCAGAGACGTATTTTATAGATTGTTGAAAGGGGCACAGTAGTTCCCCTTTAAGAAGATGAATTGTCTCTATGGACATATAAAGAAATGTGATCTGCTGTAAGTCACATACTTCACATGTTTTCGTAGCCTATTTGGAGTTTGACAAAAATGTGAGACAAAACATTTTGAATTAGATTGAACAGACCAGGCGACGCAGTGGCGCAGTGGGTAGCACGGTCACCTCACAGCAAGAAGGTTGCTGGGTCGCTGGTTCGATCCTCGGCTCAGTTGGCGTTTCTGTGTGGAGTTTGCATGTTCTCCCTGCATTCGCGTGGGTGTGCTCCGGTTTCCCCCACAGTCCAAAGATGCGGTACAGGTGAATTGGGTAGGCTAAATTGTCCGTAGTGTATGAGTGTGTGTGTGTATGTGTGGATGTTTCCCAGAGATGGGTTGCGGCTGGAAGGGCATCCGCTGCGTAAAAACTTGCTGGATAAGTTGGCGGTTCATTCCGCTGTGGCGACCCCAGATTAATAAAGGGACTTTTTGGGAATTTTGGGTTTACGTCTCACCATTTTTACTTTTTTTAAACAGAATTCTAAGTTTACATTTTGCAATTTTGACTTTAACCAGAATTCTGAATTCCATCATTTTTCACTTTATAAAAAAATGTAAATTAGAGTTTCCATGTTGCAATCCTTGTTTTCCCTCACAATTCAGACTTTTTATGCATTGAATTGAAGGTTTTATTTTAAAAATCTAGGTAAAACGTTAATTTAAGTATCAATTCTGAGTTTACATTTTGGAATTTTGACTTTTTTATATAGATTTCTGAATTCACATCCATCATTTTTCACATTTAAAAAAAAATCTGAATAAGAGTTTCCATCTCGCAATACTTCTTTCCCCTCAGAATTCTGACTTTTTTTCTTCAGATTTGAAGTTTCATATCAAAAATCTGGGCCACAGCTTAGCTCAGTGGGTAGTACAGCCGCCTCACAGCAATAATATATAAGCTAAATTGTCTGTAGTGTGTAGATGTGTGCGAATGAGTGTGTATGGCTGTTTCCCAATGCTGCGTTGCGGCTGGAAGGGCATCTGCTGAGTAAAACACATGCTGGATAAGTTGGCAGTTCATCCCACTGTGGAGACCCCTGATTAATAAAGGGACTAAGCCAAAAAGAAAATGAATGAATGAATGAATATTAAAAATCTGGATAACACATTAGTTTAAGTATCAATTCTCACTATTGACTTGTTTCCTGTCTATAATTAAGATATCAGCAGTTTATATTTTCTGTATGATCGCTTTCTACATCCCAACCTAATACCTCAACCCAACTAATACCTTAATGACCATTAATAAGCAGCACATTCTGACTTTATTGAGCTAAAATTCACAGTTAATGCTGAAAATAGTACCTTAAAATAAATATAGACCCAATTCTTTGGGTTTATAAAACATAATTCAGACTTTTAATTGAGTTTCTCATAAATTTGGTCAGAATTCTTTCTATTTTAATATCCTTAGTTCAGTTTTTTTTCATCCCAAACTTTTTGTGTCATATTACTGTCATAGTTTAATGAAGAGCCAGTGTGCTAGAAATGGTAAATGCTCTGATAGCCTTTTTGGGTGAATAAATTTTATACTTTCTTAGCTTTTTGGTGTTGCCTCCTTTTACATTTTTGTACTTTTTGTTTGGCTGAGCACCTAATAATATATATGTCATATTTCTAATATTTTTAATCACAATAACAAAAGTCTGCCTTGTGTTTTAGGGCATGCAGTTGTTGTGCGCGACTATAACGGAGTGCTGGGATCACGACCCGGAGGCTCGACTGACGGCTCACTGCGTGGTGGAGCGCTTTAACACTCTGGCTCAGGAAGAGCTGGAGAACTCCATCTGCACCCACACACCCTCAACACCACCTACAGAAGACCAAACCCCGACCCTGCCCTCTCACCCACCCTGCACAGACCACAGCGCTGACATCTGTCCGCACGTCACAGCTGACATCGTTTCCTCCAGGCAACATAGTCAAGTTTAACCGTGGAAACTGTGTCTAGGAAAATCAGACTTGTTCTTGTAACGCATATTGATTCATTATGTGGAGCTGGTCTCCATTTTTCTTTAAACGCTAATCTAAACTGAAGGACAACAGAAGGTTTTTTATTTGAAAATGCTGTCGTTTTATTGTGTAATGTTGTAAGGGGTTGTAGATTTCTGCTTAAAGGGACAGTTCACTCAAATGTAATTCTGCCATCATTATCCACCCTTCACTGGTTTAAAACATATTTAAGTGATGAACACAAAAGAAGATACTTTGTAAATTGCTGGGACACATTGGACTCCATTGCATTTTTTTTTGTTGATGTTGATGGGTGCCAGCAACCAGCATTTTTCAAAGTATCTTCTTTTGTGTTCAACATATGAAAAGAATCTCTTAAAGGTTATAGCCACATGAGGGAGAATAAATAATGAGGTAATTGTCATTTTTGAGTGATCATTTAAGGTAAGACACTGCAGGTGAATATTGGAAAAAAGATTATAATCACCATTTACAGTTGATTGATTACATTAAGTTTCAGGTCTTAATGCATTTAGTGGATTAAATTTTTTAAAATGTAATATTTAAATATGCAAACAATAATTTTTTGCATATTTTTCTACACATTTGACAAAGTCAGGTTTAAAGTTCTTGTTTTATTGTTATTTTGACATATTAGAGTCAAAGATGTCTACTGAGCACTAAATAAGTATATACAGTTCAAGTCAGAATTATTAGCCCCCCTTTAATTGCAAGGCAATTTTCACAGTATATCTGGTAATATTTTTTCTTCTGGAGGAAGTTGTATTTGTTTTATTTCGGCAACAATAAAAGCAGTTTTTAATTTTTTAAAAACCATTTTAAGGTCAAAATGATTAGCCCCTTTAAGCTATATATTTGTTTTCGATAGTCTACAGAACAAACCACTGTTATACAAAAACTTGCCTATTTACCCTAACCTGCCTAGTTAACCTAATTAACCTAGTTAAGCCTTTAAATGTCACTTTAAGCTGTATAGAAGTGTCTTGAAAAATATCTAGTCAAATATTATTTACTGTCATCATGGCAAAGATAAAATAGATCATTTATTAGTTATTACACTCATAAACCACTTTATTAGGTACACCTTACTAGTAATGGGTTGGCCCCCCTTTTGCCTTCAGAACTGCCTTAATCTATTGTGGCATAGATTCAACAAGGTACCGGAAACATTCCTCAGAGATTTTGCTCCATATTGACATGATAGCATCACGCAGTTGCTGCAGCTTTGTCGGCTGCACATCCATGATGCGAATCTCCCGTTCCACCACATCCCAAAGGTGCTCTATTTGATTGAGATCTGGTGACTGTGGAGGCCTTTTGAGTACAGTCAACTCATTGTCATGTTCAAGAAACCAGTCTGGGATGATTTGCACTTTATGACTTGGCGCGTTATCCTGCTGGAAATGGCCATCAGAAGATAAGTACACTGTGGTCATGAAAGGGATGCACATGGTCAGCAACAATACTCAGGTAGTATGTGTCGTTGACACAACACTCAATTGGTAATAAAGGGTCCAAAGTGTGGCAAGAAAATATCCCCCACCACCAGTAGCCTGAACCGTTGATACAAGGCAGGATGGATCCATGCTTTCATGTTGTTAACGCCAAATTCTGATCCTACCATCTGAATGTTGCAGCAAAATGGAAACTCATCAGGCCAGGCAAAGTTTTTCCAATCTCCTATTGTCTAATTTTGGTGAGCCTGTGCGAATTGTAGCCCCAGTTTCCTGTTCTTAGCTGAAAGAAGTGACACGCGGTGTGGTCTTCTGCTGCTGTAGCCCATCCACCTCAAGGTTTGACCTGTTGTGCATTCAGAGATGCTCTTTTGCATACCTCGGTTGTAACGAGTGGTTATTTGAGTTACTGTTGCTTTTACATCAGGTCAAACCAGTCTGGCCATTCTCCTCTGACCTCTAGCATCAACAAAGCATTTGTGCCCACAGAACTGCTGCTCACTGGATATTTTCTCTTTTTTGGACCATTCTCTGTTAACCCTAGAGATGGTTGTGCGTGAAAATCCCAGTAGATCATCAGTTTCTGAAATACTCAGACCAACCCGTCTGGCGCTAACAACCATGCCATGTTTAAAGTCTCTTATATCACCTTTCTTTACAATTTAGATGCTCAGTCTGACCTGCAGCAGAACGTCTAGACCAGGGGTGTCAAACTCAATTCCTGGAGGGCCGAAGCCCTGCACAGTTTAGTTCCAACCCTGCTCCAACACACTTACCTGTAGGTTTCAAACAAGCCTGAAGGACTCAATTAGTTTATCAGGTGTGTTTAATTAGGGTTGGAACTAAACTGTGCAGAGCTGCGGCCCTTTTGGAACTGAGTTTGACATCTGTGGTCTAGACCATGTCTACATGCCTAAATGCATTGAGTTTCTGCCATGTGATTGGCTAATCAGAACCTAATAAAGTGGCCGGTGAGTGTACATTAGATTAGACTGACAAAAAAACAAAGAAAATTGACAAAGTAAAATTCCCAAATCTCAAAGTAGACAATTTACAATAAAGAAAAAAAATGACGTGTTTGCCTGCAGTGTCTTGTCTTAAGGCTGTTTTGTTACATTAAGCAACAACAACAAAAACTCTTATCACAGGTGGAAAGAAATTGAGTCTACGTGGCAAAAAAAACAAAACAAAAAAACGTTCTTACTAAATTGTTTTCCCCAAAAAAATGTTTACCACACATCATTTTCTGATTTAAATTGTTTCATTGCCATTTCTGACTCACTCACTTATGAAATCCACATGATTTTCCCATAAACTTGATTTTGGGGAGACTTCAATTTGATTAACCACAGAACCGCAGCTGAAATTACGACTCAAAAAGACGACACACCAGCAATATAACTGCTGCGTTTAGACATAAAAACAACCAGAAGTACAGTATTATATTGCTGGGGTTGCGTTTCATTTCAACTCTTTTTAAAACAGCTACAAAATATGTTTCTCCTTCTCTGAATGAGTTTCTTTTGCACTGACCCTTTTTAATCAATGAGCTGATGAATTGAATTAAATGTACATGAAGCCTAATTATGGATTATAATCAGTTTGCTTATTATAACTGAAGGAAAAGGGAACTTTTAAAGGATTTAACAAACTAATGATTAGTCATGTCAATGAGCTTGGGTCCAGACACAGTGAAAAAGCATGACAGTGACTTGTTTAATTCCTAAACAGCCTGCATTTGTTCCTTAGGTTCACTCAGCTGCTTTGAGGAACAGGAAAATTAAATTAATACCAGATTGCACATTTGAAAAAGAACTGATAAGGATATGGCAACTTGTTACACCTTTTTTCCCATTTCTGAAGATAAAGATATGTTGAATCCATTTCTAGTGTGAACTGGGTTCACCGCTGTACCGTAATCACTACATAAAATATATATTCGTAATTTGTCCTTGTATTTCTTATTACACTCTGCATTAGTTGTCATTTTTTTGAGATTGTTACAAAGAAAAATACTGAACTATTTGTTGGGGACAAAAAAAAAATCGTACTGACTCCTAAATTTTGTATGTAACATACAATACATAATAAATACAAGCTAAATACAACATATTTATACACACAGACACGCGTACACACGCACATATACACACACACACACACACACACACACACACACACACACACACACACACACACACACACACACACAGTTCTGTTCCGAATCTGATTGGCTGATAGCCTTGATTCAGCCTCACCCTTCACCTTTGTATTACTCCGCCCACATACAGCGACAAGAGGACCGTTTGACAAATATTGCAGCTATTGAACAACATAATGTACTTTTGAGGCTTTTTAGTCAAGAATGTAGCTGTTTAGATTGCAACTATGCAGTTATTTATAAGGGTAGTCGCTATTTCGAAATATTTATTATTTCTGAGAGACACTCAGCTCCGTTCATTAGCCAAAGACGGTTGATGTTGTCTATCCACAAGATGGCGCCAGGACCGCATAATAAGCCCTTGCTTAGAAGATTAAAACAGCGTATGTAGTTTCTAACTACATCTGACCAAATCATTATTAAACTGGTCATTCATATCCTAAGTCGATCTTTCACTTTTGTATAGATTGCAACTATGCAATTTATTTATAAGGACAATGCCTATTTTAATACAGTCACTATCCTATCGTTTATTCCGAGACCACGGCCCTGTACACCCCTCCCCCTCCTTATTTTTCCTTATTGCAAACACTAAAGCTAAACTATATTTTAGGGGCTCAATTTTCATTCATGTGTGACAATGGCTCAGCGGTTAGCACTGTCACCTCACAGCAAGAAGGTCGCTGGTTGGGTCAGTTGCGTGCACTCCGGGTGCTCCGGTTTCCTCCGTAGTCCAAAGATGCTCTATTATAAGCAAATTTGATCAACTAAACCTAGTGTGTAGTGTATGAAGTACAAAACGGTCAATAATTAATATTATACCACAAAGCTGCATGCCTAATCTTAATTAGACAGGAGCACAATGACATTCAGCAATGACATTCAGCATGACACAATGTAGGGTGCAAACATGAATCGTCTTTTTGCATCAAAGAGTCAAGACCAACAACAAAAAAAAAGTTCGGTAACATCTGAAATCCTCCAATATATTAACAATTTTATTTGTTCAATCATATTTAATGAGGCTACAGGGAGTGTCTTTAAAACATCAGTGCAATCGATGGCTCAGCAGAATGACTTGAGTGTACGAAGCTGACAGGAAAATGAAAGTAGATATGTACAAAGGCTGTGGCTTCGGTCGTACTCTTGTTATAATGAGAAAGCTGACGGCTGCGGAGGTGGAACAAGGAAGACAAACACAAATAAGGCACCACGAGTTTCTCAGCGCAACCAATGCCAAGAGCTTGAAGCAGAGATTACATGAAAGATGAGAGACTTTCAGCCAGCACCGTCACTCCAACTGTTCCCTGCTGGCAGACCGAACGGTGAGGCTGTTAAAAACAACTATTTCAACACCTCTGAATCCGTACATTGAACAAAAAAAGAAAGAAAAAAAAGAAAATTAAATCGTCTCACTAAAATGACCGGTTAACTAACATATAATCTGTTTTTATTTATTTATTTATTTTAAGGAACACGTCCTAAATCTGATTGCACATTCACTCAAAAATGAACGTTCTGGAGTCATTTATTTACCTTTAGGCAGTTCCAATCTTCTAGGAAAAAGGGTTGCTCTTTTCCTTTATAAGCAAACTACATATGTTTCACAGACTTCTAAAAACCCACAAGATGGTTTCAATAGCCTGCTGAAAACCAGACTACACTAGTTTGGTGGTCTTAGCTAGTCTTCCACTGTGAAAGTGGTGAAAACTTTTCTAAAAGCAGGTTGGTGCCTTTTTCTAACCATGTTTGGAGACCAACCATGATCAAGCAAAACAGCCTTGAAAAATACCAGTAGCTGGCTCCCATTGACTTCCATAATATTTTATTTCCTATATATTATGCAAATGAATGGGTGCCAGCAACCAGCACTTTTCAAAATATCTTCTTTTGTGTTCAATGGAAGTGTTGAAAAACCAGCCTAAACTAGTTTGGTGGTCTTGGCTTGTCTTCCAGTCCGCCCAGATGAAAAGTGTTGAAAACTTCTTTAAAACCAGGCTGGGTTTTTGGCTGAAAAGGTTTGGAGACCAACTATGATCAATTAAAATAGGCAGGTTTTAGATTAATATTATTTTTCAGCAGAGTAAACCAAAATATAAAAGTTACATACAATGTTTTTTTTTACGATATCAGATAGCCATATCATTTATTCTTCATCATATACTTTTAAACCTCTATGAGTTTCTTTCTTCTGTTGAAGAAGGAAAAACTAGTTTTGGCTGTTTTTTTAACACTTCTATTGAACACAAAAGAAAATGTTTTGAAGTATGCTGGTCACTGGCACCCATTGATTTCCATAATGGGAAATAAAATACCATAGGTGTCAATGGGAGCCGGCAATTGGCATTTTTCGAAATCTTCTTTTGTGTTTAGTAGAAGTGCTGTTAAACCTGCCTAAACTAGTTTGGTGGTCTTGGCCAGCCTTTCAGTCTGCTCAGATGAAAAGCAGCAATGACTTTTCTGAAGCCAAGCTGGTGTTTTTTGCTGACCAGGTTTGGAGACCAACTATGATCAAGTAAAACAGGCTGGTTTTAGATTAATATTATTTTTCAGCAGGGTAAATCAAAACTTTTAAACCTTTATGAGTTTCTTTCTTCTGTTGAACACAAAAGAAGATATTTTGAAAAATGTTAGTTGTCGAGACCCATTGATTAATATAACAGAAATTAAAATACTATGGAAATCAATGGGAATCCAGCAACTGACATTTTTCAAAATATCGTCTTGCTGATAAACCAGTCTTAACTAGTTTGGTGGTCTTAGCTAGTCTTCCAGTCCGCCCAATTGAAAAAGTGGTGAAAACTTTCTAAAACCAGGCTGGTGTTTTTGGCTTACCAGGTTTGGAAACAAACTAAGATCAAGCAAAACAGGCTGATTTTACATTATTATTGTTATTTTCCAGATGGGTTGACCAAAATCTAAGCACTTGCAGACAAATTATTAAATGATATCAGCTAATAGAATAACGGCATAATGAAAATGATAATCATCGTTTATTCTTCCTCAAATACTTTTAAGCTTTTAAGAGTTTCTTTCTTCTGTTGAACAAAAAAGAAGATATTGTGAAAACTGCTGGTTGCTGGCACCCATTGTTTTTCACAATAGGAAATAAAATACTACTGAAGTCAATGGGAGCCAGCAACTGACATTTTCCAAGTTATCTTCTTTAGTGTTCAACAGAAGAAAGAAAAGTTTTAAATAAGTAAAGCTTGTGTAAAATGACCAAAATGTTTATTTTTGAGTGAATTATCCCTTTAAATGTCAATGTCATAAGACTTTTAATATATCGTACACACTACATAAGTTGAAAGTGAGAAAATCATGTCCAGTTTTTAACTTTGTGTGAATATACAACTTTAAAAAAGATCTGTTATCAATGTCAATCGAGGTAGAATCGAAGTGGAAAGTATAGTGCTCTGAATTAATCAAGAAATTATACCACGCATGACTTTGATAGATCAGATTGGTTTAACATTCCCAATAATACTGTCTGATCGGATTGCGTTTACACGTTGCTGTGCATATAAAGAAGATTACAAGGCTCTGTTCTAAGGTTTAAAATGTTAAAGTGCTCTACGCAAGCATTGAAGTGACAGTTCAACCAAAAAGATGAAAATTCAGTTACATTTAATCACCATCATGTCATATTTTTTGGGAAAACAAAATAGATCTTTTGAAGAATGTTGAATCCATACTTTTCTTGCATGGATAATCCATAAAAAATTACTGCTATAGGAAAAACGTCCACTTAATTTCCATGATATGAGTTTGAGTAAAATGTTTACTTCTGTTTTATTCTAAAAATCAGTGTTTCTCAACCACGTTCCTGGAGGACCACCAGCTCTGCACATTTTCCATGACTTCTCCTTAACCAAACACACCTGATTCAGATTGTCAGCTCATTAGCAGAGACTGAAAGATCAGTAATGGGTTTGACAGACAAAGGAGACATCCAAAACATGCAGTGATGGTGGTCCTCCAGGAACGTGGTTGAGAAACACTGCTATAAATGACTGAAAACATCTCTTATAAAGTTCAAATCAAAACATGGTCCATTAGAACATCTAAGAAAAAAACTAAATTAAACGGCTTTTTATTTTTCCATAGCAGTAAATGCAACAAAGGTGAGTAAATATGATGGAATTTGCACATTTTTGTGTAAACTATCCCTTTAAAATCTCTCTGAATCTGAAGCCGACACAACCATTAACTAAACATCAAGCAGAAACAGAAGAGCAGGCCTTTATAGGAACATTAGACTTCATCCAACAAGCTTCGACGAAAACGAAAAAGACATAATAATACGATAGCCAAGATAACAGTTTCTCTATCATCAAGACTCCAACTGCATCTGGCTCCGCTAAGCATTACCAGCTCGCATCTTCACCAGGCTTCACCCTCCTCAATCCCGCATTTCATTTGATATCATATAAATCATGATAAGTCGTATACGATTTTAAAAGAATCAGAAAACTTTGACCGTGCCGTGGTCAAAATACAGTACACCACAGTATGGTTAGATTAAGAAGTTCACCTCAAATACAATCGCACGTTAAGAATCGTCACGCTGCACTCAGCGCTCGTTACATACGACACTCGTTAAGGCAACATCAACAAAGAATAACCGGAGAAATCATTGACGGTGTAGGTACTACAAAAAAAAAAAAAAAAGAAATCTTACCATTGAGGGATGCAAAGTATAAACATCAGAGTGCAAACCCGCAAGTCCACAAAGCGTGTAAGAAACACTCAAACTGAAGTAATGTTTCAGGAATCATACAAAGGAGAGCGCATGTCTTCTTCTGTGAGACCAGAGGTTTACATTGCCTGGACGTAGCTCTTGACGGGTCAGACATCATGGATTTTGTGGAGAGGGGACTGAGGAAGAGCTCTGACCTGCTGTTTTCCACAATGGTTGGTAATACATCCAGCCTTCACCCTGGAACAGAAAAAAAGATGACTTAATGTTACTAAAGATTATACATTTAGAGTGCTGTTTAAATCATGTATTTTTGTAGGCCAAAAAGGAGGTTTGCATTACCCTGGTTGCCTTGATTTAAACAAAAAAAGGCAGTTTTCCATTGGCAATTGGATTAAACATGGCAGAAAATAAACTTTGTGATCAACCACAGGTATAATGGATGTTTTGAGCCCAAAACAATACACAGAAGTAAAAAAAAAGGGCAATAAAGTCTTTCTATAAAATGCCTTCATGTTTCAGACAGCTCTTTAATTTATTTAGGTTGAAAAATAGGAGTTAGAATAGATTACAAAAACAAGAAGACGACTGTAAAATCAGTCTAATGAGTTTTTGGTAGCACAACAATGAGGTTCCATTAGTTAATGGGTTTACTGTCATGAACAAACTATAAAAAAACATTTACTGAGCAGTATAACCTACAAGATCATATTAAAAAATGATCAAGAGCTGGATAAACCAAGAAATCACTGATTTATGTACATTTGTGGCTCAAGGACAATTTAAATGTTTTTCAGAATTAAAAACTTATAATAATTTGGACAATGAAGACTTTTACTGCTATCTGCAAATTCGAAATTACTTTGAAAGGAAATTCAAAGCAAAGGACATTTCGGATTTGAATAAATTAATAAAACTAATTATAGATTCTTAAACAAAAACAATTGTAAAATAATTTCTTCTTTCTACCAAGCCCTTAGGGAGAATGGAGAAGATTCCACAAAATACATTAGGCAGGAATGGGAAAGAGAATTAACGGAAGAAATTCCAATTGAAAAATGGCTTTCTGCCTGTAAGATACAACATATTATACACTTGTTCGCAGAGGTGGAAAGAATTTACCTGGAAAAATCTGATACGTTTTTTTCATTACCCCCCAAATTAAAAGCAAATAATTGTCCACACCTCAAACTTGCTTGAGAATGTGTGGGAAGGTCGATGTACTGTAGATCATCTCCATATTTTCTGGACTTGTGCAAAAATATGACCTTTCGAGGTTTTATCGGAAATGGAAAAGATCTTAGGATAGCATTTCTCAAAAGACTTTTTTACAAATTATCTTGGAATCTATGAAGAGGTGATAGTGAAGGATGATTACCTTGTAAATATATAAGTTGTGGCAAGCAAGAACATTATTACCAGATACTGGTATAAGCCTGACACCCATTATATTAGCGATTGCATAGAAATTGTGAAGGAAATAAGCAGTATGGAAGAATTGACATGCGTCATTTCGAAAACATTGGAAGAAATGGCTTGATTATTGCACTGTTGAGAACTGTTGAATGCATTGAATCTGAAACAAAGTTACACCCATTGTTGTGTCTTTTATTTACTTACTATTATTTTTGTATTTGTTTATTATTTCATGGGCAAAACGGCAAAATTGTATATTTTAAAATGTAAAATATTCTGTTGTAAAATTTAAAATAGTTCATTCATTCATTTTCTTTTCGACTTAGTCCCTTTATTAATCAGGGGTCGCCAAAGCCGAATGAACCGCCAACTTATCCAGCATACATTTTACGCAGCGGATGCCCTTCCAGCCGCAACCCATCTCTGGTAAACACCCATACACACTCATACATACACTACGGACACCTTAGCTTACCTAATTCACCTATAGCGCATGTCTTTGGACTGTGGAGAAAACCGGAGCACCCAGAGGAAACCCACACCTACTAGGGTTGGGCATCTAAGCTATAATGCCGATCCGATACGCATCTCGATACAAAGAATACGATCCGATATATTAGCAATACATTTGTGACATTGCGATGCAACACGATACGATTTACGCCCATATCACGATACAATGCGATAATTCAGCACTAACTTATTAGATCAAGTTTATGAGATGATGTAAGAAAGGATGCTGTGCCATTGAATGAGTTTGATTATTTATTAACCAAGTAAAACCAAGAGCCAGAGTGTCAGTTTACAGTAGAGGGCCATTTTAGAACCTATAGCACATATTATTTAAGTATTTTCAAGATAAACAGAATGTTTAAGTGCAATATATATTATAAATATATATATTTGCACTCTTTCAACATAAAAGGTTTACCATTGCACAACAAGAATTGTGATTTAACTTTTCAACTATAAAAACAAGTTTTACAAAGATATATTGTGCCACTGAATATTCAAAACTTAAGGTCGTGAACTAGCAGTGTTATGTTGCTTTGAAACATCACTATCACTGTAAGCAACAGGCTAATAAAAATATAAATAAATAAAAATTAACAGGAGGTGTTTAAAACCTTCGTTCTATGTGACACTAGGCTGAATATCTTTGCAGATGAACAATGCAATAACATTCGTTATTGGCGTAGAGCGAGCAGAACTGTTGCGCATGGAGAAAACTTTCAATGCTTTTCTCACCACTTTTGGAGCTGGTAGCTACAGTTGAAGCAGAGCAGGAAGCCGGGGATGCAGGAACACTGGAAGATGCTTTCACAACAACACCGAGGCGCCGCTTCAAGTGAGATATCAGATTAGTCGTACTGCTCGTGTATTTTACAGATGCGCGGCACATTTTGCAAATTGCATCTGTCCTGTCATGTCGTCCATCCTTTTTGCAGAATCCATAATGTTGCCATACTTTGGATTTAAAACTCAGTGAGAAATAAAATGTTTGTTTTGCTTCTCGCGCTTTCTGAGGGTGCACTACTAGCTTCATCCGCACACCTGATACACTGAGTTGTAGTTTAAGTGTACACATCCGCAAGTCCGTTGCTAATGCATACTTTATGTAGGTCGATTAAATTATGCGCCAAAAACAGGTTTACAACACTTGTTAATGAATAAAAAATACATTCTATATTAAAAATAGAAGTTGTATCTTGGAAAAACCGATGCATCTCGCAAAAACCGATGCATCTCGATTTGCTTCCAAAATTTCATTCATCCTCTGCTGCTCTACCGATGCACTCGCATCGGTAGAGCAGGAGCGCGTATCGATACATATCGGTTAATCTTCCCATCCCTAACACCTACACTAGGAGAAAATGCAAACTCCACACAGAAATGCCAACTGACCCAGCCGAGGCTCGAACAAGTGACCTTCTTGCTATGAGGCATCAGCGCTACCCACTGTGCCAACGCATCACCACTTAAAAAGTTCTCAATAAAAATAAATAAAATAGAAAAATACATTTATTACAATATTCAATCTTTGTTATTCTGAGTTAATGAAAATAAAGTCATTTGTTTGTAATTCTTGTTAACTCACAGTGCATTAACTGATGTTAACAAGCACAACTGGTTTTTAATAATGCATTATTAGGAAATGTTGAACCATGATTAATAAGTGATGTACACGTATCATTCAATTCCTGGCCCAAGTTAGTAGATACATCAACTAAAATTAACTAGTGGAAGCTTAGTGTAAAGTGTTTTCTTTATGCCTAACAGTCCTAATAATAGTGAAGCCCAGCATTTGGGGGAAAAAAAAGCTAAAACAGCATTACATAAACAGAGTTTTCAGATCTTAATGCTCTGAAGTTAAAGCTTTGTCTATTTCGCACCCAATTTCCATGTGAAAATTGACAGGCAGTGAAGACAAAATGCAGAGGACTTTATTTTGGCCTTTTTTTGTAATTGAGTGGCTGTACTGCAACGTTAACAACTGTTGAATGCACTGAATCAGGAACAGTGCAAATCTCCCAATGTTGTGTCTTTGTTTTTATTATTATTTTTTTTTTTTTAAATGTACAATGTTCTGTTGTAAAATTTTAAAAAGTTCCCAATAAAAATATAGCAATAAAAAAGAAACAAGTCAAGCATAATGGAGACAGATAATTTTTCAAGCGGGTGTAATGTTTGCTATGTCAGAGTTTATGCGGCAAATGCAGTTTCATCAACCATTATAAGCATTTACTCTTTTTCGCAAAACCACCTCACGCGAGTGTAAAAACCTTTAGCGCATCAAGAGATTTCTATTCAGAAGCTGGCATTTCCATCACTTGTTTATCATGTGACACTTCAAAATGTGCATTAACTTCTCTAACTGCTGCTTCTATCAATGATTTCGGAAACCGATACAAGAATCAGAAGTGCTCTTACTTTGCGCTCAAAGTATTTGGTCCTCCATGGTGTCTGTGTCTCAGCGCGATGCCTCTCCTCTTTCCTCTGTCTCTCCTCCAGGAAGCGCTTGTGTTCGGTGGCTTTATCCATATCCCTTTCCTTCAGAGACTCGGTCACATGCTGCCACAGTCGCCTTTAATGAAAAAAAAATCATCACATGTTAAAACAAATCCTTCGTTCTATATCAACATGCTTCTGGTAAATGCTTTTAAATCCACAGATGAAGAAAGCATTATTATGATTTTTGCATACAGGAATAGCTCATTCAAAAATAATTGTTACACTTGTTACAAACATGTATAGAGTGGTGTGAAAAAGTGTTTGCCCCTTATGGATTTCGTAATTCTTAATGTTTGTCACACGTTTATTTCAGATCATGAAACAAATTTAAATATCAGTCAAATATATCTGAGGCAACTGAGGCCTGCAATTCTTTGGATGTTGTTGTGGGGTCTTAGTGACCTCCTAGATGAATTATCGCTGCTTTCTTGGGGTAATTTTGGTTGGCTGGTCACTCCAAGGAAGGCTCTCCACTGATCCATGCTTTTGCTATTTGTAGATAATGGTTCTCGCTGTGTTTCGATACAGTGCCAAAGCTTTAGAATTTCTTTATAACATTTTCCAGACTGGTTTCTATTCAATAATTTTTCTTGATTGTTTTTGAAGAATGATGTCTAGCTTTTGAGGATCTTTTGGTCTACTTCGCTTTGTCAGGCAGTCTATTTAAGTGATTTCTTGATTGCGAACAGGTGTGGCAGTAATCAGGCCTGGGTGTGGCTAGAGAACTTGAACATAGGTGTGATAAACCAGAGTTAAGTTATATTTTAACAGGGGGGCAAGCACTTTTTCACACAGGGACATGTAGTTTGGGATTTTTTTCCCGTTAACAAAACTGCTAACTGCATATTGTGTTTACTTGTGCTATCTTAGACTATTATTTAAATTTGTTTGATGACCTGAAACATGGAAGTTTTATTAACTTGCAAAAAAATAAGAAATCAGTAAGGGGGCAAACACTTTTTCACACCACTGCAAGTAATATTTTACTCAACCTGTATTCGAAACTACTCCTTTAACTGAGTATTTTCATATTGGTGTTCAGTTTATGCTGCTCGGTTCGCTCATTTAAAAGATATGTGATATGATATTGACAATAAAACACCTTTGACATTTCAACCATGAATATGACAACAACTTCTGTTTGCATGAACTGATTACCTGGACTCATAGGGTCCTTGCAGCTCATTGGGTCGTACTCTTTTTCTAGTGACGGGGAGTTTGGTAACATCTACGAAGCGTGTCTCCCCACTAGTGTAGGCAAACTCCAGCACACCGTTCCACTCGCCCTGCACGCGGCACACCACCGCGTTGGTGGGGTTGTGTTTGACCTCCGCGTTCACTCTGAGGAACAAAGCACAGGCTTCAGTTACAGTCCACTGGCTCAACTTTCTGATTCAAGAATTCACCTTGTGAAAAACTCCATATCACTTGATCATTTAAATTCAGCCTTAAATTAAAATGCATGTCATCCTTTCATCCATGCATATGATTTTCTGCCATTGTCAATGTTAATAAGAACATTATAACTAAATTTTACAGTGAAAACGTCAGAGTCTCTGGGGAATCATTTTGGCTTTAGCTCGCTCCTAATTAATCAACCTTTTTCTTTTTCTATAATCTCTGATGTACGTCACCCAACAGAAGAAAAGATGCTTCCTTTACACTTTGACTTTCGAAAGAAACTGCAATCATGATCATTTAAAAATATAATCAGCAGATCATATATTTTGTATATTTCTTTTTTATAAACAAAGTTTCCTCAATTCAGGTTCTCCATCTCAATACAGAAGGGAAGAAAGTAACAAACAACAAATCCTCAAAATGATAAATAGGATTTAAAAAAAACAATAGAATAAAAATATACAAATGAAACAAACCGACTTCTCTGGAAGAATGAAACTTAACTTGTTTCTTAATAAAGCAACAAAATTCATTCAGTTAAAAGCAGTGAGTGATTTTGTTCCCGTCTTTTGTTGTTTGATTATTAATAATACGCATAGTCAGCAGCAGGAATATAGCGTACTGTCACTAAGAGCCGTAGGATTCAATTTACGATTACACATGGCGTTTCATTCTGAACTCCTTGTGTTCATTGCAGAAAAATTGAGCATTTACGTGAGTAATCACTTGACTTTGTGTTTTGACTAGTGGTGGGCCGTTAACGGCGTTAATTTGCTGTACTAACACAAGACTCTTATCGCATGATAATAAAATCTCTCCATTAATCTATTCTCAAAGTTGGTTTGGGAGCTGGTTATATTCTACGCAAGCAATGATGACTTTCACCTTGATATTTTAGCGCGGATGTATACCTGACCGGTGAGCCGTCTGACAAAAAAAGTGCCCTTCTGAATCAAATCAGCAGGGTGCCTGACTTTAGTTCGGCAGTTTCACTTTAACTGTTAAACATTTCATTCATGCCGCAGTGACAAACTGGGGTATTAGACGCAAATAAGGAGTAAGGACTGGTGAGAATGTTATGGAATTTAATAACGCATGCCAAACGGAAAGAAAAAAACTTTTTAGTGTTTTTTTTATTACTTCAATAATGCCACTAATATCTGCATACTCCACATGTCTTAATTCGGTTTCTGTTTAGTTCAGTTATGAGTTTAGTTGAATCAAAGTAATCAAAAATCGCTGTTAACACGGTAAACTCTTAATCAGAGTATTGTTTTAATCATATTACAATCGCATTTAAGTATTGTTGCCCATGTAAACATACTCAATGTTTAACACACCTTGTAAGGTTTGCCTTTGCGTAGCAGCATTTTCTGCATGTACGTACAGTACATGAAAAGCAAGTATAAAATCGCTGTTTGAAGCTTATGTAGGCCTACAGTTCAAAATTCATGTTTAACTGAATAAACAGTTAGTAAACACAAGTACGTCTTATTGAACATCATTTATTTTCATCACCGATTATCATAGTAGAACAGTTTCTCAAGCAGTTTGTGATGCATTTTGGAAAAAGGAGATGAGCCCCTGGGGTCTGATGTGCCACCTGGCTTGAGAAACCCGTTCTCAAAGACTTATTATTTGGGTAACAAACATATTCTGAATTCAGAATTCAAATAACCCGTTTCAATCTAGATTAATCCAGACTAATTTCGAGATTAATCTAGATTTTAAAAAATGAATCTATTCCCACATATAGTTGACACATTTTTCCATGGATTTGATCATTTATGTGCACACCTTGGGCAGCATGACTTTAGATGTTAAAGTCGTTTTCCATCTTGAATGCATTTATAGAGCAGCACGATGTCTCTTTGTGCTTTTAAAAACATAAATAAATTTAATACACTTTATTAAAACAAGCACATCCCATGCTGTGAAGTTGTTTGTTTGTTTGTTTGTTAGACATTATTAATCCCTAAGGGAAATTTACGTCACAGCAGAGCTTTCCATACTATTGATAATCTTTAAAAAAATTACATGCATACTGCACACCTCAGTTTCAAAGAAGAGGTAAACACTAGTCCATATCTAATGCTATTAAAAATCCGCATAATTCATCTAGGATGGCTTTGGTTATACAGTCTGATCACTGTTGGTAAAAAAATACTTCCTGTATCTTTGTCTGTAACACCAGAGCTGAATTAATCTTGAGCTAGAAGAGCTTGCACACATTTGGAATATATCAAAAAAGGGATGAGGTGGTTCATCATACCGACAAATTTGTCCATCATTCGATCATGTGCAATCTCTTCTATAGTAGGTAGTATACATGACTTACATGATTTCACTGATTTACATGTGAAACTAAGCTTTGTGAATGATCAAATGCCTATAAAAGCTGCTGGAAAGAGGGTGAGACATGAAACAATAATCATTTTATCTCAATTAATGTTGCTCCATACATGTTGAATGCCAAAATCGAAACTGTATATCGATTAACATATTATACAGTCCTACTAAATAGTAATACTCAAAAAAGACCATGTACTTATGCTAACAAAATCATTTGTTATTCTGACGAACAGTCAGCTGTGAGAGTTCTGCAAACAAAATAAATGACATCTTAAGTGTTAAAATTTTACTTAAACTCACATCTAATAAACCAAAGAAATCTAGAGAAACTTAAATCTCTTAATCTTTTCCCTCGCTCTTTATCTTTAGTACATATTACAATAAATTTTAACTCATTATTGCTCAATAAAAACAATAAACATCAAGCATCTTCTGAATGATAGTGTAAACTAATAAACATCTGCTCTATAAACCTCCATTGAAAACCCTATACGGTCTCACAGAGACAGCAAAGAGTGTTGTGTTGTGTGATCCTGACCTGTGGAGTTTGCCCCCATAAAAAGGCTTTGTCTGAAAGGTAATGACTGCAGAGTAGCCCGTCTTGGCGCAGTTGACATTGACCTTTCCTCCTAGCTCCACCCAGGGCACAGTGAGGATCGAGCGGGCATAGGCAGAGGGCAGACTGAAAGTGTATTCTTCCCCGTGCTCCAGTAGGTTTAGATTACCTGTCAGAACAGGAATAACATTTCTTAAAGGACCCTATGTTTTTTTAACATCTGTTTGTACAGCTTTAAGTATATGAAATAAAGCAAATAAATGTTTTTAGTGTTTCCGAAGTTTTAAAACCGCTTGACAAAGTACATTTTTTGGAGAAACTTCGCTCTGGTTGGGAAACTCCTTTGAACTGTAATCATTATGGAAATAAGCAGGTGTAGCTCCTGAGAAATACAGGTCTGATAAGCTGATGCATGACAGATTTACAAGGTCCAAAATAGGGATGGGAAGACAATCGTTTTCAAGGTATACCACTGTTTGGAAAAGTAAAAGTTTTAAAACCACCACAATTTTCTGCTACACCTTTCCTAAGGTATGTGTAAGATTTTTTACTTACATTTTTTAGGACAACAGTATCTCCTGCAGATATCCAAAAATGCTGTTTTAAATTGTAAAGAAATCTGTGTTTTAGAAACTAATGAAGACAGCAGAAGACACTGATTCATTTGAATTATTTAGATTGACGTTTACTGCGACAAAATCATTTTAGATATTTCTCAAAGTACAACATATTGTGTTCAAAGAGGGACAAAAGTGTTTGTTTGTTACTCAGACATTTAAAGAGAATATATTTTAGAGCAATAATCACAATACAGTGAAATCGTGAAACCGTGATATTTTTATCCAAGTTTATTATACCGTCAAAACGTTTTGCCAGCCCATGCCTAGTCCAAAAAGAGGCTTATTAAAACCTGTTCTGTCAAACTGTTTGATTTATAGTGACTGGAGTATATACAAGATACTATTTTTCAAAATATATTTATAGTGAAATATACCATGTATAGTGAACTTAATAAAAAGTCTAATTAATATATACATAATATATAAATATATTTAATTATTAATAACATTACAAACATTTTATATTGCATTTACAATTGACCTTTTTATTACTATAATTAATATAATGGACTGCTTCAAACAATCTCATGATTTGTGCAAAAAAAATAATTTGTGAAATTAGAAGCAGGTTTACAGCAGAACAAGTAATGTGGATTGCCCTTCCAGCCGCCACCCACCTCTGGGAAACATCCACACACACACACACACACACACACACACACACACACACACACACACACACACACACACACACACACACACACACACACTCATACACTGCAGACAATTTAGCTTACCCAATTCAACTGTACTGCATGTCTTTGGACTGTGGGGGTACCCGGAGGAAACCCACGCGAACGCAGGAAGAACATGCAACACAGAAACACCAACTGGCCCAACCGAGGCTCGAAGCAGCAACCTTCTTGCTGTGAGGCGACAGCACTACCTACTGCGTCGCCGAAACCTTTTTAATGCAACTAAAAAGCAGTTCTTTAATGTAATCTAGTATCATTTTAAGGCTCAACATGTATTGTAAGCATCACTGTAGACAGTAGGCACGAGTTCAGACTCAAAACTATAACAAGAACACAGACTCCAAGAAAACAGATCATTTTGGTGCTATTCATACTGTTATTTAGTGTTATTTACTTGCATTCTATTGTCAATTTGTGATGTACATTTTTTTGAAGGCCCAAACGGACTGTCTAGAAAAAAAATTCTTATTTTGAAGCTTTATTTATTAGCAAAACATTTCTTTTGCATTCTATTATTTTTTTATTTTTCAACATAATTTTATAAACTAACTAACTAACTAACTAACTAACTAACTAACTAACTAACTAACTAACTAAATATATATATATATATATATATATATATATATATATATATATATATATATATATATATATATATATATATATATATATATATATACTATATGTATATATGTTTATATATGTACAAATGTAAAATAATTTATATTCAAATATTTTAAAAAACTGTATGCACAGACAGGTTCAAAGCTCCTGAATTCTTTATTTCAGTTTATTTATTTATTTTTTTCACAGTGTTTGGGCTTTTTCTTCAATAAATAAACCTGACAGGACAACAGGAGATGGCAAAAAAACTGCTGCTGCTTTAAATTAGACTGACTACTATTAATCTATTGATGCACTATTCATATCTATTGAAAATAAATGTAAAACACCATAAAAACATGCGATACACATCGATCTGAAGGCTATTTGGTTTGACAGCTGTTCACTGAACAACACTGAATCTCGCTAGATCATACTGTTCGGATGCACGTCTGTTACGTTCATTTGGACAACAATATGGATATTTTAAAATGTTCAAAAAAAAAAATAGAGCACGCATAGTTTGTTAATTAACGTACTTGTGCGACTCTGATACAGTACAAGTCGCAGACGTGACACACGCGCGAGCGAGTAATTATAACTCTAATCATCGTTACCCTTCAATTTGCGTGACGGTTTAATTTATACAACTGAGGATGTAGTCCTAGTTGACATGCAGCGGTTAGAAATTAACCACAGTCTGCATTTAAAACAGAGTCCGAATAAGCTTATTCAATCACAGAAAGTGAGAAATGCTATTAGCTTCTTTGATAATTTTAATATGATATATTTAATAATGAAATTAAATAATTATAATATTAAATTTAAGTTAATTTTAAGTTTTTATTTTAAACTCTAGCAGCCCACCTGCAGGATCACTGAGGCCCACAAGTAGGCCGTGACCCATCGGTTGAGAATCCCTGATCTAATATCATTTTAAGGCTCAACATGTATTGCAAGCATCATTGTAGACAATAGGCACCAATACAGATTTAAAACAATTACAAGAACACAGACCACAAGAAAACAGAGCATTTTTGAGCTATTAATACTGTTATTTAGTGTTTTTAACTTAGGGTGTACTCACACTATGCTATCCGAACTGTGCCCAGGCACATTACCCCGTTCATTTGAGAAGTGCGAGTGCTCTAAATCAGGCTCAGGAACAGTTCAGTTGGCTGTCCTTGGCCCGGTTGGAAGAGGTGTGTCAGTGCGGTTCAGTTGGGCTTTGGCATGGTATGCTTGTAGTGTAAGTACAAGGCGCACCTGAGCCCAAAACTGTAGATGCGACGTCACTTTTAAGGGACTGTTTCATAAGGATTAATTAATCATTCTTACTTTTCAGTGAATGCAAACCATCATAGATTATTAAAGACACAAACCCCTCACTGCACCACAGCTGTACCTTCAGCACACCTCCTAATAAGTGCACTACGAGGACTTTTATGAACATTTATGAGTGTCAAAAGTGGCTGATCTGTTCAGCAAAATATTTGACTGCATGTCACTGCATCCCAAATGACTTAAAGATATAACTAAAGCAATGTCTAAGCGAGAGCGCTTCTGTTCCTATTAACTGAACAGTCACATCATTGATGATGTAATCGTGTTTAGGTTCGGAATTCAAACGGCAGTTTGAGTGCAGGTTGTCGGTGGTAAGGGGAGAGGGAACAATTGCGCTTCGGCATGGTTCAAGGCAACTGTACTTATTGTGAGCACGCCCTTACATTCTTTTGTAAATCTGTAATGTAAATTTTTGTATTGCAAGCATCATTGTAGGCAGTAGGCACCAGTACAGATTCAAAACTATTGATTTGACATTGGTACAGTAAAAAGATAAGCAAGTAAGCAGGTGAAACTCACCTTCTCCAATCATAGAGACGCCAATAGACATGCCCATGAACTTGCTCTTGGTCCATACATGCGTGTTGACGCACATCTGTCTCTCCTGGCATTCTGCGTAGAAGCCTGACACAGGTGGATGATGGGAAACTTGCTCAGCCACAAAGCGGACATTATAACAGTCTGATGCACACGAGGAGCCCTCTTTGGGGATGCCTGTCGGAGATGCTGCCTCTTTGGGCACATTCCAAGAGCAGTGAAAAGTCTCTCCGATGATGGGGTTGTAGGGCTTCTTGGCAATGGCACCTTTGCGACCTTCATGGAAGGAAGTGAGATAATACTCCACAAATCGAACCATGCGGTCCATCGGGCTGGAGCCATCAGTGATGGCCACAAAAAGGTCAGGATGGGACATGAAGTCTGCATACATTTCCAAAAGAGAGCGCTTCTCCAGGATGAAAGTCGGCAGGACCACCTATACACCCGTGAGAAGTGAAGAAGTACTTTATTCAACTGATTTAAAGTGTCCATCCATTAGCCTACATATTCAATTTTGTTTATTTAGCGCAAAGATTTGTTTCAAAACTATTTCTAAATTCAGTTCTAATTTCCAGTAAACAAATAAATGAACAATAATAACGAAGTGTACTCAAAAAAATAAGTTATATCCAAAAACACAACCTATTCTTATGCCCCATATGATGATGCAGACGTCTCCAAAACCAGACAGGTGGACAAATCTAAAGTTTATTAAAACAAATATAAATATGCATATAATAAATAAAACAGCTAATAATAATAATAACATGATATGAATGCAAGTCATGATTAAGCTGAAAAAAAGCCACCCGACATGAAGGCATGGAGGCAGTGGTTTTTATATTTTTGTAGAAAATAATAACTTTTGTAACATTTTAATGCTTTAATTTTTTCATATGTGAAGATATTTATGTATTGCTGTATATAAAGCAATGTGTGAGCTTTCAATTGGCCAATGGCATGGTCTATTTCAGTTCTTCAAAATAGCAATGCGCCTTAACACACCTTTTTAGACCTGCACACCCATGAGTCCACAAAGTGGCGCAAATGGATTTGCTATTTAAACAATGTGGCACTAAACATGAAAATTATGGTTGCGCTGGTCTAAAAATACCAACAAATCCCACCAAACATGTCTTGCATCTTATTGCGCCGGGTGTATAATAGGACCCTACGTCTGTCTAAGGCAGGGGTGGGCAAACTAGGTCCTGGAGGGCCAACTCTAATCAAAAACACCTGGATAATGCCAATCAGTGTCTTCAAGATCACTAGAAATCTATAAGCAGGTGTGTTTGATTAGAGTTGGCGCTAAACTGTGCAGGACACCGGCCCTCCAGGACCAACATACTGAACCACAACCCTCCAACTGTCAGTTTTAATAGCGCTATGACAAAAAACAGAAATGGTGAAAGGAGGAGGCGTCTGTTAGGTTGTAATAACTCTCCCAAAACCCTTTGTTTCTGAATGAAAAGCCTACTTTACTACATCCAATCAGCTTGCAGTAGAAAAAAAAAACCACGCCCACTGTTTTCTCATTTAATATTCCATTACTCTAGAAATTGCAATGCAATACAAAAAATAAAAAAATAGCCTCAGCTTCCATTTCAAGTGCACATTCAAGGTACAAAAGAGCTTTAGTGAGGTTTGAGAAAGACACAAGCTGAAATGAGAGCCATTAATGAGATGGAGCTGATATACCCTGGTGAGGTCCATGCCCAGTTTGAGCTGAGAGAGGAGGTGCAGAATGACGCTGCGCTCCTCTTCCACTGCACCCAGATCCTCCTCCTCGGATGGAGAGGAGTCATCCACCTCCTGTGTGGCATCAATCTCCTCCTGCTCCTGAAAAACATACACACACACACTCCATTAATTCATCCTACTCAAACAATAAAACATTAATCACAAGAACAGTACTAAAGACTCAAACTCAACACCATTTGACATAACCATCTAAGGTCTTAACTTTTTTTTTTTAAATGACAAGAAATGTTTTGGTTTGTTTTTGTTTACAATAAAAATTATAGTAAATTCTGTTAACTAAAAATGTATAAAATAGTTTAAATAAATTGTAATATTATATTCAAATTTAAATATTAGATAAAATTGTAAATATTTTTAATTAAAATTATATTTGACTATTAAGGGCTAATATTTTTGGAACTTTTTTCTTTTTTAATATTAGAAATATTTATTACCATTGTTACCATGTTAGAGATTAAAGATCGTTTCTGGACATGCCACTCATTTTGAGTGGTATAGAGGTACTTGAATTACGATGAATGAGAGTAATGGAGATGCGCAGATAAATTTTTGCTTTTTTAACCCTAAACAGGACTTCAGTTCTCCGCAATTGTATTTGAAATTGGCCTAATATTATCATTTAAAACATATTCAAGTATACAGATACTTCTAAATCAAATTCCCAAGAAGTTATCAAAACTTTTTAAGTTCCTGTATTTTACCAAAACATGAAAAATGCCATGCCAAATATACATGACTTGTCCAGGTTTTTTGACATTTTAAACAACTTCTAAGTTCAACTGTTTCTTTAAAGTTACAATATGACTTCTTCCAGTCCTGGGAATCATTATTTTAACATTCTTTGGTTTTAGGTATTGCATATAATCAGACTCTTATCTATGATATTCTTCGCTAGATATGACCTGAATCCTTCCTTCAGTGTAAGTCTCTAATTTCTCTCCACTTTCTAAAGAAATATGTAACTCTGAAATAACTAACAGCACACCTATTGCAACTGGTTGCACAATTCCAGACATTATTTAAACCCAATACAGGTTATGTTTCTTTCATTTAACCCTTGTGTATTGTTCAAAACTTCTACCCTTCCATTATGTTCGTAGCTTTTTTGGCCCATTAACTTCCATTATAATGACATTTTTTTGATTGCAAAGCCTTGACATCAAATAACCAACAATTCTTGATTGGGAGGAGGTCAGACTTTCTATTGTTGTGGTTGATCATCAGTTGGCACGATTAACTCTTAAGATGGGCCTGTGCAAAAAAAAAAAAAAAGTTTCTTGCTTTTATATGGAGTTCTATGTAGTATAACGTCAAATTGCGGTGTGCTATTTATATAAATACACTTACTATATTTACTATGACCTGAGAGCTAAGGTGCTTATTTTGATTTCCTCAGACATACTAAAGTATGTTTGCAAAAGGTCTCTCATGCACAAATGCACAAGAGGACGCACACTACTCTATATGACTCCATATGAAAGTCAGAAACTAAGCTTTTTTGCACTGCAACTGATGATCAGCAGCAAAACATACAACTTTTATCTTTTCCCAACAGGGAGAGCCATCAACAATCAAGAATACATCATATGTTGTCATGAATTTGCAATCAAAAATATAATTAAAGGGGAAGTCAATGGGGCAAAAACATAATGAAAGGATAGTCAATTTACCCAGAGTCTGCATTGTTTAGTTTTTCCAAAGCATTTTCCAAAATAAGATTTGTCATCAAAAATCATTCCATTTGCTGTAACACAGTAAAAGTTGTGGCCAAATTAAGACGCAAAAATCACCCTAGAGTGGATAAAAACATCCCCAATAGCACACAAGTGTTAAACTCCAAACCCTAAATAAAAGTAAAAGAAACGGTGCTGCTCGCCCCAGCAAGCATGACTAATGAAACCCAAATAAAACACTGTAAATATGATTGTTTTTGAGATTAATATATCTCTGCTATGCTGCTTGTACAGTTAGGTGAAGCAAAATATTATGTAACAAGCCTCATGTGGAAAAAATATGCACAGTAAACATTTAACACCGCAGACAAGTTTCCTCAGGTTAATAGGGAGCCCTGTCTACTGTCCGACATTGAAGGAGTCTTCGGTGTTTGTTTACATGAAGGTAACTGAAGCAAAGAATTACTCTTCAGGCTTGCAGCATGAGAGGCTTCTCCAAAAACAACAATGTCAGTAATCAGAGATTAACACAAGCGCCAGTTATGAATATAATCATGTACGCCTGTGTTTTTAACATGCAGAGGCCCTGAAACACGCATATATTTGGATACTTTTGTGGCAAACTTTGGACAAATGAATGTCAAATTGTATAAACCTCATATTCAACAAAATATGAAGTGTCATTTCTATTATAAACACGGACTTTAAGCCAAAATGAAGCACAAAAGAAGAGTGAAAAATGTATAAAAATGCTGATTTTTTAAAAAAAATGTAAACAAATGAAAAAAACTAATTTCAACTTGCACTATATTTAACTAACCCAAAACTCATACAACTGTTAATCTCATTCAACAAGTTAAAGTAAAAAATATGCCAGAATTATTTTTTATTTACTTTTAACAGTGGAAAAAAGCCTGTGTAAAACAGTTACCTGCAATTCTTACAATGTTATAACAGTGAATTGTCGTACAAAAAAAAACTGGAGACTGCAAGTATTGTGAAGCTATGAAAAAGAAACCTCTTTAGCTCACCAAAGCTGTATTCATTTGATCAAAAACACAATATATGAACAATTCTAACTATCAAAATGATACAGCTTTGATTTTTGGTCCTACATGAGATTATCTAACAGCTATTTTATTAGTTTCTAAGCCAAAAATTATGGTTATTATAGCTTTTAACCAATATTTACTAAAGAAAATGAATAAAATGTCATTCGTTGTACAATGGAATATGGTCAGTGGTGGAAAGAGTACTGAAAAATCATACTTAAGTAAAAGTACCATTACTTGCCTAAAAATGTAGTGCAAGTAGAGTAAAGGTATCTGCTGTAATATTACTCAAAGTATAAGTAAAATGTAGACATTTCAAAAGTACTCAAGAGTAGTGAGTAGTAAGTATTACGCTGTAAAAAGCTGATGCATTTGCATGTAATTTGTGCATGTTTGTGTAAAGGTGAAATTCTGTAGTGCAATTAGTTATTGCCCAGCAGCAACACAATCTCATAGGACGTTAATATTAGGTTAGATTTAGGTTGTGACGTCAGGTGGCCAAAATTCAATGTCTAGCCAGCGTCTAAGGAAAACATTTTTTTTATGCTCAATAACAACGTCAAATGACATTGAAATTTGGTTGATATTTAGGTTGTTAGAAAGTGACCAAAACCCAACGTCGAGCCAACATCCTAAACAAACATTATATTTATGTCAAATACTAACATTTATTCGTCAGGTATGGCAACCAACATCAAACTTAGTCATAGTGGTAACGTCCACACAACGTCAAGCTGTAACATCATACATAGACATTGATTTTAGGTTGGATGTTGGACAATGACGTTGGCTTGACGTTGAGTTCTGACATCAACCCGATTTTAATTTCCAAACAAAATGCAATGTCCCCACAACGTTGGGTTACAATGTCAATTTGATGTCATGTTGAAATCTTATGCCTGATGGGTGTTTAGGGCCATTTCGGTCAACAAAAAGTAAACATCCGTCATCTTTTCATCAGTGGCATGCATCTAAACAGTCTCTCTGGGTCAATGCATGTAAAGATTTTGGACATCTTCTGGGACACTTCTAATGCCTCCAAAAATTTTAAATCATTTATAAATCGCCCATGTTTTAAGGTTGCTCATTATGATGCGATTTAGCTTTAATGTGTGATTTCACTGGACATGAATCACAGGACTGATTTTTCTAATCCCCATAGTCAAGAAAGAAATAAAGTAGTGGCAGCAGGTTGAAGGAAAGTAGTGGAGTAAAAGTTCCGGTACTCAAAGAACATACTCAAAGGCAAGTAAAAACACACATTTTTAAAACTACTTAGTAAATTACAATTTCTAAGAAAAACTACTCTATTACAGTAATTTAAGTATTTGTAATTTGTTACTTTACACCACTGAATATGATGAAACAGTGTTATTTATTAGTCCCAACAAGATACAAATGTATTGTCAATTTATACCTTGCAACTATCCTTTAAATGACTAAAGCCACTTTCTATTTCCACCAAAAAAAGATTAATCAATCAATAAATAAAAGCAGACCATTTATTTCCACGTGACATGCTTTTAATATATAAAGTCACTTTTGTAAATATATGCAGAACCCAAAATAGGACTTATCATTGACCCACACACAAGTGTAATGAATACATCTGTAGGGCCATCTTTAAGTGTAAACCCAAAGCTTTAAAAGCACTGCTGTTTGCTTAATCATGCCAAGCAGCCTGAAATAATAGCATTCCTCAACAATTTTTGACAACTGTTGGCTCTAACCAATAGTAAACAAGCTTGCTATTGAATTACACCTGTGGTTAGGACTTTTTGAGCTTAAGTTGCAAAAGAATCACTCAGAGAAGTTAATTCTGAACAAAAAATAATGCTAATAAAAAAAGTTTGTAGACACTACATGGTTTTGTTATCTATTTTGTTATCTAACACAATGCAATTCATGCATATTTAATTGCGACTTAAGTATCCAAACACTTTTTCCCTCCAAAAATGATGAATTTCCAAAGCCATTTACAATTTTTAATTATTTTTTCACAATTTTGCACAGATATACCACTTTTTGTTCAAGACCTAAAGCATTAGAACTTTATTTCATCAATATTCAAAGATTATTCAAATATTTTTTGCTAATGAATCACACCAAATACAAGACTGACTGTCTTCACACTTAGCAAGAATGATTAAACTTGTCATAAAGCACATCTTACCAAAACAATATCACAGGAGTCCATTTCTAAAGGTTCCAGAACAGCTCCCTCTGTTTTGCCGTCATCTTTGGTGATGCTGGGTAGCGTCCCTCCATTCTTCAGGATATCGGGAAGCTTCGGCTCCAGCCACTCGAGGGCAGGGCCTACAGGACACACAAAACCCGACTCAGGGGTGCTCATATCACCGGCACACCAGCGCAATGCCCAAAAGCCAACAGCTGCCTCTAATGCCACAGGAATTCTGGCCGTTTAGCGCTCTAACAACTGACACAGAGCTCTCGGCGGAAACCTGAACCTAGGGTCTCACCGTCTGCACGAAGCCCTGCCCATTGTTGACTTATTTGCCTGTTGGCGAGAAGACTAATCTGGCGGCTTTTGTTTTGTTCCAGTATTTGGGAAGTTCAGAGAGTTCACAAGATGCCTTGATACTTTCTACAAGAGTGTAAAACCAGGGTGGTCTTGGAATGAGAGGTTCACTTGCGGTTTCTTTCCAGTTTGACAGTAATAAAATATGTATGATTCACGACTGGGCTGCGCTTAACTAGTGTGCGCAACTAGACTTTTTTTAAAGTTAGTTTAGAAGGCCAAGGACTTTAAGCCAATACGAGTTCAAAACTTGCATATCTGACAAGCGGTATGTTCGTTCAAGGACTGACAACCGTATGGCAATACAATTTGGTAAGTCTGTCAACTGGCACGCTTGAGTGACGCTAGCAGAGCTCTGGTTACCTGCAGAAGTCTATCAGTGGTGGATACAGTTCCTCATTAATTATAAAACTATATTCCACTCCCTGAGAAGGGCTCTGGGTCATAAATTCTACAGGAACAAACATGACCTGAGATTATTGGATTTGCAGCAGCAGAATGCTTCAGTTTGTTTCTAATATGGAGTGAAACTAATTAGCAACTTATGTTCTGCTATCGCTTATTTTGATGCATACAAACACTGAGATGTAAGCAGAAAGACCTGCGGCACCGTGTATTTCGATCTTATCGCACTGACCTGGATTACATATAAGGATCAGTGAGTCGCGAGTGAATATGTGATTTAAGGTATTCAATAACTGTCTGATAGCGGATTTGGAAATGTAGAGTTCTCTAAAAGAGTCTACATTATTTATATTTGGATTGCATTTCGACAGTTAATATACGAGCGGTACATAAACTCTACAACACAAAGGTATTCAACAAATAGGAGGGCCATACACATTCCATTTAAACATTAAGACATGATGTTTTTACTTCTGAAAGGTTTAATGCCAATAACTAAAGAGTGTTAGAGAAGTAAAGGCTGTTATAACAGAAACCACTTGCACCAAAAGATGAGGACCACAGCTCAAATAATTAGCTAATATTTGGCCAATTTAAGATTTTTATCTGATTATCATCATATTGCCACAGCCATATCACCCTGCACCCCAGACCGGTGACTCACTGAAGCCAAGCAGGGCTGAGCCTGGTCAGTACCTGGATGGGAGACCACATGGGTAAACTAGGTTGCTGTTGGAAGTGGTGTTAGTGGAGCCAGCAGGGGGCGCTCAATCTGCAGTCTGTGTGAGTCCTAATGCCCCAGTATAGTGAACGGGTCACTATACTGTGAGTGAGCGCCGACTTTCGGGTGAGACGTTAAACTGAGGTCCTGACTCTCTGTGGTCATTTAAAATCCCATGGCACTTCTCGAAATGAATAGGGGTGCAATCCTTCTGTCTTGGTCAAATTCCCTCCATCATTACCCATCATGAGATCTCAATCATCCCCATACCAAATTGGCTCTATCATTGTCTCTCCACACCATCTATAGCTGGTATGTGGTGCGCACACCGGTGCCATTATCCTGTGGCTCCTGTCACATCATCCAAGTGGATGCTTCACACTGGTGGTGTTGTGGAGAGACCCCCCTCATGATTGTGGAGCGCTTTGGGTGTAGGGCCATACACAATAAATGCTCTATATAAATACACACTACATTTCTTACCTATTACTTACTTACTAATCTCAGACTGGCTGAAAAACTGAGCAGTTGTAAAATCTATTAAAACATATGATATTTGCAATATTTTGCACATCCTGCCCAAGTAGTGGACATCAGCCATTAAAAAACATTAAAAACATTAATAATACACCCACCCAGTAAGGGTGAAGCAATTAGGATGAAGAAGAAATACAGTAATATTGTTCTAAACACCAAATAATCTAACTATAAGAGTAAACATGCGAAAATCTGTTAAACCCTGTGCCTTTTATGATTGAGTGAAACATTATTAACTCTGTAAATTCTTACAAAGCACTCAATGTTAAATACACAAAGTGGTCTTGCAGGGTTTTTTTGTTTTTGTTTTCCTTGCAGAAGCCAGCTTATTACTTCAGTTTTTAATTGGAGTGATGCATTTTAAAGTGCCAGTAGTGAGCATCTATTTTATGATCAGCGTGTTTCTTTCTATTCACTGAGAAAACAACACTCATCACTGTCACTTTTTATCCAGAAATCCATCCATCCGATCAGAGTGGATGAGGGGTGGAGTGAACGCCACATTATTCAACTGTCACACAACATTCTTCTGGCACTTTTTACATTATCAACAAGAACAGACATATAAAAACAGAGTAGAAATTAAAACGTCTCTACACTGTGAAAGATTTCTTTAGTAAGATAAACATCTTCTGAAAAACAAGCTGAGAAGTAACAATATAGTGATTATACCATATCATAGATACAAACATTAATGTCTCAACCTGTAAAAAAATGGCAAACTTCAAAAGTGCTTTCAAGCAGCCACAGCTAGGCGTTCTGAGTAAAATGTGCCAATTTTCAGCAGCCCAAAAACATTTTGGTGGACATAATGTGGTCTAGGCCTAGAGGTCAAAAAATGGGTGGAATATGGAAATGCAAAACTAAATTATGTGCATTCCAATCACTCACTAACTTTAAGGGTTAGTTCACCCAAAATGAAAATTCTGTCATGAATAACTTCAAACTCATAACCTTCCAAACCCAGCCTGACCTTCGTTCATCTTCAGAACACAAATTAAAATACTTTAGGGCGTACCACACTATGTACAGTTGCCTTGAACTTGGCCAAAGCACGCTTGTCCTCCTTCTCATTTCCTCCGACGGCCCGCACTCACATTGCATTCGCACCCGAGCACGCTTACGTCATCGTTGATGCGCTGTTCAATCCAAGAAGTGCTCTCTCTCAGCACAGTGCTGATTTCTTTAGTTATATATCGTTTTAGTGGTTTGGGATGCAGTCAAATATTTCGCCGAACAGATCAGCCACTTTTGACGCTCATAAACAATCATAAAGTCCTCGTGCTGCAGGAATTAGGAGGTTTGCTAAAGGTGCAGCTGTCGTGCAGTGAGGGGTTTGTGTCTTTAATAACCTACAACAGTTTGTTTTCATTGAACTGTAAGAATGATTATAAATCCATATGAAACAGTCCCTTAAAAGTCACGTCTCATCTTTAGTTTTGCGCTTTGCAATCACACTACAAGCATACCACGCCTGAGCCCAAGTGAACAGCACTCTGGCACACCTCTTCCAACCGGGCCAGGACCGGCCAACTGAACCTCGCCTGAGCTTAATTCAGAGCACTCACACTTCTCAAAAAATCCGGGAAACGGGCCTGGGCACGGTTCGGATAGCATAGTGTGAGTATGCCCTTAGATAAAATCCTCATGACAGTTGAGGTATATAGAGGATTACAGCACTTAAATTTCATCTAAAATATTTCATGGGCAGCTGTAGCATAATGATTAGAGAGATAGACTTGTGATTGGAAGGTCGCTGGTTTACTGTATGTATTCACTGCTCTGTGTGTGCACTTGGATGCAAAGCATAAATTCTACATATGGGTTACCATACCTGGCCTAAAATCACGATCTGATTTAAAGATTAATTTGTGTCCAGAAGATGAAGGAAAATCTCAGGAGATTACAATGACATGAGGGTGAATAATTAACAAAACTGTATTTTTTAAAGTGAACTGACCCTTTAACAACTCAAAATATCTGAATGCAAATAAAACTTAAGAGCTAAATTAAAGATTTTATATTGTAAAGAATGGCTTAGAGGTCTACAAGTACACACCCTCTTGCTGTATGAGCGCAGCACCAATCAATAACACCGGTGATGGAAGCTGTGCTTATAAATAACCCTCTTACTGTCCTTTACTGGAAGAGAAAAGCCTTCACTTAACATCCAAGCACTGCTGTGGCTTATGAATATAGCAAAGTCAGGTCATAAATGAAATGTGTGAATCCCAGATTTGTTGCATTATGAACTTAATTAAAAAAATTTTTTTAAATTAAATATCATTTGTTTGTCTGATGTCCTTTCAATAAAAGGTTTTCTTTGGGCAATTACCACTTGGCATGCATACAAGTAATGCATTATATGGAATTGATGAGGTATAAAGTGTGTGTGTAAGCATATGTAATGATACACTCTGCATTAAAGAGAAAAACCACAAGGATCAACATAAATAAAAGATACATAAAACACTCACCACTGAGAGGAAATTTCTGCCTGGCGACTTGTTGGAGCTGCAGGATATGCAGGCAGTCACTAAGGCAGGTCATGGTGGCCAAAGACGTGGCTTTCAGCAGCAGCAGGTCTTGGTCCAAGGGAGAGGGACCCTGGGAAGAGGGCAGACCCTCAATGCTCTGGATCAGGTCTCTGTGCTGGCCCTGGGCCTGGGTCATCATCTAGAACAGGACAGAAACATTTTTCACTGCTTAACTAACTTCCTACATTTCAAGAAGCAAAATCAAATGTGCAACTGGGCCTCTAAAAGCATCCTCTTTTTCCAGTGCAATTCCCAGCAGCATACTTAACAAAACACAACATTTAGCATAAAACAATAACAATAATAATGTACATTGCTCTGCATTTTTAAATATGTTAAACTGCACAAGTAATTCAATGTACAAGAGAGCAAATTAATTAACGGTTTCAGAGTCAATTTGTTTTAGGGCAATGACATTGTGATATTAAATTGTTCTGTGAATATACAGAACTTTTCCCAGAGATGGGTTGCGGCTGGAAGGAGGGCATCCGCTGCGTAACAACTCGCTGGATAAGTTGGCGGTTCATTCTGCTGTGGCGACCCCGGATTAATAAAGGGACTAAGCCGACAAGAAAATGAATGAATGAATATACAGAGCTCTAATCCTCTATGAGAGTTTGTCTAAAATATATCCTTTGTGTTCTGAAGGTGAATGAAGGTCAGGCATTGCATTGCCATATTCCACCCATTTTTTGACCTCTAGCCTAGAGCACATTAAGTCCACCAAAATGTTTTTTGGGCAGCTGAAAATTGGCACACTCTTCTTAGAACAGCTAGCTGTAGCTGCTTGAGAGCAGTTTTGCAGTTTGCCATTTTTTTAATAGGTTGAGACATTTACATTTGTATCAATGATATGGAATAATCACCATGTTTCTTGTCAACTTATTTCTCAAAATTGTAAAGCATGTAGAGCATTTTAAGTTCTTCTCTGTGTAGCGATATGAAATATATATCATTTGAAATGACACCTCAGTATATAAATGAAATGCAATTAATCTATGTTAAAGCTACTTTTTTGAATTTTTTGAGAAAAAAAAAATACAAATTTAACCTTGTCCCAACAGGAAAAGCACCAACAGTCAAGAATGCATGATTATTCGGTGTCATGGCTTTGTAATCAAAAATTAATTATAATAAAAGTCAATGGGGCAAAAACAGCTATGCACATAATGGAAGGGCAGTAAATATGCCTAGAGTGTATTGTTGAATTTTTGAAATTTTCAACGCATTTTCCTAAAATATGTGTCAAAATAAGATTTGTCACCAAAAATCATTCCATTTGCTGAAACACAGAGAAAGTTGTGGCCAAATTAAGAGTCAAAATCACCCCAAAGTAGATGAAAACATCCCCTACAGCACACAAGGATTAAAGATCATGCAATGTGACTATTGCAATGTTGATGCTGAAACGACATATTGTGCAAAACTACTTTGTTTAATAAAATTTGTAAAATAATTATAAACAATTAAAAAGAATATACTGGCAGTTTACGCAAAGCGCTACGATCACTACAATACAGTGAACAGCAAATCAGATCTCTCAAACTGTTATCAAAGCACTGATGATGTTTGTTTTTAATTATAAGAACAGCATACAGTAGCATTATGTTCATATTCTATGCAGCCCACGCACAACAGGCTCCAATTAATTTGGCTGAGAACAGACAGCTCTGGCTCCCAAACGCTAAGCGCTCTTGTGGTAAGAGGTGTCATTCTCACCTCTCTGGCCTCCAGCAAGTGATCGGGCAGCAGTGACTTCCTGCTGGAATAGAGAGAGGAGCCGCGCTGCAGCTGGGACAGGCCCAACAGAGCATTTGAGTTCTGGCTGATCCTGTGTTGAGATCCTGGAGAGCTGCCACTGCCCTGAGACGCCATGGAGAGACTGCGAGACTGCAGCGGTGGGTTTGTCTGTGGGATAATGAATATTAGTTCACACAATTAATGATCATTTTACGTACATTTACACAATTTTTCATCTCAACATGTTTCTATTGCTTCCATAAAACAAATTAAGATATTTTACAGAAATGATAGCACATTAGAGATTATTATTTACAGCAAAGATCCAAATGATAAAAATCTAAATAGTTATTTTTGTGCATTTTTTGTCTTATTAGGTGTTTTCTAGGAAACAGAGCTGTTATACGTAATGATTATCATACCTTGGCTGCACATAATTCAAAGACACTTAAAAATGCAAAGCCAAATCATCACATTTGTTTTATAGGTTTCGTATAAGTTGTTTTTTTTTTCCCTTATACACAAGATCAGGTTGTATGGCTTTAGTTAAATTCATAAATAGTACATGAATTAGTCAACTTTAAAACAAAATAATACAGATCTTTATTTTAACGTTGTATTTGTATATTTTGAACTCCAATTACAAGTGGACTACAATTAATACTAGTAAAATAAGGCTGCACAATATATCGTTTAAGCAACGAAATCACAATGTGCGTAATCGCAAAAGTAACATCACAGGATATGCCATGTTGAGTCTGAATTATATTTGAGAATTGTCGTCTCGTTTCTAGTCCAAAAATCTTTAAAACGTTATTTTACTTAACCCAATACATTAGCAGATTGTTTTACTCGTGTTCCTTTAAATTAATTTTGACCTATTACTTCTGAAATAAAAACTAAATATTTGAACTTGATTTAAAGGTTTTTTTTTAAATATATTTGGACTAGAGACAAAGTCAGAAAAGTATAGAAAGAAGTAAGAAAAGCCTTTTTTGCATTGTGATTATTCAATTTCTGCCCCAGAATACTATTAGACTGTCCAGAAAAAAAAACTTTAAATGTAACAATTCAAACCATCTTGTGAAACTGTTTTCAATTCATTTCATGTTTATTAATATAGCGCTTTTTACGATGTAGATTGTGTCAAAGCAGCTTAACATAGTTCTAGTAAAGTCCAGATTTCAGAGTTGAAGTTCAGTTCATTGTGGTTTAAATTTCACTGCTAAAAGTTCAAACACTGAAGAGCAAATCCACCGAAGCGCAGCTCCACAACTACCGATCCGATTCGGATTGCAATATATATCGCAGACAAAGTAAAAATCGCAATATCAGATTTTCCAAATATCGTGAAGCCCTAATGTAAAACATTTTCAGCTGGTCCAATTACAACCCCTTGCTTATGCAGTGGAAACGCTCAACTGCATTAAGCAGCCACAGGACGATGGGTACTGACGTGACACATGAATGTCAAGGAACATATTGCACAAATGCACTAAACAATGTTTTTACACTATTTTTTAAAATGAACAAAACACACAGATTAGAATCTAAATAATTAATACCAACTGCCATACACATCAACTTAATTTGATTAAAATGGATTAGCTCATTCAACAGCACCTGTGTTGCACTAATCACACATGTGATGTCGGACCTGAATATGGCTGTGTGATTTGGGGAAATTTCTAACTGCAATTTTTTTGACAGATATTGCGATTTTGATTTAATTTTGTAGTCAAACTTTAGCTCAAAAATCTGTATTAGCTTCTTACTCCTAAAATAAAGTGAGTGTAAAGAAAGGAACTGAAAGATATTAACTTACTTAAACATTTATTCAAATTTGTTTTTAAATATTTAGAAATTAAACATTACATTGTTTCTCTAGAGCAGGGGTGGCCAACCCTGTTCCTGGAGAGCCACCTTCCTGCAGATTTCAGTTGCTACCCATAACACACCTGAACCAATTAATTAGGACCTGAACACCACGTGATGATTACAGGCAGGTGTGTTTGATATGTGTTGCAACTGAAATCTGCAGGAAGGTGACTCTCCAGGAACATTGCTAGCCACCCCTGCTCTAGAGCAAATAGTAAGCACAACTAAAGTGACCTTAAGTTCAACTCAAATTAGGGAGATATTAACAAAAAAAAAAAAACGGAACAACACTCATAAAAGCTATTCTGTGGCTTATATTGTCTAAAAATAAAATAATGATCACAGATGCTACACAAAATACCCTGACATTCAACGTAAAGCTGTGGTACTGCAAAATGGCAAAAATATGTGTGAGACGGAATTGTATATCTCCAATCGAGCATATGGAAAGGGTTTTAAAATGTCTCTTTGGTCACTGCATTAAATGGCACCGTGATGTTAGCAAGGTTGTGAGTTATGTTAGTCATCTCCTGTTGCCTTTGTAATGTTTTTCATATGGTGTAACTGCCATAGATATATACACTAGATATCGCATAGGGACCCTGAGCATGCGTCAATAGCGCCGCCACATTAGTACAGTGCTCCCAGGACAAATGTCATTCAACCGCACTAGTCAAGACAGTGTTATTACGTGAAGATGCGGGACTTTAGCGATGTCTACGGTTGTAGTAACGAGCAAACATAGAAAAACAAAGCAAAAAGGCAGAACATTTCATAGGTAATGTTAAGTTTTTTTCTGTTTTTGTATGTTCTGAACTTTTGTGCTAATCAGGTAACGTTATTGATGATAACAGTCACTTACTGCATTCACCATAAGGCAAAGGAGCTCCAACTTGCACTAAACACTCAGCTTATGCTAGTTTTGTTGTATAAAATCAGCTAACAATGCAAAAGAAATATGACAACGAGATGCTGCGCTGCCAGAAACTTGCATTATATTGTCGGCTAGTGAAAGAGTCGTTCGGGGGATTCATTCACAAACGAATCGCTCCCTTCGTCAGTATGAGAAGTGAAAGCAGGAGAGGAGGTGTGTTTCAGGACATGATTAGATCAAATTTAACAGGGAGGGTAAATAGTACATTTCTGTACACACAAACACAAGCTTTTTGTCAGGAATGCCCATGCTGTCACTGATCGATAAATGTAGAAAAGTGATTTAAAATGATAATTTTCGTAATTAGAAAAAAAACGTACATACTAATATCCAGGAAAACTCCCGATCATAGATATATGTGTATATGTGTATATCTCTGGCTTTGGATGGCCACAGTCCTCCACTGTACCTTGGTCTCGCATTCATTTCAAAGGAGCGCTACCCTGTACCAAGATGGCGGCGCTATAGACGCATTCCGTCCAATAGACAACAATAGGCCAGGCGACATCTAATGTATATATCTATTTGTAACAGCCACACACAACTAAAATTGTACTTTGCTGTTGCCTGCTACTAAATTGAGTGTCACTGGCAATACTTTAGTTGACTTTTTAGCAAGACACTCCTCATATAGCCGCCTGCGGTGCTTTTTCTGGAGCTGGTTGTTGTATTTCCTCATGCTGGCAACAATTCTGCTACAGCTCTTACAAATGGTCTGTTTTGTTTGGTGTCTTTGACTTTAAAACCAAAATATTCCCATATTACCGACATGCTGTTTTTCATATATATATTTATTTATTCATCTATTAATGCTTCTGAAGCGGCAGACACCATCATCCAACTTGTCCATATTTCCTGCTTGTTTTTTATTGTGGGCGTTCCGCATAGTTTGGTCGACAATTCTGATTGGGCAGAAGAAAAGTGTGCTCACTCTATTGTCTAATAAGACGGTCACACACAGAAAGCAGTCAGGCATTTGCTCTGGGTGAGGGAAATGAAATAATATATATTTTATTTATTTTACGTATCACAGTCTCTTGCGATTAGCTTTCGATTAATAGCACAGCCCTAATCCTGAATAAATAAAAGAGAAGAGTCTCAAAGAAATATGAACACGAGAGATGCGTCGAGATACATGATAATAGCAGGTGAAGACGGTAATGCATTTCAGCTAACAATCTTTGACTAAAAAAATTTTAATACTGTTAAAAAATATTAATATTTAATGTTAATACAAGGCGGAAACCAGGCCTTATAATCTGGATTAAATGTTTTTGCAGGAACGTAACTGAATAGGTCATCAGAAAGGCCACTGAGCATTACGCTAGTGTTAACAGTATTAAAGGTGTCTGGTTGTAAGTCTCACCTTGCCCATGGCTTCTGTGTGATGCTGTGCACAGACCTGCAGTCGACTGACCCAGTGCTGTCTCTCCTTTGCATCTGAGGCTGAAGTTACACAAGCAGGTTTTATAAAGAAGCCTTTTAATATAAACTACTATATCAGACCAGCAACGCATGCAAGTATATTGAGCATTTTATTGGTGCACCATCTAGAGTTGGTTTATTTGGATTAAACCACTCACTTTATAGAGAAACTTAAAAAAGGAAGCGAAACCACTTTTTAAAAAGCAGCATAATAAGAAAGAGTGAAGGAGATCATGTGACAACCTCTGAGTTTGTATTGCTCTCCGCTGATGGCGTTGACAGTGAAGGTGTGTGAATCTTCATCGCTGGGGGAAATCACTGCTCCGCCTAATGGCAGCGAGCCCCGGGGTTTCTGATTCCTGGACTGCTCATTCACAAAGTATTCTAGCAGACCAGCCTCATTGTTGAGCACAAAATATCTGTTGTGTGTGGAGGGATACATTTTACATCAATATTAGAAGATTCATTGGGGTAACGCTGGTTTTATATTCGCACATTCTGACTTTCTCCTTAATAATATAATTCAGAAAAGTATTGTTTGCAAAGTCTAAATAGGGAAATCATATTAGCAGCCAAAGTGCAACACAGTTCACAGTTATTTAAACAGTGCTAATGTTGTTTTGAAGTCAGTCTCACATGCGATTTCAGACCGATAGTCAAAGTCGTGTGGTAAACAATATAGGAACCGTCTCACAAGTTGCCAATGAATGAACGTGCAAATATAAAACCAACTTTACCACAATGGAAGATTCTTGTTTTGCTTAAACAAAAGGCCAACATTGTATCTATCTACCTGAAATTGTGTATATATACATATTTGCATATACACATGTACAGCATAATATATCAAAGAAAATATGTAATATATATATATATATATATATATATATATATATATATATATATATACACCCTATCTGCTGAAATTCCAAAGATTATTTTGAATCTGAACATAAGACAAATACATCAGACTTACCGATACTGCCATCCAGTCACCAGATTGGTGTATTTCATCAAATATCCATCCACTTTTTCCATTAGGTCACTAAAGTTGATAAAAAAAGTAATTAAGCTTCATATTATAAAAAATATAATAAAAAAAATTAAACCATTACCACAGGAACATATTACAAGATATCTGTATTTATATAACTATAAAGCAGCACAATATACACAGGATGCTTCAGGTATTCCCTGAGAATAATAACGTTAGCAGATAAAGGTCCACCGTGTATATGCATATGAATAATATATAACGAAAGTAAGGGGGGGTTGCCATCCTGCCTAATAAACACATACGTAACGCGTTTAGAAAAGTACGATTGGGAAAGATATGGGTAAAATATGATAACGAAACCATTTCTGAATGCCATGCTTGAGTTTTGTTTACTCCGGGAATTGAATATTAAACAACTTCTCATCACATTATTTCTTTCAGCTAATCTATATCGAGTAGTTCTGTAAGTAAACACTAAAGGAGGATATCTGAGTGAGGTACCTGTACTGCCAGGATTTGGAGCCCGTCCTGCCTGAACTCTGTGAGCCGCTGTGATGCTCCAGCACGGCTTCAGTCTGCATGATTGGACCCTTTCTATGAACTACAACAGCGATCTAACACTTCACCTGCCAGGCAGAAAACACAGTAACCGGTTTCATACGGCGAAGTGGACTGTTATGACAGCGGTTTTAACCATCTCTCTCGTTTAATACTCTGAATTAAAGAACCACTGGCATGTTTATGTCTCGTGCAGCCATGACAGAGCGTGAAGTCATTCGCGACCCCGCGTCATGTGACAGGAAAAGCAAATTAATGAAACGACAGAAGCTGAACTATTTGACTCTAATAATGCTACGTATTACATATCGGACATATAAATATAGTTTACTCCACTGATATTTGGTATATAGTGATGTTTTATTTTTGAAACGCTACATTAACCCACTTTTCAAATTAAAAGTCCTAACAAGAAACAAGAAGGAAGAGCGCTAGCTCAGCTCTCGTTCTGATTGGCTAGATGTGATGACACCACCCTCGTGACGTTCAGAGTTAATTCATGAGGTTTCGTTTGTTTCTAATGTTTATTTTAATCGAAGTACAACTCTTCCAAGCAGTTTATCTACTTGAAATATATATGTTTAAATGTTTTAGATGGGTAAATCTTTTTGCCAACCAAGACCACCAAGTTTATTTAATCACTCTGCAAAAATAGTATTGTAAAATATTTTTACAATTTATAATAGCTGTTTTAAATTGTAACATATTTTATAAAGTAATCGTTGTCTTAAATGTCACTTTTGATTAAATTAATATACAGTGCATCCCGAAAGTATTCATAGCGCTTCACTTTTTCCACATTTTTTGTCACAGCCTTATTCCAAAATTGATTCAATTAATTTATTTTCTCAAAATTCTACACACAATACCCCATTATGACAATGTGAAAATAATATTTTTGGAAATTGTTGCAAATTTATTTAAAAAAAAATAAAAAATAAAAAAAATCACATGTACAGAAGTATCCACAGCCTTTGCTCAATACTTTATTGATGCACCTTTGGCAGCAATTACAGCCTCGAGTCTTTTTAAATTTGATGCCACAAGCTTGACACACCTGTCTTTTGGGAATTTTTGCTGATTCCTCTCGATCAGGTTGGATGGGAAGCGACTGAGTACAACCATTTTCAGATCTCTCCAGAGATGTTCAATAGGATTTAGCTCTGGTCTCTGACTGGGCCACTCAGGGACATTCACCGAGTTGTTGTGAAGCCACTCCATTGATATGTTGTGGCGGTGTGCTTTATAAAAATTTTATGAAAACGATTAAACAAAAGCATCAATCTTTTAAAGAAAAAACTTGCTGACCCCAGTAAATTACATGGCAAGCTTTAATGTAACAAAAGCTTGCATTTTCATATAAATGTGGTCATATAGAGCTTTGTTTTGTTTAAGAATCATTACTAAACTGTGTTTAAAAAAGAAACAATCATCAGTTCCTGGTTCCCTCCTAATCCCCAGTCGATTCAGCAATGTTTATACTATTTTAAAGACATTGCGCAACTAGAGCAATCCACTGCCTTAATTAACAGAGCAAAAGATTTCAACTATTCTTCTTTGGAACCAAATACATGATCATTTGATCTCCATTATCAAAATTAAGTGATTTAATACAATGAAGCAAGAGAAATGTTTGAGATGTCTGTTAAGATTTAGATGACAACAAACTATTTTTTTTCTGTTTTCTGTCTGATCTGTTATGCAATCATTTTATTAGACATTTTTTCAGTTATGTACTTCTCTGACATTGTGTATATAGTCTATCCCTTTTATACTTATATGCTTACATGTTTCTGTATGCATTTATGCGTATATGTGTGTTCTGTTTATGTGTACATATATATAATTTGTAATTTTTTTATTTTGTTTCATATTGTTATCAACCATATATATGCATAACCAATATACACATTGAACCAAGTCAATGTTGAGGAATTCTGTTATTACCATTGCTGATAACCGTGTCTACTAAAAACAAAGTTTAAGTAAAAAAAAACAGACAAAAAAATGTATATTTAAATAGAAAATTGTAAAAAATAAAATAAAAATAAAAACATTTCTCAACTAAAGTATTAAGTAAAGTAAGCCACATTGCACAATATAAGCAATCTTCTGTAATGTACCATATTTACTTTACCACAGATTCTTTTATTCATCCTCTAGCCAACTGTCAACAGAACTATTTTGTCTTCGCATATATTTTTGCTGTTGGACAATGACTCACAATTTGGTTATAAAGAACAAAGTAACACATTCTGCATCCTGTCATAATGAAAACACAATTTTTTAAGTAAATATAAACATAGATTACTTATAAAGCGTTCAACCACCTGAATGTTGACTCCAAATGCAAAGTAAAAACATTTCTGTTCAATTCATTTTATTGGGAAAAATAAACAAACGTTGACAATACAAATAATGTCCCGACAGTCAAGGAGGTGATGGATTGGTTACAAATAAACATTTCTTTAAATAATGAGTCATTAAAAGAGACAGAAGAAACTATAAGGGATTATATGAGGTGGATTTTTTCTTTGTTCTGCATAGACTTGTCTTTGGTCTTGACATCAGTCTCATAGCTTGGCATTTTCAAATGATGTCTGTTCATCATCTTATTGGCTATATGCTCCTCCATGCTCAATGTCAATTCAATTTTTTATCCACACAGAATAGTTAAACAGGTTCCACACAACATAAATTCCCAGAAAAAAATTGCCAAATTAGATATTAAATAAATTATTAAATAACATGATGATAAAACAAGCTACATCTATTGAAGTGTACAAATCAAAGCATAGTGCTTACCTGAACACTACACTGTAAACCCAAGAGTCAATTTTATTAAATGAAATGAATGTAGTTAACTCAAAATTGACTGAAAGTTAATTCTACTCATTTGAAAAGAGTTCAGACTCTTTAAAATACCTCATTACATCAAGTTAAATGGGGTAAGTTCACAGTACTACTCATATAGATCAGTTTTTTTAACTCAAATGATTAGTTGCAATCGGTTTCCTCAAATGGTTTAAGTTGACTTAACTTACTGGGTTTTACAGTACTTAGTTGGTTTGAGTTCTCTTCATTTATTGAGTTTTACAGCGCTCAAATTACTTCGTTTACTCAAATGGATTAAGTTCACAGTACTCATTAGAATTAGTTTTTAAACTTAAATGGTTTGTTGCAATCGGTTTCCTCAAATGGTGAGTTACCTTATTTTTTTGGGTTTACAGTGTAGAACACAATCAAATTAAATCTGTTAAACTTGTGTCAATGAAAACTACGCATTGATTTCTCGTAAATGAAATGATGCTAGACTTAATACATGACGATTTAAAATGAGAAACTCAAACATAATCATTGTCAAATAAGTTAGTATTTGTAGCAAAATGACTATTTATGCAGAAATAATTGAAAAAAGCAAGTCCTATTATGGGTTTCACTCCTTTCTGACAAACAAAAACAACAAAGTGAAATGAGATTTTAGTAGTTTCTGTAAATCATCCAATGATACCAACTCTCAGTTTCTGTAGTAATGATTATATATTTAGAGAAAAAGGTTCTCCTATAAAATATAAAAGCTTGCTTTGAATCTTAGGAAACTCAAAGTTGTTTAGTCACACTGTTAAATCTATGCTCCTGCTGTCCTTGAGTGAATACCATGAAGGAAAGGCATTTCAGTTGAGGTTTGATTAAGAGTACAAAACTCCTTCAGTTACACAATAATGAGCTTAAAAAAACTGCACAGCTCACCAGTCCAACATTTCAGAATATAAACAATACACTTCATACGGTAAATACAAACTCATAAACCACACCATAAGAATCACTTCAATTGCATTCCTCCATCTGTCAAACAATTAAATCTCTTCATCTGACGGCACACTCATAAAGCAAAAAAAAGAAAATCATTCACATAGCAGCTAACAGTCCTACAATAAAAAAACATGGATATATTTACACACTTTACTTACGCAAAGGCTCTAAAATCAGGGTTACAGTCAAAGCTGCCATGTTTGTCTCGTATTACAGTTGCATTTTAATAACACTGTCCTGAAAATAAACGCACTGTAAATAAAATAATATCTTATAACACTAAAACGCTTACAAATGGTTAAAATCTCAAACAATGAATTGGTGTATTTAGTTACAAGATGACAGAGCAGCATCGGCACATGTTGCTCATTAAATATTATAGGATACAAAAAGAACAAGTAAAATACGAGATAAATACATTATAGATACCTTCACTAGTCTTCCAACACCTCAACAATAACAATCCAATCACATATACAGTGCAACTCCTCGGTATTTGTTCCCAATTTTTTTCCAACAACAACAAAAAAGGCTACATTATAAAAGCATTTATAAATGGTTAAAAGTGCCATACTGATGGCAACGTGCTACTGTAGTGAACTAAACCATGTAAAAGTGTTTATAGCATTGGGAAAATAAAAGATGCATACTTCTTGCTGTAGGCAAAGTAATGATCACACAAATTTCATCTGATATCTTATAGAGAACTATAAAAAGCACTTTCTCATGGGCTTTTGACAAGTTGATTGTTAGAACACAAATAATCTGCAGTTTTGGCAGGACAGCCCTTTACAACAAAACATCTGGCAACACATTTCAAGGTAAACAGAGAGTCTATCTTCAAAGCGGAAGTGTTTGTCAAATAACGATTAAAATAAAACGCACGTGTTTATATACAGTAAAGTCCAAAAATGCTATATTTTGTCAATCATGTTTTTCATTCCTTGTAGTGTCGTCACGATACTGGAATTTACACCTCCGATATGATACCTTGATAAATATCTATATTTGATACTATTTTCGATACTGTGGGAAACAAATTCCGCAACACAAAGTATTCAAATGAAGTAAAAAAGGGAAAAATAACTAAACCATATAATGCTTGCATCAGGTATTAGGGCTGCACAATATATCATTTCAGCATCGATATCGCTATGTGCGATCTGCAGTGTAGTTGGGATTATAGTTGACCAGATATTTCAGTTAACAACATAGAGGAGTAGATACAATTTTTAACCTTTGAGGGAAAGTTTGTTATTCACATGTGTTTTTAAGGCCTGACTGTAAGAATTTGAAGTAAACTAAAGTGATTTGGGCACAATAAATGAAACATTTCTAGCTTAAAGATTCATTAATTAACATTATTTTACCATTAACTCAATTAAAATTTAATTATTATTATACAGTGATTATTTAATTTCTGCTTCTGGATACTCTATAGAAAATGACAAATTATAGTTTTTTTTTTTTTTGTCTGTTGTACTTAACTATGCTTGTCATTTTTTAAATGATATTTTATCCATATTAAACATTCCTACAGAATCATACAAATCAATCTAAAATGATGAATTCTTTACAAGCTATTAAAGTCATCTGGTCAAATTGCATTTATATCGCAATATACAGTTGAAGTCAGAATTATTAGCCCCCATGTTTATTTTTTCCCCAATTTCTGTTTAACAAAGAGAAAATTTCTTCAACATATTTTTAGACATAATAGTTTTAATAACTCATTTCCAATAATTGATTTATTTTATCTTTGCCATGATGACAGAAAATGAGATTTCACTAGATATTTTTCAAGACACTTCTATACAGCTTAAAGTGACATTTAAAGGCTTAACTAGGTTAATTAGGTTAACTAGGCAGGATTGGGTAATTAGGCAAGTTATTGTATAATGATGGTTTGTTCTGTAGACTATCGAAAATAAAATTAGCTTAAAATTTAAATTAAAAACTGCTTTTATTCTAGCAATGTTTTTTCCAGTATCGTGCAGGTATGCCAGCAGTCCTTAAGTCCAAAAGGCAATAAATAAACAATTAATTAAAAATGTGCAATCTCATCTTATTTTCTGATTATATCAAAAGTGTTCAAATGTTAATATTCTTATAAATGATTGATCTTCATACTGGTGAAAGACTGCGAGAGAATAAAGCCAGTATCGATACTAAACAAAAGCAAGATTGTATCATTTTAAATATATCAGTATCAATATGTTTGACAAAACGAATTCCTTGCACCATAATATCTTAAAACTCTTACAAATATTGATATTTTTGTAAATAATAAAAAATCCCAATTATTGTTATGATCTTAGAATTCTCAGGACTCAAATGTATATTGATCAAACTAAACAGTTTAGACATACCTACAGTACACAACAGCAACAAATTCAGTTCAGCACTTGCACTGACCTTGGCCCATTTACATCCAGGATAACTATAATGATAGTCGGAAATCATTCCAGATGACGATCAGCTCATACCGCAAATACGATATCAGGGGAGTAAAATAATATAACTGGATATTGTTCAAAATATCATTCAAGCTGATGAAAATGATAATATCGTCAGCCAGAATCTATCCATGATATCAAGCAATTAAAGCATCCGATGACAGAACTGCAGCACGCACTTTACGAAACTGCACGTTTTTGTGCCAAACATAGTAATGGTTATCTTTATCTTTCTTAAATGTAAACAGGACTCACAGGGGTTCTTCATACCAAAATGAAATATCTGTCATTATTTACTCAGCCTCATGTTAATCCAAACCTAGGAAGCTTCTGTTTATTTTTAGAACAAGAACAACAATAAACATATTATAATCAAATCTGAGAGATTTTTGACCCTCAATTAAATAATAAATGTGTGTTAAGATGTAGATTAGGTATCCAGATATTGGATATGTATTTGATTTGTAACTACATTTGGAAATGGTGCAGATCAGTTTTTTTAAAAAATGCAAGCATCCATTAAAGTTAATGTGTCGAAAACGTTTTTTAGCTCACACCCGAAGACGAAAATTCTGTCATTTTTTGCTCAAACCTGCGCAAACTTACAAAATTTATATAACCATTATTGGTTCTTACTGAAACTCAAGTAAGCCACATGACACAAGAATGATCGTCATTGGTAGGGCCAGACGAAATCTGCAGACGTTTTTGCCATTTCTGCTGAGAATTTTGGTAAAAGTCTGCATATTTCTGTGGAATTGTTTTAGGAGTATCATAACTAAAACCTTAATATGCGAAATTAAAAATATATATTTTAAAACTTTTATTTAATGTTTAAAATGCAAATCCATTTAGATTAACTCTATTTGGTAAAATAAAGCAAGTTTGTCATATAACATATCTAGTAAAAGACAGAAAATAATACTGTACAAACTGCATTGTACATAAATCAGATGAACGTTTTCACATTAGTCAAAAATATTACTGAAATTTATTAAAAAAATACGGAATAAATATAGATTTACACACATTTACTCAAGTAAATAAACAGAATTAATGATGGGCTAAAAATCTGCAAAAAATCTGCACGCGCAGATTCCGGGTGGGCCTATTAGTTTTCACACCCCAAGCAAGCATGCTCGAAGTTGTTATCTAACATGAATGCTGTAAACATTGTTCGGTGATCAGTGTTTGCTAAACTGAATCTGTTATTCCAAACAGTATCTTCACTACATGATATACATTGACACCTGATAAAAGGTTTCTTTTCCATGTTAAAGGGAGTGTTTGTCCTGACCATCTATGAAGGCGACTCACAAAGTTTCTTTATTAGAAATGGTTTCTATTTCTGACTTGGCTAAACAACCGAATTAAACTACCATGACATTGATCACCTCAGGTACCGATTTTGTGCTTAATTCAGTTAAATGATACCAATTTATGTGACATAATTAACCATGCCGAAAGCATCAGCAGAGAGTTTACCTCAGATCTTGATAATAAAACAACTAGCAAACATGTAGTTTACCAAAAATGCTAGTCGCTGGTCTATTATTTCATGTTGTTGTATTTCACTTGTCTTAAAACGCTTGATTTATAAAGATTTCCTTTTTGATCTCTTCATGAAGGTTCTGAAGCAAGTTATCTATAAAGAGACTTTCATTGGAGGAACCGAAATCTTTCAGAATTTGGCTAAGAACAACATGAGGGCGAGTAAACTATGACAGAAATACCATTTTGTGTTAAACAAACCCTTGAAAATAAATCTCACTTGCACTACTTCATGCAAATTCACAAGCATCGTCAGTCACATGACCTGATATATATTCGCTGATCAAAACATTGCCAGCAAATAACTTCATGGAACAACCGAGCAGCACCATGAGCCGAACACCAGAGAGAGAATCTTCCATCATTCTCAGCCAGACGGCTATTTTAAAATGCTACCGGTCCATCAGAGAGACAAAGAGAACATTAATTAGCACCTGCATAACCGTGCTGCGCGACCGCAGCTTGCATGACTATGGCTTCACATTGGATCTAAAGCTCGCTGGCACCTGACAGCCAGACAAGGAGGAGTGCAATCAATGGCTTTTGCCCACAGCTCCACACTCAAAGAGAACAGTTATCTGACCGCAGACTACAGTACGGAAGTGATCAGTCGCCGGATTGCCCTCCACGTCAGCTAAACCTCAAGAAAAGCCTGTGGCAGCAAAGGTCGCCGTATTCACCCATTCAGCCAGGACTAAAGTCAGTCCCAGCCACAGAGGAGGAAGCCGATCAGCAGTGGAGTGAGAGTTAACAGGAGCTGCCATAAGTTCACCACTAAAAAGGAAGATCTGGAACAAGGATCTGAGGGAAGAAAAAAGTCATTATAATAGGAAACGCATAAATCTTTCTTAGAATTTTTGTTTGTTTTTACATCCAGGGTTCCCACTTTCAAATTCCATGACGTTTACAAAAAAATAAAAATAAATAAATACAATGTACCCAGTCTAACACCCAATCTCTGAAGTGGTTTGTAGACCAATGTCTGAATTTTGTAGACAATGCTCTTGAAATCTAATGGCATGTCTGATTTAGTTAAAACCAGCCTGGTGTATTTCACTTACAGAACCGCCGGTTGACGTGGAAAAATTTTAAAAACACTGAACAATAATAACTGAATTAATAAATGGCCCTTAAAATAGCCTAACCACTACAATATAGTCAAACCTGTGAATCAACATGCAATCACAATACAGTACAGAAAAAATAAGATTATAATCAAATCAAAATTGTTGATGAATGAAAAATATTAAAGTGACAAAAAAGTCCATGATACTTCAAAACTTGATAGAAATAAAAACTCCCTGACTTTCAATGTCTGCAATAAACCTTTTAAAATTTAGTGACATTCTAGAAATGTCTTGAACCCTGTGGGAACCCTGTACATATCATTCACATGTTCAGTAATGCATTTACCAAACGGACTGATCATAAATGACGAAAATAAAGAAAACTGATTTCACACAGGGCTGGGCAAAAATCTCATGTCACGATTTTAAATACCTCATTTCCTGATAATGATATTACAATATAGTACTTCTCTGCATATCTATTAATAGCTTATTTACATATTGACCACATAGAAAGAACTATTTCTTTTTTCAAAAATGTACTCATTCATATGTGAACATTTTTTCTCATTTTATTTAGAATTTCAAGGCAACTGTTTATTTAAGAATGTAGAAATATAAGACAAATCTTAATTAAATATAAAACACGTAAAAATAATAATAATAATAATAATAATAATAATAATAATGATGATGATTACAAACCCAGCATGAAATATTGCTAAACAAAATGTAAAATGTAAATATTGCAATTTCAAGCTTGCAGCTTTCTCAACACGTAATTTTTCCTGTGGTGGTGTGGAAAATTTTGGTCATAAAAGTATTAAAAATAATAATAATAATAATAATAATAATAATAATAATAATAATAATAATAATAATAATAATAATAATAATACACACCACAAAATAAATAATAGGGAAATAATATAAAAAAAAATTTTACAGTTCTGATAAGATGTAGAGTTAAAGTCAGAATTATTATCCCCCCTTTGATTTGATTTGATTTTTAAATATTTCAAAATAATGTTTAACAGAACAAGGACATTTTTCACAGTATGTCAGATAATATTTTTTCTTCCCCTTTTGTTTTATTATTTCGGCCTAAAACTAAAGCAGTTTTTAATTTTTTTAACAACCACTCAAAATAATTAGCTCCTTTAAGCTATACTTTTTTCGATAAACTACATAGTTTCTAATTACCCTATCCTGCCTAGTTAACCTAATTAAGCCTTTAAATGTCTAATATTATTAGAAATGAGTAATTAAAACTATTATGATTAGTAATGTGTTGAAAAAAAATCTTGTTAAACAGAAATTGGGGAAAAATAACCAGGGGGGCTAATAATTCTGACTTCAACTGTGTGTGTGTGTGTGTGTGTGTGTGTGTGTGTGTGTGTGTATATATATATATATATATATATATATATATATATATATATATATATATATATATATATATATATATATATATATATATATATATGTATATATATACACAGTACAGTACATACTCGCTAATATTGCACAGCCCTAATCTCACATAAATCACTTTTGCAAATACAGATATTTAACCAGTTCTTACACATTAAAGTTTTTACATTTGTTTCTTTTTGTGTGATTTAATGTATTTTTTTATTATTTTAACATTTCATGTGAACACATTAGCATTGCTTTATAAATGATCATATAATTAAAAGTAATTCTAATTCAAACATGACATTTACGATTCCATAAATTATTAATTAATGTTATTGTATTACCTTTGAGCTGAACAATATATCATTATATTTCGGTAATATATTTCTGTTATAGAGCTGAACAATATATCATTTGAGCAATATCGCAATGTGTTTATGCGCAATAGTCAAATCGTAGGATTAGTTTTATTATAAAAATATTATTTATACAATGAACTTCATGCTATTTTACTTTTGATTATAGCATTTTTGTATATGAATACTTTTAGACTCCCCAGAAAACTATAAAGCACTGTGTTTAACTTTTAATTTTGTTCTGTCGTTTTTGTATTTACTTGCCTTTTATATATTATGCAGATGCACTCCATAGAAATTGCTTGATCAACCCAGTCAATCTAAATTAATGAATTTTCTCTAAAAACAGCTATTCAAATCACCAGTTGACATTGTATTAATATCACAATATAAATAGCAGCAAAAGAAAATATCGCAATGTCAGATTTTTCCAATGTCGTGCAGCAGTTAGAGCATAAATAACAGCTGAATAAGAATTTGCCCTTTTAAAGCTGAATGTGTCAGTATGTAATACGCTGCATATCTGATAGTAACTGACCTATTGGAGCACTCTTGGTAGTGTTTAGAGGAGGTATCAGATGAGGCAGAGGGCAGTTGCTGCAGAAGTCAGAGCAGGCTGGGCAGATGAGCTGACCGTTGTACACCCATTCATTCATCCGTATACTCACGCTGATCACCTGACCAGTCCGAACACATAGAAAGGTTTCGTTCTGCACCCAAACCAGCAACCCTTGAGCTGTACAAGACACCTGCAAACACAAATCAGTTTTAGTATATATATCAATTATGACAAAATTAATTTCTCCAAAACATTTGAACGACAGTTTATACATTTACTGATATGAAAAATTAGAAGACCACTTATAAATCATCAGCTTCTTCAAATTTATGATTTACGTATTTTTACGTAAACCTTTTTTGGTTTGTTTTATGAATTTTTGTTTTATTCTATAAACTACCGATGCCATTTCTTGCTAATTTTTGTCAAAAAGGTGCCATGTTTTTAGACATATTTATTTTTAGACAACACAATACCAGTTTTAACTTCACTATATTTGATAGAAAAACCCAAATTCACATTCACAACAAACAAAACATGTTATTCTGAACAATTCTCATTTTCTAAAAAGTAAAAAATGCTCTAAATGACTATATTTGGGTTTGAAATTATTAAGAAGTGTTAGCACAGATTTACAGATTTAAACAAATATAAACATATTACACAAACCTATAACTACAATATCCAGTAAATCCACAAAACCTAAGAATTATTAGTTGTTTTTATTGCAGTATCGCACCTCACATCTAATATTCTTCTTACCTTATAGCATCCACTGCCCCAGTCTGGGTAAGTCATTCGTTTGGTGCACTGCTCCATAACAAATGCAGATTTCTGGTACAGACAAACTGATCCTGGGCCATATTGTTCTGCCCCATAGTTTCTCCATGTGGCTAAAAAAGCAGATTTCTAATATCATTAACAGTTGTCGAATGATGCAAAAAAATTGTGCAAAAAAAAAAAAAAAAAGCCACAGGAGTGCTTAGAAATGAATGTGAGAGCTGTGCGTCTCACCTGGTTGGTTCTCCTGAATCCTGCAGTAAGAGCTGCGCTGATATTCACCTCCCACATGCCAGCTAAACTCCTGGCTAAAAGGACAGTAGTCTGCGATTTCTACAGCCCCTCCATACGCAGACAAATCCTCCTTGGGGACGCCAGGAATATGGTCAAAGTACTACAACATATAACATAAATATATATATTAGAGGTGTGAACCTATACTGGTCTCACGGTTCGGTTAGATTATCATGCCTTCGATTCGGTTCAATTCGATATCTCGGTGCATTGACGATGCTTTCTATATACAGTATTATATTATAGGGGGGAGGCTATAACAAGCTGTCTGTATAAACACACAGACACACAGCACCGCACTGTCTCTCATTCAAACACATACACAAACATGACAGCAACAAACACACACACACACACACACTTAAGCCCTCGGAACAGGGAGACCTCAGTATGAGCGGAGCAGGAGAAAAAAAAAAAAAAAAGAAGCACTGAGCTCCTCTCAGCGCGAGCTCTCCTGGCTAAACACATATTGCGAGGGCTTAAACGGAGCAGTGCTCGTAATGTCGAGTGAAAAACAGAAAGACAGCTGTGAAACATAACCAACTGTGTCTTTTTGTAGGAAACACACTCTAGATCTTTTTTGGGTAAGAGTTTTTTGAGTTAATGCCGTCTATAACTGAATGTGTCAGGAATATCGAAAACAAAACCAACTGAACCGCGCTCATTTCTGGCACCTCCATGGATAAACAGCGCCCTTAGCATTTGCCTAGGGTGCCTATGCCACGGGCCGGCCCTGAGTTGGCTGAGTGTTGTAAATACTCGCTCTCACCTCCCTCGCGACAGAGTGCGTAGGAGATAAATGACGTCAGTACATAATAACCGGTTATGATTATTACTGAACCGATACAGAATTGTCCGCGTCTGCATCACGGTGCACCGAAAAAACAATTAATTTTGACACCCCTAATATATATATATACACACACACATACACACACACACATGATTTAAATATACGATGGTTTAATCAACCTTCTATAAAGGCACTTATCTTGGATTTATATGTAATCATTTTGCAGATGCTTTTATCCAAAGAACTTTCAAATGAGGACAACAGAAGTGATAGGAGTGTTACTGGTAAAAGACACAATTAAGTATTATAAAGAAAAAAATAGAAAGAGATTGTTAGCAGTGTTTGGGGTAATGCATTACAAGTAATGTGAGTTACATAGTGATATTACTTTTCTAAGTAACAAGTAAAGCATTACTTTTAAAAAATAAGTAATAATATTTTAGTTACTTTTTTGAAAATGTAAAGTGAGTTACTTTTTAGTTTAATAAATTAGCTTTCAAGAAATAAATTACTGAATTTAAATGAAAGTAGTCACAATAAATCATGAATATTCTCATTATTTTAAGCGCATCGATTGTCTCAATGGACAGTGATTTTACAAATAGTAAATAGTAAAAAAAAAAAAAAAAAAAAAGAAGCAAACACATTGCTGTAAACTTTCAATAATCTGTATATATGGCAATTATAGATCTGGGTTCAGGAAGTTCTTAGATAAGCCTTACTTTTAATAGTAAATTTCCCTAACACTGATTAATAGTATTGCAAAATCGACGTGAAAACATATAAAGTGGACCAAAAACAAATAGAGTATTTGATTGGTGATATATTATAGTATAAGATAGTCAGAGCAAGCTTTTTTGTTTATTGTTAACACTCAAATGAGTACAATCATACAATATTTCAAGTTACATTTAAACCTCAGTATGTGACTTTAAATGGCATACGATTGACAAACATTAGGGCCAAGTGTACTAACTTTATACAGTGCTTAAATTTTGTTCAATTATCAAAAAAATAGCATAAAAAATTTAAAATAAAAAGGAAAAATGAAGAAAAAGTCAGCTATTTACATACAGGATGAGAACATGTGTTCTCATATTATTCATTCCAAAATAATTCAAGTTGGGTTTTTTATAAACAAGTTTGATAGAAAAGAAAGCATCAAAAGTGTTGCTATTAGAGGACAAGAGCAAGTTTATCGTGTGACACACCTCATCCTGATGATTTTAGTATTTATAAAATGTTTTGCTTCTTTTTCTGCAAATATTTACATATGTCCTAATTATATTGTAAAATATCTAATATTATGATTCTGAAATATGTGTAAGAATATATATTTCATCATTTAAACAGCTGAACAATGATCATATTATTTGATCTATGATGGGTGCTGCCATTTTAGCCTGTGCTGGATAGATTAGAGCTGCTGGATTTACAACATGTTAATTCCTCAATTTCCATCAAAATGTATGAAAATAAGTGTTTTTAACTGGCAGAAGAATAGAATAAACGTTCTATTAACCTAATCAGTGTGTATTTGATGTGAATAAAGGACATTATATGATTGTTTAAATATACAGTATTTTTTTATATCTCCACAGACATCAGCGTATTTTACAAATAAATACTTTTTATTTGTAAATAGTATTTACACTATAATAATAATAATAATAATAATCTTTAATAATAATAACACTACTACTAATACTACTACTACTAATAATAATAATAATATTCATCTTTATTTTTAATAGCACCTTTAAAAGTAGCATCTCAAGGGACTTTACAGACATATAAAATGTGCAGCAGTAAAAGATACATACAAGGATGAATGTAGGAAAAATGCAGTAATAACAATAAATTAAGGGTAAAGAGGGTAAGCCTGAAATGCCTGAAACCTAAAATAATTCTAGTCTGAAAACACTGATAAATGTTGATTTATGACCAGCGCTATGCACATCTTTCTCTGGCTCAGCACAAACCATCATAGGAAAGCAGATCTGAATTTAGCAACTGATTGCATTACTGACTAAACTGACTTTGTGTCAAAAAGATAATGTGTCAACTGCAAACTGAGTAACTTTATTACATGCACCTGATTTATAGCATCTACATTTCTGATGATCTTACCTGATACTCTGCTGGAAGCGCATTAGAAAACTTCTGTAGGTTGCAAACAGCCACTGCCAGCTGGTCCTGCCTGCAGGTGAGCTGCAGAGGTGCGCTTCTCACAGAATCACAGTATGGGCTCAGCGTCGGCCTCCTGGTTCAAAAACAAAAGGTAAAACACTGTTGAAGGCTCAAACCATTTCCATGATATTGTACATTTTAGGTTACTTCCAATTCCTCTAGAAAACATACAATAAGATCCATCTAAAATAAAGAACTGGTCTGCATTCTGTTTCAGTAGCAATAACAAAGCAATAAGTTTCTATGGAATATCTTAATTGTAATTGATAAAATATATTGGTTTATGCAGGGCAGCACGGTGGCTCAGTGGATAGCACTGTCGCCTCAAAACAAGAAGGTCGCTGGTTTGAATCCTGGCTGTACCAGTTGGCATTACTATGTGGAGTTTGCATGTTTTCCCCGTGTTTGCGTGGGTTTCCTCTGGGTGCTCCGGTTTCCCACACACTAGAAAAGACACGCATTACAGGTGAAATGGATGAACTAAATTGTAAATAAGTGTGTATGGGTGTTTTCTTGAAAGAACATTCATTGTGTAAAACATATGTCAGAATAGTTAGTGGTTCAATCCGCGGTGGCGACCTCTAAAATAGAGACTAAGGTGACGGAAAATGAAGGAATATCGGTTTATGCACTTGGATGCAATGGTGTGCTGCAAAATATAAAAGCAAAAATGAACCCTCTTACTAAAACAAACACTCATCTGGGAGATATTCCTTGCACACTAATATCTATATTTCATCACACAATTTAATCATATGCATCAAAACTTACTTATGGCGATGCTGGTCTATCCAGAATTTGCAGCTTTTCATCACAAAGTCACACCCCAAACCTCTTCCCCACTGCAGGTTCTCCGCCATACTGTAATTGGCCCTGTACCACCTTAAAATAAATGACAGCTCAGATTAGACAATTAAAAGCATAACCTTGTAATGTTAGAGTTTCAAGGGATCCTATTATATAAATGACCCCTTTTTATAAAACATTAAAAAAAATCCCCAAAGTGCCTCAATGAGGTTTTGGCCTAAAATATCTCACTAATTATACCATTCTGTAAATGTCCCCATTTTGGGGCGATAAAAGCTCTGTCGGTTTATTCTCCTGACATGCAGTTTTCTGAGTGCACAGACATGCAATGCGCACAAAGGAGTTGTTGAAAGATACATTGAGAGAGTATTAAAGATTTCTCACATCAGTTGTCAAAAGAAAACGCAATATGCAAATAACAAGTGCAAAAAATCTAAACATAATTCACATAATGTAGGTTATGTCTGTGAAAGTAAACGGTTGTGGAAAAAACAATGTGTATCAGCATGTCAACCAAATCATATCCTCTAGGGATATTTTAACATCTACATTTCCAGAAATTAAAATTCAGCCATCATTTACTCATTTTCCTCTTCTTACAAACCTGTTTGAGTTTCTTTCTTCTGTTCAACACAAAGGGAAATATGCTGAAGAATGTTAGAAATAAGCAGACATTGACCTCCATACTATTTTCCTTTTAAATGTTATTACTTTTACCCTAGACCAACATCAAAGAGGTTGTAACAATATCTTAAATTGTGTGAAACAGAAGAAACAAATTAATTAAAGTTGAGAACCACTTGAGTGAGAGGAAATGGTGAGGGAGTTTTCATTTTTGGGGAAAACTATCCCTTTAAGGAGATTCATAAACAGTGCTAACACTGCACAAGCGTGTCATGGAAAAAGTGTGTCATGGAAGTTGAGCGCAAAAGAACTCACACACAACTCCATTAGCTGCATTATCAATTAGCAAAAACATTTCTCTTACCCAGTATCCTCCATTATGGCCAAGGTAATTCTGGAAAACACTCTGTTCTGTGTGTGAGATCCAGTCATTGCCTCGTTCTATTAAAACAAAACATACTGGAATCAGTTTAAACTGTATTTTGACAGTACTGACCCCCTTCAGAAGATCATTTAGAGATACTGATTCAGTACCTCCAGCAGGCGTTTTTCCCAGTGGTTAAGCTCTGTCCCAGCACCACCCTGGTTCTCTAGTTCCATGCCCTCTAGAATGGGGCAATTAAAATGTCTTCTTGCTTCCTCCTGATAAAGAATCAAATAAAGTTATGCAACTAAATTAGATTAGAGTTTAATTAAATAGAAATATACAGAAAATACTTACCACTACACGTGGGGTGGCCAGAAGATGGACAGTGTGTCTAACCATTTGGCCTCCTCGGATGTCCCACAGTCGAGTTGCTCTTTTAATGACTTTATCACTCCACTGATATAACCCTAAACTGAGAGAAAGACAGAAAGTAATGAATTAAATGATAGAAATGGCTCATTCCAGATTTGCAGGTACCTTTCAAACATTTTCCATTCATTTTCCTTGAACTGGATAGAGAACATTCAATTCTGTTACTTGTTGTTTAAATTATTGTTAAAGGTTTGAACCCATAATAAATTTGAGAGTAACAGAGTTGACATTTCCCACCATTTTGTGCTTTAGCTCAAGTGAAAAGCAGTATGTTTGCAGTATGCAGTAATTGTATGTGTTTTTAAGCATACTACTGCTTTTAAAGAGGGATTTACTGAAATATAACAATAACAGAGTTGAAAAATAATCTAATATTTGGGCCTCCTAAACATTTCGCACAAATTACTAACAGAATAATGACATGCCTCAGTGCCTTCTAGAGTTTCTGGCCAGCAAGAGTGCCATCACTTGAAACAAGTCACATGCTTTTTCTATCAGTGCTTTGTTTGTGAGACTGTTATGCCTTTTAAGAGATGTAAAAGAGTTGACCAGAACATAGGGACAGATAGAAATATACAAATATATGTTTGCTACAATTGTTTATAATGCATATCTAAAGACACAGAAAGTTTCATGAAAGGTTTTCTGTCATTGAAAAATAATAGAGGGTTTATCTAGGAGATGCAAAATGTAACAACATGTCTAGAATCACCCATTTGTATTTCATATAATAACAAGAAATATCCATTACCTACATATATCATGGATTATATGTACCTGTTTTTAAGAAAGAATTATAAAAATACAGTATAACAGTTGTAACCTGCATTAGTTACGCAAATTAATGTATTTTTAACCATTTGCACTCTTTTACATGTTTATTATTTTGGAAGATTGAGTAATAATTGCAGGCATGAAGCCTTCTTCTGTATATTTATCAAAATATTTTTAACCCTGATAATTGAAATATACATTATTTTCTAATTCCAGCTCAAAAAATGGGTTTGATAAATATATTTTTTTCAACACTAAAAAGTAGTGTGCAGAAAAAAAAAAAGTAATTATGTAGATTATGTACACCACTGAAAAAGTGTACATAATCTAACAACGCAATCAGAATTATAAGGAGTTTAGGATTAATAATGGCTTGAAAAATTTCAAAATGTATTAGATATGGGGACACAGCTTAATATATTTTATATATTAAAACTTGATTATGTGAAGTCTGAAAATAGTAAAAAAAATTAGCTTCTGATTATGAATGAATTAGCCCTGAATGGATTATGAGGATTTAATTACATTTCCAACACAAAAATGAATATACAAATATAACTATTACCTTTCATTATAAGCAGGAAGACCACTTGCAGAACGTGGCGTCAGAGGTTTTCCACCATCATCATGATAAAAGGCAAAGAGTCCAGCAGAAAACCCCTTAGACACAACATATACAGCCAAAGTCAAAATTATTCTCCCTCCTGGGAATTTTTTTCCCCCAAAAGACATTTAACAGCAAGGAATTTTTCACAGTATTTCCTATAATATTTTTTCTTCTAAATAAAGTTTTATTGTTTTATTTCGGCTAGAATAAAAGCAGTTATTAATTTTTTAAAAATCCATTTTAAGGTCAATATTATTAGCCTCCTTTAGCAATATTTTTGCTGACCACAAACCACTGTTAAACAACTACTTTCCTAATTTCTCTAACTTGCCTAATTACCCTCGTAAAGCCTTTAAACTGCACTTTAAGCTGAGAAATTAGTTATGTTTAGAAATGTGTTGAAATCTTCTTTATATTAAGCAGAAATTGGGGTAAAATATACAGGAGGACAAATAATTCAGTAATTTAATAATGAACAACATTCATTTTATGAGTAAAGCCTATGTGCAGAAGTGTTACCAGAGCATGTATGATCTCGTGTTTAACCGTGGACAGCATCCCTTCAAACTCCTGAGGTTGAGTAGAGATCATATTGGGACACAGATTGGCATATCCAGCAATGGGTCTGCATTATGAAATGTTGCTGTTATTATACATTTCAACAATGAAAGAAAAAAGCGAATAAAAGTCAGCTCTGTTTCCTTAAATATCTCCGTTACCTGTCTAGTTCAGACTCAAGCTGACAATACGCTGCATAGGCTACGATGTTCTCCTGTCCACAACGCTCAGTGGTCATCGCACTCACGTACAGCACAAAATCAGCCCTCGCCACCCCCTCGCCATCAGGAGGACCGACGGGGCCACAGGACTTTCCAGACTCACTGCAAACCCTGCATTGCTGAAAAAAAAAAACTTATTCATTAAATATACACAGACATTATGCATCTGAATATTTATGTTGAAAACATTTTTTAAAAATGGTAAACACAGAAATTAACACACAAACATAACAATAAAGAGTTTGATATTTAGATATTTACATTCTCTCTTCGTCGCTTTAGTCTAGAATAAATGATTATTAAAATATTGTTATTATTATAAATTACAATAAACAGAAAAGTAATGGTTGCTAAGCTTGGGTTCCCATGCTTTCATGAACAGCAGATTCAAGGACTTATTAAAGCACCATCAATTTTAAATCAAGCACCTTTGTAATTTATACCCCAGCACAATGTATGTAGCACCATAAAAGTCCTCCTTACTGTACTTAACATTTCACATTCACTTAATATTTACATTAAAAATAATCTTCAAAGATTCATAGCTTTAATCAAATGTGTTGAATTCAATGCTGGTGATATTCAAACGCAGTTTCTGAAATATTGCTAAAATGTGAATTATTTGTCAGTGTTATTGTGCAAGATTTAAATTTAAGGTTTTTCATTTAAGAATTTCTCTGTTTTTTTGTTCTGTTTGTGACAATTGAGTACAATTGTTTAAATCAATCTATAAACAAATTAATTCAAATTTAATTCAAACACTTGCAAGGACCGGTGTTTGTTAAGTATTTTTTAACTTTACTAATTATTTAATAACTTTGTTAAAATGTTATAGGTATTCACATCTTCAAATATGCATTTTATGTACTAATATATACCTCTACATAGGTGTCAATATGGACTCTTTGGTAAACTTTTGTAAAGGTAAAGTTAATGCTCCACTGATAGCTACCTTTATTTCTGAGAGTGTTTAGTTATCAAGGTTGATGCATTTACATGTGGAGCAAGTTCCATGTAAACTAAGGTGCAAAATGATCCTTTACTTTCTATGTAACTAGTTACTTTGGAACTAGTTGCACCTGACAGTGCACAGAAGCACTTATTAAAATGGTGGTCTGTTGCAAAAAAGTGGACAAGATTTTTTTTCAGAACAGATCTGAATGAAGGAGAGTTGAGAATAAAATTTCTACAGTGAGTTACAGGTAACATTTACTAAATAATACTGCAAAATGCCTCTGTTTGCAATGTAACAGTAGTAATGTAATCATGCCTCTAAATCCCACTGTGCAACAAGGCTCTAATACATTTGTGTGTCAGTAGACAGTTGTTATACGTTCATCCTAAATTTGAGACACTGGCAGAAAATGTCTGAAGTTTACATTTAATCACAAGACTATCCATGTCTGAACTACAGCATGATGCACAATATCAAAAATAAAAGGTACACATTAAACATGCATATCAACAGAACACCTCCAAACAAACTGCCAGGATTGCTTTAAGTAATCTTTTGACAGAGATAGACCAAATACATAAATTTCCACCAACTATTAATGATCTTTACAGTCGCTTTTAAACTAAAAAATAGCTGAATATTTTATCAACACAAATAAACTGTAATTAAAAAAAACTTTTCTCCCCAAAAACCTTAGTGTCCCACCTGCAAATGATGTTCAGGAACAACAACTGGGCCACATTTGGTTACGTTAGCACATGGTCCCTGACAGTAGCGGTGAGGATCGTCTCTTTTCCGAAGGTACTGATTGGTTGCACATTGCCTAATAATTACGAACATAATTTAAGATTAAAATACAGGCACAAATGAGATTAAGAACCTGCCAAGCTGCCAGAAAAACAGACCCAAGTGCAACTTTAAGAGGATTTGCTGTCAGACAATAGTCGCTCAGAAGAGAATTACCTGCTAAGTAATATCGGACCCGACTGTCTGCGAACCCTGAAAGCCTTCTGAAGATAATCAATAGCCTGTGGGAGGAGCTTGTCCTTGAAACAAAGCAGAAAAGGATCAATACCCTATGCATGCATCCAATTTCGAGGTGAAAGGCAATTTTTAGGATTTAACAAACATGTGTGTGGTAAAATCTTGACCACATGAATCATAAAGTACCTTCACAAGGCTGCTTTTGGCTTCATCTAACCTGTGGGAACAACAGAATACATTAAATCAATGTGTATACCTGTAATAAGATACAGTTACTGAATTTAATAACACATAAACCAGTAACTAACCCATCCAAGCTGGAGTCGTACTCTATCTTAATGTTTAACTGCTGGTCAGTGCTTCTTTTGGTCAGTCTATCTGGCTTCAAAAAGACCTTATGAATCACCTAAAAGAGTAACAGCAGATATTGCTATCAGGAGTACTGGTGAAACAATGTATTAATCATGATTAGCTTGTGGTATCCTTTGCTTTCCACATTTGTATCTGAACAACATAAAGGGTGACCAAATGATGACAGGTTTTTGTTTACAAAAGTGAGCTCTCTGTCCATCTTGATACTGCTTAAAAAGACAATTAACCAAAAATAAACTGTTTTGTCATCATTTATTCACCTTAAATATCAAACTCTTTCTTTTATTGGACATAAAAACGCTGACACCAGATTGACAGCCTCTGATATTGTTCATTTTGAAGGAAAAACCCAACCAAAACATTATATTAAAAAGTCACAGCCATACAATTTGATGCTAATATCATATTTTAGACTAAAAATGTTCAAAAAACGATATAAGGGCCTGACCTCTGTGTGAAGGGGCACTTTGTGGTCACAGGTGTGCGTCTGTGCGCCGGTGCTGATGAAGATGATGATGGTGGTGTTAAAGAATAAAGCGGCTCCGATAACTGATCGAGGCTGCCGCCATCCTGACGCCATCATTCTACCCGTGCTTTATCTTTCATATCTCCGTCCTGTCATGATGCATAAAGACCCTCAATTACTCGGAAAACCGAAGGATCTTCCGAGAGAAATTCCAACGGGCAGTTCATTAAACCGGCTTCACCCATAAACCCAGAGCTGCCCGAACATAGAGACGATACATTATCAAAATAAAAGCCCGCATTCAATTTTAATTTAATAATGAGAATAAAATTAAAAACAACTTTAAATAGGCAAAAAATTATAAAAAATAAAAATCCACTGAAATATATTGCTAGAGTTGTGAAATAATGCTTACTACGTTTCTATTTTAAACATAGCAGCTATTCTGTAAACTTGGATGCATTTAAAGGGCCCTTCTAGTCCCTTGTTCACGCCATGTGAGTTATTATTTAAATCACAAAAATGGCATTACATGTTTGTGTTTATATTATTCACAATATGTTGAACAACTGTTTAATAAATACCCAAGTGTGAGTAGTAGGGTTGCAACTAACGATTATTTTAATAATCAATTAATCTGTCGATTGTTTCTTCGATTAGACTGTAAAAAAATAATAATAATAATAATTTCCAAGAAAAGCATTCATTTCCAACCCCTCATTCAAAAAGCTCATCCCTAAACTGTTATAATAATAATAGCAATAAATTAAAAAAGGTATTTTTGTCCTGTTTTCAATCCAAATATCTAAAAAACATCTTAAATCAAGATACATACTAAACACATGAAGTAGCATAAGAAATTGTCTAATTATTTGCTTAAAACAAGCTAAATTATTTGCCAATGGAGTAAGAAAAAAATCTTAATAAGATATAATCTCAAACAGAAGTTAAGCATCACTTAATTTTCTTATGCCATTTTTCTTGTCTGTTCTTGATTTAAGATTTTTTTACATATTTGAACTGGAAATGAGACAAAATAGAAAGAAAGAAAGAAAGAAAGAAAAAAAGAAAGAAAGAAAGAAAGAAAGAAAGAAAGAAAAAAAGGAAGAAAGAAAGAAAGAAAGACAGAAAGAAAAGCTTTTTGCAGTGCAGCTATACATGACAACAGATGGAAAAATAAATGATCAAAAAAGGCGAGTGAATAAAAACTATTTAGTCTTGCAAATCGCAAAGACCGAAACACCCAAGATTCATTATGTAAATTCACCAGTTACTCCCCAAATACATGCAAATATCTGGTGAACTTAGAGAAGAATAGATTCAAATTAAATGTTACTTTTACAGTGTGTATCTGATATGAATAAAACACATCAGCAAATTATATTTGAATGGATTGTTAGACTTCCTTGTGTGTTTTACAAAGTCTAAATGTTTTGTTTTACTTGTAAATTAATTCAATTTACTTATAAAATAAGCACGGTTAAACGCTGATACGACTCGTCTTTCTCTGGCTCAGCGCCAGCCACGCACCAAAGCTCAGTTTGATTTTTTCAGTCGCTAAGTTAATCTAAGTTTAAATGAGCTAACGCTAACTTGTCATTCTTGTCACGCGGGATAACGAGTAAAATACCAGCACAAGGGACTTTACGGTCCTCGCTTCAAAACGGAACAAAAGTAGAATTCTATAAGGATTTACCCTGAACTCTGTATCCTCTGTATCAGTGCGCGAGAGACGGAGAGAGACCATGTTCACTCCGCTCCACGCTGAACTGAAGTGATTTTTTATTAATCAAATGTCCCTGTGTGGCGTGACACAACGAATCGATTACGAAATTCATTGCCAACGCTTTTAGTAATTGATTTTTTTTATCGATTTAATAGATTGGTTGTTGCAGCTGAGTAGTAAAATTTAACATATACTGAAGTACACATTTGCAATGTGTATGCAAGTATGTATATGCATGTATGTATGCAAGTATGTATTTATGCAAGCATGTATGTATGTATTATATATATATATATATATATATATATATATATATATATATATATATATATATATATATATATATATATATATATATATGTATGCATGTATGTATGTATGTATATACACACACACACACACATTACATTTTTAATTCCATTTCAGGTGGTTTATATTCATTATTAAGATCAAAATGAAAGTCTGCAACCTTTAAAATAACTTTTTATATTCTACATTTATCTTGAACATAAAGCATTTATTCCAATACAGATGCGTACAGCACAATCAATTTATAAACACCTGTACGCTTGACAACAATTCTGGTTAACAATATTAACCACAACTGATTTCAATCATTGGACTAAATAAGAAGAATAAAACCAACCAGACACAGAGTAAAAACAACACTACAAAACAGTGAACAGAATATTTACAATTATTTATTACAGGAGTACAGAATATCCATTATAAAAACAAAATCATCTACAATCAATACCTTGCTTCAATAGCTAAATGAGTACAAAATTAATCAAATGTTTGACAGATAATATCCTATTGACTCTAACAAATCAGTTCTACCTTTTAAAGAGCAGCAGACAGGTTTGTTTTCAATCGTCTTTGATCAGGCTGTGTCAGATACTGTTTTCTGAGGCACATTTCCTCAGTTTCTGACTCACAGTTTCAGTTTTCCAGTCAGAGCGTTGCAGGGATAGAGTCGTGTAAAGCGGCCCAGAGTCCACACTGGAAACACATTCCTGTAAGAGGTGTAGCTGATGGCACAGCTTTTATTGAACACTCCTGAAATGTTCTCCTGAAAACAAGGAAACAGCGCATTTTATTAGTCAAACCGAAAGACGTTTGTAATTTGAAGGTCTCGTAACCCAATTTCTCACCTGTGGCCAGTCTCCATTAGGCAGCTGCTTATCAATTAATAATTGAATGCCACGCTCAATCACTTTGGTGCCAGGGTACCTAAAAATGACAATTTATTTTGTAAATTAGGCATAGTGTGTCTACAGTTTATTTAAAATTAATCTGTGATTTATTTCTGTATACATAAATATTTAAAGTTTGCCCATCCCTTAAAGGGACAGTTCACCCAGAAATGAACATTCTGTGATTATTTACTCCGCCTTTACTTCTATTCAACACAATGAAGATATAATGAATGTAATGTAATGTAATGTGCATTTATATAGCGCATTTATTGTGTATGGCCATACACCCAAATCACTTCACAAACCATCACCAGTGTGCAGCATCCACTTGGATAATGCGATGGCAGCCACAGCACAACGGCGCCAGTGCGCTCACCACACACCAGCTATTGGTGGAGTGGAGAGACAGTGATAGAGCCAATTCGGTGGAAGGGGATGATTGGGAGGCCATGATCGCAAGGGCCGAAAGAGGGACTTTGGCCAGGACACCAGGGTTACAACCCTGCTTTTTCACAAGAAGTGCCATGGGATTTTTAATGACCACAGAGAGTCAGGACCTGAATGAAGGATGAAGGATTTTGGAAACCAGCAGCAATCGACTTTCATAGTATGTTATGTTCCAGCTATTGAAGTCAATGACTGCTGGTTTTCAGTATTTTACATATCTTGTTTTGTGCTCAACAAACGAAAGAATGTCAAAACCATCTAAGGATGAGTAAACAATGAGGAAATTGGAAAACCAGACAGTAATTGGTGACCAACATTTGCCTCACGCAGTGCAACGCATCTTCACATAGAATTGTACTGTCTGGTCTTTCATTGGGGCCAGCCTATAGACACATGTGCAATATTCAAGTTCAAGTACATTTATTTATAGAGCACATTTAAAAGCAGTCACAAGACTTACCAAAGTGCTGTACATAAGACAAGGTAACAATAAACAGACAGAATATAAAAACATAGAAATAAGGCAAGAGTAACGAATGTAAAATGTAGCAGCAGAAAGAACTATTAAAATAATCATAAAAAGCCAAGATAAAAAGATACGTTGTAAGAAGTGATTTAAAAATGGATGATGATGGAGCCATTCTAATCTCAAGGGGCAAGGTGTTCCACAACCGAGGACCCGCCACAGAGAAAGCTCTGTCCCCTCTATGTTTCAGCCTGGACTGAGGAGCTAAAAGGAGATTCTGATCACTTGACCTAAGAGATCTCACGGAGAGTAAAAATGAAGCAGCTCTGAGGGATAAGATGGGGCTAGATAATGGAGTAATTTATATACCAGTAAAACCACTTTAAAATCAATTCTGAATTAGACAGGCAGCAAATGGAGGCCTCTTAGAAGAGGGGTAATAGCCCCTTTCACACATACAGACCTTTCCGGAAAATTGCCGGCAATTTTCCGGAAAGGTCTGTATGTGTGAACAGGTCCTTTTTGAAAATACCGGTAAATTCGTTCTGGCTATTTTCCTGAAAGAGAAGTTGTAACATTACCGGCAATTTGCCGGAATGCTGCGCTGTGTGAATGCAGAAGGAAGATTTCCGTAATAAGCGCGTGCACGTCTAGAACGTGCTGACGTGAGACGTCTGCTTTAGCCAATCACAACAGTCAGACGCATTTACGTCCACGCGGTTTGTGAGGATAAAAGCCTTTGAATATTTTTCCAGACACATTTAGCTGCTAGAAGTTAGTCAGATCACGTTTATATGTTCTTCTTAATGCCAACTGTGTAAATAATCATCGATGAGATGCTTATGATAAGCCGCTGTTTGTTTACCTTCAAGCTTTGCGTGCGCCTATGAGCGCCTGCACACGCACATATTATGAGAATCTCGACATGCGAAAGTGATCCTGCGAAAGTTGTTCACAATATTGATCATCCACAGAGTTTGTAATTTAGTCAAATGTTTACAAATACAAGCGCAGCCGTTTAAAGCTCACTTGTGGGGAATGATGTCAGAATTTACCGGTATTTTGGAATGGATGTGTGAATGCTCTTTTCCGGAAAATTTCCGTAACGTCCTCGCCTGTGTGAACAGCGCTTTTTTCAATATACCGGTAAAGTCGTTCCGGAAATTTTCCAGAAATTTACCGGTATCACTGTGTGAAAGGGGCTAATGTGGTCATGTGCAATATTCAAGCTGTCTAATCAGCATCTTGATATGCCACATCTCTGAGGTGGATGAATTATCCAGGCAAAGGAGAAATGCTCACTAACACAGATTTAGACAAATGTGTGAAAAATATTCAAGACAAATAAAGAAAAAGTTGTAGATCTTTGTAGAGTGTAGTACAAGATTATTCATTATAAAGTGTTAAGCAAAAACACTACCACCAGGGATTGATGCTGAAGTTACCTGACGGCCATCAATCCCAGCAAAGCCCAGCAGGTGTTGTGGATCTGAGAGCTACTGCTCTGAACGTAGCGCCGCTGCTCACAGGACTCAAAGTCTTCACCCCAGCCTCCATCCTCCATCTGCTTCGCCAGCAGGAACTCACAGGCACGCTTCACCTCCTCACAAACAGACCTGCAATACAGAAACAAAAGATTTATTTCATATCTTAATTCTTTATTGTGTCATAACAGACTTTAGCACCAGGGAAACGCCAAACTTTCATTTTCAGACAGAAATACAAACTAGGCTGTGGGTCAAGATATACTTGTTAGTTTTGACCTACTTTTCATATTATTCATGTTAGCCGAGATACATCTGTGAAACAACAATGTGAAAATCTGGAATCGGATGGTCCGAACAAATAAAAATACTGACAAAATCACATTTAAAGTGTCCAAATCAAGTTCTTTGCAATGCATATTACTAATTAAAATTGAGTTTTGTTATATTAGGTAGGAAATTTACAAACTGTCTTGACGGAAATTATCTTTACTTAATATTCTAATGATTTTTGGCAAAAAAGAAACATTTATAAATAATGAACCATACAATGGCTCCTGGCAAAATTATAATAGTGCAACATTGGACAAAATTATTGTTAAGCTGGTGAAATGTCTGTCCAAAAACACTTCCAATAAGCAAAAAGTCAACAAAACAGTTCTGAAAGTTGTAGATTGTGAAAATTATGTGGTTTTGTAAATTTTTTTTTTTGTACAAATGTCTGCCCCCCACAGCCTATTTTTTTACATTTATGTTAAACGATCAGTACATCAAAAACATTTAACTCAACCTCAAATGCTAACAAAACTTTGAGTTTCTATATTCTGTTGAACACAAAAGAAGATATTTAGAAGCTGAATAACTGTAACCACTGACTTCCATAGTAGGAAAAAACAAATAAAATGAAAGTCAAAGGTTAGAGGTTTCCAACATTCTTCAAAATATCTTCTTTTGTGTTCAACAAAAGAAAAAAGGTCAAATCTTTCTATGACAAGTGAAGAGTAAATGATGACGGAACTGTCAGTTTTGGATAAACTATCCCTTTAAGTTTAATGTGGTGTTTAACCTGACTAAGCTGTGTATATAAGTGAAACAACTTCTTGAAGGATAAAAAAACAGGTAACACTTTATTTTGACGGTCCATTTGAGTATTAGTAGACTGTCAGCTTAATATCTGTTGATACTGCTGCTAAACAGACATTTAACTGACTATAAGAAACTTTGCAATTACATGTCAACTTACACTAACCCTAACCATAACAGTCTACTTATAATCTAATCAGAATTAGTTGGCATGCAGATGCAATGCAACTTAAATTCAACAAACGGACCATCAAAATACAGTGTGACCAAAAAACATAAGGAGGGACCTGATTTTGTGCATCAGAAAATGGCTGAATCATCAAATGGTTTACTTTTGCTGTAATCACACTACTTATGTCCGTAAACATTAAAGAAAAGAAGAAACAAACAACATACCCATTTTGGAAAGTGTGACCCATACACGCAAATGCCTCCAGACCAAACCAGGCTCCGTATGTGAAACAGACTCCCCAAGACCTAAGACAAGCAACAAAAGCAGTCAGTGTCTGAAATCTAAATATAAGTAGACTATGTAGCAACAGTATAATGTACATATTTTATATGGTTTTCCATTACTATGCATTGCATAAATTAAATAATGGGCTATGTTCAAGTTCATGGAGAACCTTTTATAGTATCGATAATATAGTCGGGTAAATAGACCTTAGCATTCGTACAGTTGTTCAAGTGAAAAAGTAGCTGAAAACAAGCGATGTAGAAGGATCAGCGAACACAATTGAAGATGAAAAGTCATTCCTATTTGTTTTGGGTACACCTTGCGGTATTGGGGATGAGTTGTTTTTAAGTATCTTATTAATTAGGACGGCCACATGCATTCATTAACAATAACTTTGGCACAGATAATGCACTGTGGCTGGGTCAGGAACTCTTTGCTTAGAGAAAATGGAATAAAACCATAGTCCAGGTAACTATCTTGATATTTCCTGTATTTCATGTTTCCAGTATTGCTAGCGCTGCGACCTGAAATGTTTGGAGCTTGCTCACCAGGTATGCTTGGGTCATTACAAGTAACTAAGGCAACATGATCATTCTCCTAATCTTCCACTGGTAAAATTTTTTTTAAATATGATGCGAACCCCCACAGAGCTCGCTGAGGCCCCTTTATGGGCCGTGACCCCACTGTTGGGAGCCGCTGACCTAATGCACCTTTAAACAGAAATTGGGGAAAAAAATTCTTCAACTGTATATACACTGTGTACGTTGGAATGCATTTAAATTTAAACTAATGTCAAAATGTTTACATCTTTATATAGAAAACATTTAATTCAAGTCTGTGTGAAATTGTCGTTCACACATTAAATTTCATCATTAGATTAGGTCAAATTAGCAAGAAACATTTTTTTTAAGATGTAGGACTTTGTTATAAATGAATCAACGCCTACCCTTCCCATGAGCCATCAGGTCTCTGAACCCTCCTGCAGTAGTCCAGCCCCCGCTGAAGAGTGCTCCTATAAAAAAACAAGAGACAAGCTTCAACCAAACCATTCTTCACAACTCATTATAGATATATGTTTTTATTTTTTTTTGCTTTACTGTAATGTTGGGTATTTTTTATTTAAACAAAAATACTGAGATGCTGTGTCTGTGTATACCTGATCTCTTCTGCTCTGTGCTCAGGATATACGCTGTGAAAATGTTTCAATGCCTGCAGTACAGCTGAGGTGCACTCAACATACGTGTAGTCAATCATTATATCACCTGAAAGAGACATTTAACAGGAATTTTAAATCTAATAGGAAATGCCCTGACAGCTAAATACGGTATTTTAATGCACGCTCACCAAATACTTCAGACGGGTTCAGCAGCTCCAGCAGTTTCCCGCCACGTTTCGTCTCATACGTGGCAAAGCCTCCATCAGGGTTTCTCATGCTCAACAGCTGACACAGAAAAATTACATTAATGCTCAAAGCTTAAGATAGGGCTGGGCAATTTATTTTTTTGCCCTCATAGTTCACTGATAGGTTTTCTACAGTAAATATGCCCCCAAATTACAAGTGAGAGATTTTTGCATTACTTGATTTTAAAATATCTAAAGGAAACACACACATCTACCATCTATAATTATTATTGATCATCAATGCTGAATGACTGAAATTAAAACACACATTGCCTAAAAAGAACAGTCACTTGTTTCTTATAAAGATGTGAAAATAAATAACTTTCACTATTGGAAACAAAATAAATTATTTACAATGTTTTCATATTAAAAATAGAAAAATGAGAAGCATCTCTTCTAAATAAAATAACTCTTGCTTATCCTGTAAACAATATTTTAAACCAAGAATTCCTAGCATCTTCTGTAAACAAATATTTTAATGTAAATAATCCTTTTAATGTAACGGAAAATATCAAAGCATCTCAGGCGCAGCTTCCAATCATCGTCAATGTACAGGGAGTGCAGAATTATTAGGCAAATGAGTATTTTGACCACATCATCCTCTTTATGCATGTTGTCTTACTCCAAGCTGTATAGGCTCGAAAGCCTACCACCAATTAAGAATATTAGGTGATGTGCATCTCTGTAATGAGAAGGGGTGTGGTCTAATGACATTAACACCCTATATCAGGTGTGCATAATTATCAGGCAACTTCCTTTCCTTTGGCAAAATGGGTGAAAAGAAGGACTTGACAGGCTCAGAAAAGTAAAAAATAGTGAGATATCTTGCAGAGGGATGCAGTACTCTTAAAATTGCAAAGCTTCTGAAGCGTGATCATCAAACAATCAAGCGTTTCATTCAAAATAGTCAACAGGGTCGCAAAAAGCGTGTGGAAAAACCAAGGCGCAAAATAACTGCCCATGAACTGAGAAAAGTCAAGCGTGCAGCAGCCAGATGCCACTTGCAACCAATTTGGCCATATTTCAGAGCTGCAACATCACTGGAGTGCCCAAAAGCACAAGGTGTGCAATACTCAGAGACATGGCCAAGGTAAGAAAGGCTGAAAGACGACCACCACTAAACAAGACACACAAGCTGAAACGTCAAGACTGGGCCGAGAAATATCTCAAGACTGATTTTTTTAAGGTTTTATGGACTGATGATATGAGAGTGAGTCATGATGGGCCAGATGGATGGCCCCGTGGCTGGAATGGTAAAGGGCAGAGAGCTCCAGTCCGACTCAGATACCAGAAAGATGGAGGTGGAGTACTGGTTTGGGCTGGTATCATCAAAGATGGACTTGTGGGGCCTTTTCGGGTTGAGGATGGAGTCAAGCTCAACTCCCAGTCCTACTGCCAGTTTCTGGAAGACACCTTCTTCAAGCAGTGGTACAGGAAGAAGTCTGCACCCTTCAAGAAAAACATAATTTTCATGCAGGACAATGCTCCATCATACGCGTCCAAGTACTCCATAGCTTGGCTGCCGAGAAAGGGTATAAAAGAAGAACAACTAATGACATGGCCTCCTTGTTCACCTGATCTGATCCCCATTGAGAACCTGTGGTCCATCATCAAATGTGAGATTTACAAAGAGAGAAAACAGTACACCTCTCTGAACAGTGTCTGGGAGGCTGTGGTTGCTGCTGCACGCAATGTTGATGGTGAACAGATCAGAACACTGACAGAATCCATAGATGAAAGGCTTTTGAGTGTCCTTGCAAAGAAAGGTGGCTATATTGGTCACTGATTAGTTTTTGTTTTGTTTTTGAATGTCAGAAATGTATATTTGTGAATGTGGAGATGTTATATTGGTTTTACTGGTAAAAATAAAAAATTGAAATGGGTATATATTTGTTTTTTGTTAAGTTGCCTAATAATTATGCACAGTAATAGTCACCTGCACACACAGATATCCGCCTAAAATAGCTAAAACTAAAAACAAACTAAAAACTACTTCCAAAAATATTCAGCTTTGATATTAATGAGTTTTTTGGGTTCATTGATAACATGGTTGTTGTTCAATAATAAAACGATTCCTCAAAAATACAACGTGCCTAATAATTCTGCACTCCCTGTAGTGCAAAGTAAGGCTCAAAAATGGGTCTATCATCCTTCTTGACCAGAGATCAGATGTGGCTGCAAAGTGTGGGTAACAGAGTGGAGTCTCGACCAGGAATAATTTGATCTATTATATTATTGAATGTTGATTTTGATTACTTTTCGATTAATCATTCAGCCCTAGCTTAAGATTTGTTTATAAAGAAATATGTAAACATTTTTTAGAAAGGATGCATTACATGCTTTTTGCATTAAACAGTGCCAATAAAGACACATTATAATATCCAAACACAAGTCAAAAGGATTAGCCCTGCAGCTCAATTTTATTCTTTATAAAATATTTATCAAGTGTTGTTAAATGGAGAGATTTCTTGAACACATTTCTAACACTACATAATAGTTTTAATGACAAATTTTTAATAACTAATTTATGGTGTCTTTGCCATAATGAAAGTAAATAATATTTTACTATTTTATTATAGAATTTTATGACATAGCTAGGTTAATTATGTTGCCTAGGCAAGTAAGGATAATTAGGCTAGTCACTCAATAGTGATTTGTTTTCTGTTGAATTTCTGTTTAACTGAATTACTATTTAGGGGGCTATAATTGTTACTTTAGTGGACTGATATAAATACTGACCTTAAAGCTTTTTGAAAATATTTAAAGACTGATTTTTCTCCAGCCAAACTAAACGAAATAAGACTTTCTGCAGAAGTAAAAATTTTATAGGAAATACTGTGAAAATGTCCTTGTTCTGTTAAACATCACTAGGAAAATATGTGAAAAATAATAACAAAAAATATCACAGGACAGCTAATAATTTTGCTTTCAACTGGATATATATTAAAAATATCTATATATCTATAATGTCAAATGTTTAATGATTCCTAAAAAAATTCACCATGATTTTCCTATTATTTAAATTTTTTTATCAGCATTTTAGAAGGATTTCTGACACTGAAGATTTTACATTTAAAATATATTAAATAAATAAAGGGTTATCTTAATTTCAGCTCAAAGTTTTAGCACTAAATGAAAAAGAAAGAGTTTTTAAAAAGCCCTCTGTCAACTACATATTATGAGCCTATAAACACTTAACATTGTTATGTTGTATTTGAACTCTCTGTTTGAATTTAACACAAAGAAAGCTCATTTTTTGAGGGACTGACTTCCTACAAAGAGACTCATGGCCCACCAAACAGGGTCTAACATTCGTGTAATACTGATAGCATAGCATTTTACTGTAAATCTTATGTCAGCATTCAAAACAGACAGTATATACACAAGTAAGGTTATTACCACATTGACAGCATCAAAAAGCCTTTCCTTGGGAATGTTCTCTTTGAGGAAATTGCACTGCTCTTGCAGAAGCATCACAGATTTCAGCCCTTCTGACACACAGTCAGCAACTATCCAACCGCAGTCCCGTGTGCTGAAGGGAAAGCCTCCCTACATCAGACACATACACACATATGCTTATGAATGTGGATAAGTGCAAATTAAAAATGCTTAATAATAAAGTTGACATGTTAGACTTAAATGTTTACCTTGTTCATTTGTCTATAGTATTTCTCATATTCTGGAGGATTATCTTTGACCTACAATAATGGGAAACTGGTTAGAGCTTACATGGAGACCCAAAGATTACTACAGAAATACAGAAGTGCAACAGAATTCTGATACCACAACAAAATGCTTTTAATATTGTATTATTATTTCAAATGAGGTCATTCAAATTCAAAATGACACAAGTAAAGAATATTTCAGATTTGTGCAAATTTGATTAGTGATGTGATTAACTGAACTTAATTCATTTAATTTAATTGATCTCTAGATTGTTTAAAAAAAAAGAGAAAGAAACAGAACAAAGACTTGAATTCAAACGATACGTACAACATTACTAAATCATCCAATTTTACATGATAATTATTTACCTTTTCCATTTATGCAAAAAACAGTAATAAATAAAATAAATAGAATTATAAAGTTAATAAATTAATACATAAATAAAAAAGCAGGGAGAGGATCTGTCAGATTATTTCAGAACACCTTTGTCCCATATTTATATCTTTTTACATGGAAAATAAATCTTGTCACTCTCAACAGTCCATAAAACACCCCCAAGAGTCAGATGTTTATTTCTTTGTTGAATATATTAACAATTAACATGAAACTATTCAAAATAACAGCTACATCAGTTTTCTTTGCCATGTATCATAAATGAAAAAGATTTTTGCTCAGCACAGTCAATTCAAAGCTATTTGAAGAAAAATGAAGAATATCATGATTATCCCCACTTTAAAGGCTCTTATCTCTACACTCAAATGGGTTTTATGAGAACAGCAAAATTTGGTTCGTCTTATATAATTGTATTTGTCTTTAAGGTGAAACTTTTTGTGCAGCCATTTTGGACAAAACTCCCTGAAAGAAAAGATCCTGTATCTTAATGGGGCTCTTTTAGTATAGTAAAACATAAATTAAAAAACATAAACCCGGCTTGCCTGAGTCAGATCCAAGAAATGATGGGCTTGTGTAAGGCACTCTGTAAATCTGGGGATGTCCTGGGCTCCTGCCTGTACAGAAAATAAGCACAACTGATCAGTGAATTTATCTGTTATGTGTCAGTGTCAGCTGTATTGTTGACAATATGTACCTCAAGAAATGCTTGTACTGCAAATGCAGTGTCCCATAGCTGTGATCCGTTTGTTCCCTGACAGAATGAAATAACAAAATAGTTATTTAATTACATATATAGCCTCTTTGAATTTTCAGATATTTGAAAATTAATTGAATATCAAATATTTTCCGAATGATGTTTAACAGAGCAAGACATTTTTCACAGTATCTCCTATAATTATTTTTCTTGTGGAGAAAGCCTTTTTTTTTACTTATAAGTCTTATTTTTTTATTTTGGCTAGAATAAAAGCAGTTTTTATTTTTTTAAACACCATTTTAAGGTCAAAATTATTAGCACCTTTAAGCTAAATTTTTAGATAGTCTACAGAACAAATCACTGTTGTACAATGATCTGCCTAATTGCCCTTACCTGCCTAGTTAAACTAATTCACCTAGTTAAGCCTTTAATTGTCACTTTAAGCTGTATAGAAGTGTCTTGAAAAATATCTAGTAAAATATTATTGACTGTAATCATGGCAAAGATAAAATAAATCAGTTATTAGAAATGAGTTAATAAAACTATTATGTTTATTAACTATTATGTATGATTAACATCTTCTTTCCGTTAAACAGAAATTAAGGGAATAAATATACAAGAGGGTAAATAATTCAGACTTCAACTGTTTAAAACATTGTTTCTCTTATCAAACAAAACATCCCAATAACTCACCTGCATTTTCATGCCATCCAAACCCAGCCTGGGAAATAGGGTAAAGTGGAAAAAAAAACAAGACCAAAAAGTAAATAAAAAAAAAATCACAAAAGGAAGTCAGAAGGCATTTTTATACTGATATAAGATACACTATTATTCGGTAAATAATAACTCACCACAGATAGTCAGGAATCCTTGAAACGTGCTTCTGGAAGGCAGGTGAAGTTGGTCCATCTACATACCAGCGTACCAACATGTTGATCGTTTTTGAGATCTAAAAAAAAAGACAGTATTACGGTCAAGAAATAGTAAATATTTTTGACAAAATAATACTAAACATGCACAGATTCACACGATAGGATCAGGCACATGCATTGATTTCAAGAGGACTTCATACTTTACACAGCACACAATTACTTTTTCACTCACCGGTCCGATGCTGATACATTTTGTGAAGCGATCGTCTGCTTTAATGTGGTCATACAGCTCCTTCACTGCTTTTTCTCTCAGTATAGTGCTGTGATGAGCTTCGTACACATTCAGGAAAACTGCACGATAAGGTTTTAATTAGTTATATGGCAATCAAAAGGTTTTAATTCCTTTTAAAGTGATGTTATACTTCTCTCACTCACAATAAGCGAAAGTAAGCAAGTTGCTGTGTGGTGTGTATAAATCACAGGCTGCAACGTTGTTCCTCTGAGCTGGCCAGTCAATAGTGGAGTAATCCTGGACGTAGAGCTCCTGTTTCAAACACAAGAAAAACATCTGGATTGGTGTGTCTAGATTGAATTCTGAATTAGATTGTTATTCTGTCATCATGTACTATACAGATACATAGCTCATCCAAAAATCTAAGAATTTATATTAGGCCACACAAAATGTAGGAGAGTTTTTTCTAAAGTAAAACATTAAAGATTTTTGGCAAAAACTGAGGTTCTTTTCGATTAATTTGCATCAGCATACCTACCTACGAATGTACAAATGATCCAGAAGATTGATTAGCTGATTTAGGTGTGTTTTCTTAGTGCTGGAATTCAACTAATTCATAGAATAGTGGGTGTCCCCCATGGTGCAGGGTTGGAGACCTCTGTCTTAAGGTTTTATGAAATTCAATTATAAGCTTTAATCAATGGTAGGGCTGCTGGTATATGAATCAATACAGCAATGTGCACATTAATCAGATTGTCTGAATTATTGTTGACCAGGAGCCACACAACACATGTGATTTGTGGAGTCACTGCAATGTTTAACCACAATAAGGTTTGTTTATCATTTGAATGTGTTTTTAAGACCTGGCTTGTCACTGAGCATTTGGGCACAAAAAATGACATGTTTGCAGGTGTAGCAAAGGTTAATTGTATTTAATAAATTTTTTTTTTGCACACTTACTGGCCACTTTATTAGGTACACCTGTCCAACTGCTCATTAACGCAAATTTCAGCCAATCACATGGCAGCAACTCAATATATTGAGGCATGTAGACATGGTCAAGACGATCTGCTGCAGTTCAAACTCAGCATCAGAATGAGGAAGAACCGGAAACCGAGGCTACAATTCGTACAGGCTCACCAAAATTGCACAATAGAACATTGGAGAAATGTTGCCTGGTCTGATGAGTCTCTATTTTTGCTGTGACATTCGGATGGTAAAATCAGAATTTAGTGTCAACAACATGAAAGCATGGATCCATCATGCCCTGTATCTTGGCACACTTTAGTACCAACTGAGCATAGTGTCAATACCCAGGCCTACCTGAGTATTGTTGCTGACCATGTTCATCCCTTTTGACCACAGTGTCTTCTGATGGCTTCTTCCAGCAGGGTAATACACCATGTCATAAAGTACGACTCATGTCAGACTGGTTTCTTGAACATGACAATGAGTTTACTGTACTCAAATGGCCTCCACAGTCACCTGGTCCCAATCCAATAGAGCACCTACTGGGCGTGCTGGAACGTGAGATTCGCATCATGGATGTGTAGCCGACAAATCTGCAGCAACTGCATGATGCTATCAAGTCAATATGGAGCAACATCTCTGAGGAATGTTTCCAGTACCTTGTTGAATCTATGCCACAAAGGATTAAGACAGTTCTGAAGGCAAAAGGGGGTCCAAACTGGTACTAGTAAGGTGTACCTAATAAAGTATAGAATATCTTCTTTCTAGTGCAGATTCTGCAGAAATATCAATTTCAAACTGAAATAAACTTTATTATACAAACCCCATTAGCAGATTATTTTGCTTGTTTTAAGAAAAAAACTCACAAAATTTTGACCTATTACTAGAAAGTGAAAACAAAACAATAATTTTACTATAATTTTTTTATATTTTGGCAAGAAATGAGACAAAATCTAAGTAAGAAAAACATTTTTGCATCGTGATTATTCTATTTCTGTACCTGAATACTTTTGAACTCTCCAGAAAAATGTCTAATAAATAGAGCTATTCAAACCAAAATTTTCACAAGACTGTTATGAAGCATTTAATGATCATCAAAATCTTAAATCCTTGAAAGTTTTTAATATTTTGATTTTTGAAAGAACGCATGTACAAGTTGCCTATATATTATATTATCTTTGTATCAAATTACAAAAAACTAATTAAAGCTTGAGCATTTGAAATGCAGAGTTGCAGGACACTAAAATTTACGTTCTTCTATCTTCTGGCTGCTGTTCTAGCATCAGTATCATACAAATTATTTTCTTTTTCTGAAGTCTTGATAACACCATCGTTAAATAACTATTTCAGGAAATAGGATTGTAAAAACATTAATTGTTTTACTCTCCTGTTCACTGCACTCTAGGTTTACCCCACTATGACGACTTCCGCTAATGAGAGAAATCCAGAAATGTGAACAGGGTCCATATGTATTGTGGAGACTGTAGTGCTTCCCACCCCTAGAGGTAAAACTCTGAAACTACACCTGTCTTAAACTGAGCACCAGAGGATCTTCATCAGCAGAGAGCCTGACTGCGTAGCAGTAGCTCATGGGCAGGTAGACCTGTCGACAGTGGCACCATAATGTGGAGGGGTGTGCTGGCATCCAGGAGGGCAAAAGCCTAATGAAACAAACCACAAAAACATATACAGTTGAACATATACACATATACAGTTGAACATATACACATATACAGTTGAACATATACACATATACAGTTGAACATATACACATATACAGTTGAAGTCAGAATTATTAGCCCCCTTTTGAAATTTTTCTTTCTTTTTTAAATATTTCCCAATTGATGGAAAATTTCACAGTATAATCCACAGGATAATATATTTTCTTCTGGAGAAAGTCTTATTTGTTTTATTTCGGCTAGAATAAAAGCAGTTTTAAATTTTTAAAAAACCATTTTAAGGTCAAAATTATTAGCCCCTTTAAGCTATATTTTTTCGACAATCTACAGAACAAACCACTGTTATAAAAAAAACTTGCCTAATTACCCTATCCTGCCTAGTCAACCTAATTAACCCAGTTAAGCCTTTAAATGTCACTTTAAGCTGTATAAAAGTGCCTTGAAAAATATCGAGCCAAATATTATTTACTGTCATCATGACAAAAATAAAATAAATCAGGGATTAGAAATGAGTTATTAAAACTATCATGTTCAGAAATGTTTCAAAAAAATCTCTCCGTTAAACAGAAATTGGGGGAAAATAAACAGTGGGGGCTAATAATTCCACATCAACTGTGTATTCAAACCTAAAAACAACAACAATCAGCCTACAAACTATTGAACTTCTTATTTACCACATCTCTGGGAAAAGCGTATTCATTCCTTCCCAGTTGTATACGTTCAGGATGGCCAACCAAAATTTGCCCCATGAGGGTATGCCTACAGCACCACCTGTGACAGAGCAGCAGAATACTGATGATAAGCACCATTTAATCTTATTTAACGGTTTATATTACTGTATGTACAGCAATCACAGACCTCTGTTGTGTAAAGCATTTCTTGCCCGAACCATATCTGGATCATCAGGCCCAACTCCCAAAATTCTCAAGGTGGTGTAACTCAAAGCTGTTCCAAACACAGTCGACTTGTCTTCAATGTGCCTGAAAAAGAATTTTGTGATGGTCACTAATTATTCCAGTCATGTTACACACTAATAGCAAGATATATATAAATATAATAGACTGTTTTTAAACGCCAGTTTGACCCTAAATTCTCATTACTGTAATACACAATGACATTTAATGTTCTGTATTTTTCAAAATTTATTAAATTTTTTAATCTTTGTAACAAGGATTATCATTGCTGGAATATTACCATTATTAACACTCATAACAATACTAATACTACTAGTAATAATAATAATTAACATTATTATTATTTAATTGCATTTAATAAATAAATACATACAATCCGTAAATTGGATTTAAATAATATACTAATTTTGGGATGGCAATAATATATAATTTTATTATGTAATATATAATATATAATAAAATATAATAGTATTATGGTATTGAAGAAAATAAATAATTGTTTTTAGATTGAAATGTGAAGTTATCTTGACAGGATTAATGAGATTTTTAAAGATAATATTATTAATACGCACAAGCCCCAGCCTCCATCAGGCAGCTGCACAGAGCGAAGATATCGAACCATTTCCTTCTTCCATGCATCTGGCAGAGGAATCTTAGCAATATGACAGGTTATGAGCAGGCCTAAGACATACAAAAAGATAATAGTATAATAATAAATCAATAATACAAAGGAAGAAATTCATTCTCTTACACGTCTAAGCTCTCTTGAATCATAGAAACACTGTATTTAAAAATGGTTTCATTTAATTAAAGTTTCATTGATTCATTCATTCATTTTCTTTTCGGCTTAGTCCCTTTATTCATCAGGGGTCGACAGAGCAGAATGAACCACCATGTCACATCCATAACGCTGGAATTGCTCAATATTAATTTGCATGTAATGACTAAACAAACCTTTCTAAGCATATACTAATGGTGTTATGGATATAAATGAATCACCTGGAAGTAAGAAAAGAGGTCCACCGTAATCTCCAGCCCAATGTCCATCTTCAGCCTGTAGTCGGCTATAGAAGTCCATTCCCTTTAATGCAGCTTCTACTGCAGTGTGTGCGGCAGGGGATGCTGAGATGAACTCGCTCTGAAATAATACAAATGCATTGTTTTAGTGTACACTTATCCTGATGATACACTGGGCAACTTGGGGAAATGATGCCATCAATATGCAACCAGGTGAGACATGTGGTAGCTAATTAGGGATATGGGTTACAGATACTATGTTGTTTTTCCATTCTTAATAGAAAAGTAGCCAAGCAGCATTGCTTTGCAAAATTGACTGGCAACATCGCTCAAAAAGGTGCCTTGTGTATCATCAGCATTAGTGTCTGTAATGTTTGTGTTTACCGTGTCCAGTCCCAGAGAGTGACGTTCCAGCATGCTCTGCGGTCTGTCCAAGCTGTCAGTCTCCTCGATGTACCTCCAGCTCTGTCTGCCGTCCACATTACTCAACCTCCAGCGGCTGAGATCTGTCGCAGGCTCCGTCTTATAGGGGCCTCCCCTTCTCCGCAAACACCTGGTTTAAAACTTTCAGTTACACTCGGAAGGGCATTTTCATTAACGAACTTGTTAATGACCAATAATACGGCTATTAAAAAATTAAGAAAGCATTTGGAAATGTATCTCTGGATTCACAGGATTTAATATGGTGTGTTTGAGCAACATGTTTATAGAAAAACATTTATTCTATAAAGGTCTGGTAGCATTTCTTCAAAGTGTTTTTCTGCCTACAAATCAGAGTCGTTCCGCCAAATACATTTCAAGAGTCATTTTATGCTCTAAATCAGTGTTTCTAAACCACGTTCTGCTCGAATCAGGTGCATTTGGTTAAAGAGACATGGAAATGTGCAGAACTGGTGGTCCTCCAGGAACGTGGTTGAGAAAATGTGCTCTAAATAATCTTTTTAAGTATAAAATAATTGTCAGTAGTTTGAACAACAAAATAAAAAGACATTTTACTTAAACACATGAAAATTAATTACAAATTCAGAGAAAATTATCATTTCCAACTGCTCAAACTTTTTTGTTTTAGAACTGTAGTTAATGTGCACCCAAATATTTTATGGAAACAAATGACAGGAAGTGAAATAACATTTCTGTAATGATAATAATAATAATAATAATAATAATAATAATATTAATGAGCTGTTTTCTGCAAGTTTAATGGAAAAAGAACATCAATAAGTTCCATCAGTACTTTTTTTTTTTATATAATTAGCAGTTTTATATTTGTGTGTCAGTAAAAAAAAAACATATTAGAAAGAGAAAAAAATCGTACTGATGCTGGTTGTGGATAGGTTATAGATATTTGAACAAAACAATATAGTAAAATTGTGAAAGAACATTAATAAGTTCCACAAGGCATTTTATATTAACTTGTGTTAGGCTTGTCAGTCCAAAAAACGAATAGTAGATATAGAAACATTGTACCGATGCTTGTTTTATGCAAATATTGATATTTGAACTAAAATAACAAACACATTTAACCCAAAATACTGCTTTTTTAAAAAACTATTTTGACATTAAAACGTTGATATTTTGTGTTGAAATTAAAATGGTTATGTTGGATTAGGTCATTTCAAGTGTCATTATATGCTCTAAATGACCTTTTTAATAGAAAAAATATAGATATAGAATGTCAGTAGTTTGAACAAACAAACTTAAAAGATGTTTCACTCAAACACATGAAAATTAATGGAAAACTCAGAGAAAATAATATTTCCAACTGCTTAAACATTTTGGTTTTGTTTCAGCCTCTTACATTTCTAAGTTTAATATTTATTCTATAAAGGTCTGATAACAATTCTTATTGCTTTTGTGCCTAAAAATCTGAGTCATTCCACCAAATCCAAGTCCAAGTAAAAATATTCACCATCAGAAAAATTTCGTTTTCACTTTGAAATGTAGATATTTTGACAAGAAACAAGACAAAATGTCTATGGAAAAAAAGGTTTTTGCATAAATCATAGTGATTAAAATGCCATATAAATACAGTGATTAAATACAATTCTGTAGCTCCTACTCTGTAACTTGATTCAAACTGAACATTGCGTGTATTTGCGATTTGCCTGTTGCGGATGCGCACATTGAGATATCAATGCTGAAACGATATATTCTGCAGCCCTAGTCGACAAGTTTACCAAATAATAAACTGAATATACTCACGTTCCCTCTGTCATCTTTGACGTGCTTGAGCAAAACTTGTAAACTCTAAAGATCCTGTCATATTTCAGCTGATCGCGGCACTGAACGCCTCCTTTAAACCGCGTGGGAAACGTAGTTTTTTTAACCCCCGGTGTCAACCCAGAGCGTCAACTCCAAACTACGTTTCCCACAATACTTAGCGCTGCCTTCCGAGCGCGATATCGCATGGAGAGACATGACCAGAGGACAAACCAGCCAATCACAAGAAACAAACACAGCAAAATGGGCGTGATTTTCGAGTTCACGCCAACCACATGGAAAATGTTATGAATAATTAATCTTATGTTAATACCAGTTTAGATCGTAGTAATATAAGCATCTTTACAATTGTTGCAGAGTGATTCTCAGCATAAGGGAATTAATTTAACAAAAGGCTGAAAATGTTTACTAAAAACACCTTTATCGTTGTCAAAAAATATACATTTTAAATACAAAATCATATTTGCAATGAACAAAACACACTTAATATTCAGAAACACGTACGCCTGAAAAACAAACAAACGCACAAACTCTAAATTAAATGTTTAAGAACAAGAAAAACACACTTAGCATGCATTTAAATTTAGGGATGAGATGCATGACAATCATTTTCATTGAATCCAAAATAAAACAAAATAAAAACATCAAAAATAAAACTGCTGACTAATTAAGCAGCCAATAAAAGACATTCTGTTTCAAATAAAGAGACGGGAACTGCCATTTAGCAGCTTATGTTAAACTAAAACACCTTCAGTTGTCAACAATATCTAAAAGACAGTTCAACTTGAGGCCACACGCACGTTCTTCCTCTCGCTGACTTGATAACTCTCTTTTCAAGTCCTCAAAGCGCTGGAATAAAGGCACCGGCCTGCTTTTATCATTACGAGATGCAATCTTGTCCAAATCGTCCATTTCCTTTAAAAGACACACAAAAAACACACATCTTTAAAGCATTTGTGATGAAAGCTTTGTTTATTATTAGCACTAGTTCTCCTGGAATACTGTACCTGTATGTGGACGGCAGCAGAAGGCCTCTTGCTGGTGGTCAAAACTAGAGGAGGTGAAGACAGGAGGGTGGATGGGAGAAAGAGAGGTAAGGAAGCAGAAGACAAAGCATCCGCCTCAATTCGTCGCCGAATCTGCTCTCCGATTCTAGATATGAATGTTAAAGAATAAAATCAGCACATTACAGAAAAAAAAGTGATTCCTTTAATGCATGTTGAAACAATAGGTCACCATTCATTCATTCATTCATTTTCTTTTCAGCTTAGTCCCTTTATTAATCTGGGGGCGCCACAGCAGAATGAACTGTCACAATAGGTCACCAAAAAATTACAATTATTTACTCGCTCACAGACCATGCAAGATGCAACTGGTGAACTATTGAGGATAATTTAGGATAGATGAGAAACACCTTTCACTTGTTTTATAACGGTTTAGAGTTTCTTTTTTCTTTTGAACACAAAATATATTTTGAAAAAAAGTTGGAAACTAGTAGACATTGACTTCCATTGTATTTTATTGTCCGACTATGATGGTCAAATATCTACTTGTGTGTTCAACAAAAAAAACACTTAAATTTGGAACAACTTGACAGAATAAATGTTAATTATTGAATGTATTATTCCTTAACGTTAAATGTGGGAGAAAAAGAAAGAAAGCAAAAAATGAATGAAAGAAAAAAAGAAACAAAAAAAAAACTAATTTAAGAAAGTAAGAAGGAAAAGAAAGAAAAAAGAAACAAATTTAAAAAAAGAAAAATATGTAATAAAAAAAATTAATGAAAAAAATAAAAGAAATATAAAAATAATAAGAGAAGAAAAATAGAAAGAAAAGAAAAATGAAGTAAAGAAAGAAACAAGCAAAGAAAAAAAGAAAAATCAATTAAAGAAACAAACAAACAAAAAAACAAGCAAAGAAAAAAGAAAGAAAAAGAAAGATAGAATGAATTAAAGAAAGAAAAAGAAATTAGAAGAAAAAAAAGAAAAAGAAAAAGGCAAAAGAAAGAAAAAAAGAAAGAAAAATGTATTAATGACAGAAAAAGAAATAAAATGAATTAAAGAAAGAAATTTAAAAGAAAAAAGTACAAAAAATACAAAAATTAAGAAAAAATGAATTTAAGAATGAATAAGAAAAATGAATTTACTAAAGAAAGAAAGAAAGAATGAAAAAAGAAAGCAAGCAAGCAAACCTCTGTCCCTCAGCATTCATCTCCTGAACGGTTGAGAGTGTATGTTGAAGTCTCTCCATTATGGGAGACTGTGTGCTGTCTGGAGCAAACATCCTATTCATTTTTCTGTCAGATGATACTTTCCCAACCAGCTCAACAACATCTGTTTCCTTTATAAACACAAAAGTTAAGATTTATTGCATTTTAAGGAAGAATCACAACTTTTCAGAGCTGTCAATTCTGTTCAACTGTACCTGTATGTGGGCAGTGCCAGCAGCAGGATGTTTTCTCAAAGCAAGGGGAAAAGAAGAACGGCGCAAAGGATTTTCTCCAGCCCGATGCTGTGTCTGCTCTCCAATCCTACAGATAGAAGTAATGGTTAACATCCCAAAAAGGCAACATTCAAAGAGTTAGTTCACCTCAACATTTATTTCTGTTACGAAGTCATAAGGAATGTTTTGACAATGTTTTTGGTTCCTTTTCTGAACTTTGAACATCTCAGCACTGTTTCTCTCAATGGAGATAATTAGATTATATTAATTTGTGTTCAGAAGACGAACGGGTGTCTTGAAGGACTGCAACAACTTAAAGCGTCCGTGAAGTGCTTTAAAATGTTAATGTTTATTCCACGTTTGATGTAATTTCAACCAAAACATTGAGAGGGTGGGACATAGTGTAGCTCCTCCCCTTTAAAAAAACAGCCAATAGTGTTTTGTTTTTCACTGCTCTGCCAGTGGGAGTGGTTGAGCTGAAGCAAATGTGGAGCTTCTTAAAGAGGGCGGGACATGTCAGATACTAGAGAGCATTTGATTGGTCATGATTCGATGAAAAACTGAAGTATGAGGTGACGTTAATAAAATCTATTAAGGCGGAAGTGATCAATTAAAAGCTTTACATGTTAATATCAATTCTATATCTCTAAATGCAAATTAATTAACTCCTATTAACTGTTAAAGCTTACCTCTGGCTCTCAGCATTCATATCACGGAGGGAAGACAGCATCTGTTTAAACTTCTGCTCAATGGGAATCTGTGCAGTATCTTCAACAGTTGGACGTTCCTCTATATCTATGTGACTCTGAAACAGCTTCTGTCTGAGGTAAAGTCTGGTCGCAGGGGAATGCTTGACTTTACACCTACAAGGAAAGGTTTCAAATTGTTACTCTTTTATTGTGCGTCTGTAATGAAGTTAATATTACATGCGCATAACAGTGATAGTTACACTTCTGAGGCCTGCCGTTTCTCCTGGTACGTCTGTTTCACAGCCTCAATCCAAATATCAGGGGGCTGAAAACTCTTCAGGCTGTCTTTGTTAAAATATACAAGAATCTCGCCATCATCTGTGAGGGCATCTATGAAGATTGCAAGCACAACATACATTTTAATAACAAAGAATTAAGCCAAAGGTTATGCATTTAGTTTCCAATCTGTTACTTACCTTTTGCCACCAGAGTGTCCAAACTCCAGTCCTTCATGCGATGCTCTACACACAGGCATATGATGTCATCCCAAGGAATTTCATGAAAGGACGGTCCAGCCTTCTCATAGTCATCTTCGTCTGCGTGTTGGTAGTTCACTCTTCTAAGCAGGTTCTCCAAGCGAGACATTAGAATGGGCTGGCTTAAGGGCGAGGTGGGGATCTGCGATACATACTGGAATATAGAGGCACATAAATGTGGCCAGGAAGCTGTGGAACAATGGAGGAAATTTTTAATTAGTTATGTTAATATATAAATTCGTAACATTTAGTTAGAGTTGTGTTAAGGCTCAACAATCTACTGAAATGTACTGGAATCTACACTAAGCATACATTATAGGTTGTTTTCATATGATGATATTGATGATGTGTGAAATTCAGACGGAGGCCAGAAAGTGGTTCTTCTACATAGTAACATTTTGATGTTTTGATAGCGATTCCTGTTGTTTATAATTGTTTAAATCAGCCAAGAAAAGAAATGCCGAACAGCTTTTATAGACTTCCATAAGTTGTAGCTCATACAGGGGCGAAAGTTCAAGACACTGGCTGAAAAATGGAAGAACAGGTGGCATGATTAAACATTTTTTCAATAAATCCATGTGTACAAACTTTTTTTATTACGATAAGTCGTTTGACAACAACAATAAAGATTATATACATGCCTAGCTATGTGTATAAATGTTAATGAGTCATATATAAATCAGATACAAAACACCAGCATACTTATACAAAATCCAGGAGAATATAAATAACGAACCCTATCATGTAATCGCTGCAATGAAATTACCATCTTGTTTTGCAATAATCCATGTCTTTACTGGTGCTTCGGAAGAGTAAACAACCGTAACGTGAACATCGAGATGCGCAGCAGCGGTAAATATTTGTTTATGGTAAGTTCATCGATATAAAAAAAAAAGAATTGTAACCCTTGCGATGTTAAATACTGCCCTACTGTTCATTAAACATATGCAATACTTTCTCCATTTGCATTTGTACACAGCAACTTATAACCAGTATATTTATAACAAATCTGTACAGGCAATTTAACATCCAGATCTCTTTAACTAACTGCATCTCTGTTTAATGTTTATAGTCTTTTTTCATATTTATTTTGTGTTGTCACTTGTCACTTTATGTACACTGGAAGTTTCTGTAGCCCACTTGTTCATGAAGCACACTTGGCAATAAAACTGATAAAAAACTGATTCTGATTCAAGCAGCAAACTGCTATAGAAAACATAACCTACCATCAACAGGAGGGAGATCCCACTCAGGAAGCTGCCGACTGAGGATGCTTCTCCTCAGCCACTGCAGGTGTTCTGGAGAGTTCCAGGCCTGGTGAGGAATCAGCTCACTGTTCTCTGGGAGAGAGAATTCAGGAGGTGGCCAGCAGAGCGCAGACAGGTGCTCTGATGAAACCACACCTGACAGAAAACTCAGCACACTGTTGCAGAGCTCCACAATAGGCTCTGGATGCTGAGATGGAAGACCTGCATTCTTTCTGTCCAGCTTGTCTTCTTGTAGTCTGGAATAGAACTCTCGGCACAGGCCTAATTCAACAACCTGCAGCAGGGTCTGAGAGGAGAGTGCCGGACTGGCAGGAGAGCGCGCAGAAAGCCACCTCACAACATGACTCATCTGAAGAGCAATGATATTAAAAAAAATAATTAGTATCTGGAGACTTTTTAATAACTTCCTGAAGTACAATGAAAATGTTGGCAGTCTGCTACAACAAGAACAAGCTTAGAGGGAGTAGGGGAGTATTATGGCCTGATTTAAAGATATCCTTTTCTTTTCATTTTGTTTATTTATGTATTATTATTATTTTTTTAAGGGAATGGGTTGATGGGAGGGAGAATAAAGTTTAAAAAGTTTGCTGTGTCTTCATGATTATTATTCTGTAACTGTGTAATCTGTTGTGATATGCAAATTGAAAAAGTAATAAATATATTGTAAAAAAGTTGCATGAAGACCTAACAGGAACCTTTGACTAGTAAACATGACTGAGGTTGTCAGTGTCTTGTAGGTCTATGCAATTTTGGGGGAGTTGTGATTTTTCTGACTGATATTGTGATTTTGATTATGATTTATTAGAAATCAGTTTTAAGAGCCCTTACTAGGGTGCTCCTTCTAGGGAGATGACATCATTACTCCATGTTTGTTTGATTTTAATGGTGGGCAGTATGCGCTTTTGGTTTGAGCAGTGTTAATTGGGCAGAATCAGAGTGCGCTAATTCAGTTGCCTAGCAAGCGGACAATCAAGCACTTGCTCTTGGCTTATTATTTTTGTTATAATTATTTCACCCTTTTGCAATTTGCAAATTATGACGTTTCAAATTGTGTTTATGATTCAATTTCGATTAATCACACAACCCTAGTTTCTTGCACAGACCTATAAAGTAATGTGCAATAATTTTGTATGTAGATTTTTATAACTCGCAAAGTGGCCAACGGCTTGCAATATATTAATCAGCAGATCTCACAACTCGACCTGCAATTAGAGGGATCTTGGCTGCCCTGATTTAATTTTTTGAGTAAATTACCTGTATTAACTATGTTAACTACAAACAACATCTTTGAAGACCAACCTGCTCAGAGCCTTGCAGGTCATTGAGAGTAGCTGGTATATGGACGAAGATATATTCAGAGATGAGGCCATCTTTGACTAACATATCCAACAAAAGTGCTGTGAAAGAGAGAGAATATAAATCATCAAATTGTATCCGTAACTTTCTTGTTTGCTATACGACCCTTTTTGGTAACACTTTACAATAACTACACACTTTGAACCATCTATTAAGCATTTAGCAAATAACAAATTCAATGTTTGTTAAGCATTAACTCTACATTAACAGATGTTAACAGGCGGTTTATAACTACAGATAAAAATGCTGTATTCTTGACTTAAAAGCATTTAAAATGTGCTTAATAATTGTACTTTCATCCTGATTAATTTTTCGTGACTAAATTCATCATTGCATTATTTACAAATCATTTGTATTTAAGAGTAGTTGTTTTAAGATCCTTCAGAATGAGCTAGTAAATGATTAATAAACTATTTAAATAACATGTATATATTATTATTGAGGCATATACTAATAATTTAATTAATTAAACTTAATCGATTTTGTTAATAAATGCTTTAATAACTCAACTTCATCCAGCTTTGTGACCTAATCTATAGTGAGTACTATTTATGCTTTATAAATCTCTAATAAATATTAATTAAAGGCTAAGTATTAAATGAACAATACATCTTTGCAGTCTTATCTAATAAGTAAAATGACTGCAAAGTTCAAACATTGCTGAATAACAGGAGTGTCAAAATATAACATAAAACTGGATAAAACAACAATGTAATAATTTAACAATATATTATGATGCAACATTTCAATGTTATTTGGCAATATAACTGAGCCTTTAATTGTTGTTTATAAGGGATTTATAAAGCATAAATAGTCCTCACTTTAGATTAGGTCACAAACATGGATGAAGTTGAGTTAATAAAGCATTAACAACAGCAACATCTCTCAAATAGCTGGTTTGTAAATAATGCAATACTTAATTTAGTAATGAAAAAAAAATTAACAAAGTATGAAAATACAATCATTAAGCTCATTATATGTGCTTATAAGCAGGCCCACACGGAATCTGCCTGCGCAGAATTCCGCAGATTTTTAACTCATCGTTGATTCTGTTTTTTTACTTGCGTAAATGTGTGTAAATTTATATTTATTCAGTTTTTTATTAATTTCAGTATAATTATTGTCTAATATGAAAAGGTTCATATAATGTTTTTACAAAACAGTTTGTAAAGTAATATTTTCTCTCTTTTAGTAGATATATAATACAGAAGACTTGCTTTGTTTACTAAGTAAAGTGTATCTAATTGGATTTGCATTGTAAACATTAAATACAAGTTAAAAAAGAATTACTTTTTATTTCATATATTAAGGTTTTAGTTAAGATACTCCCCAAATCATTGTGCATAAATCTGCAGATTTTTTTTACAAAATTCTGCGCAGAAATAGCAAAAATGTCTGCAGGTTCTGTCTGGCCCTACTTATAAGTCAAGAATAGAGCATTTGTAGCTGCAGTTTTAAACTGCTTACTAACATCTGTTAATGTAGAGTTAATGCTAAACAGATAATGAATTAACTATTTGCTAATGCTTAACAAATGATTCATAGTGTGTAGATATTATAAAGTGTTTCCAACTTTTCGATTATTACTTGCCTTGTTCCAAACCCTGATCACCAATTTGGTTGCCAGCGACCACCACAGCCAGTGGTAGAGGAGAATGCCAGCAGCTGGCCTGCTGTACCTGCCTCAGCTGGAGGAGGGCAGAGAGCAGTGGCAGGTCCTCCTCCTCTTCTTCTTCTTCTTCTTCTTCCCCCTGTCCAGCACTGTTAACAGGGGGAAGCAGCATCAGCAGAGCATTGGTACCATGGAGCTCCTTCTGCTCCTCCAGCAGACACTGGTCTTCTGCACTCAAAGGTCCATGGCATGCCTGTGCAAATGCACACACACAAGCTTAATGATGGTGATATTGAAGTGACTGAGGCGTAGGACTGATGTAATGAAGTAAATAATAATCAAATTTGTTCAAACTATTTACTCTATAAGCTCACCTTTACAGAAATGTAAACTTCATGAGTCTGTCCCCTAATATTGGTCAGGCTGTGACTGACACACAGCGTTTTCACTTGCCCTTTTGATTGTTTCTCACTCTCTTCAGATTCATTTCCTCCACCCAATTTAACCTCAAGCCAATCTGTCAGAATTCTGCATGGAAACAAACACAAGTCAGTTTTTATCTTGTGTGTTTTAAAAAACTTTACGATCTTTTCAATACTCACCTGCTGGCAAAGGTTATGTCACTATCGCAGCTGCTTGGCATCAGAAGCGTAGCTTTCCAGAAGATTCTGTCAGGTGCATTAGGAGTGCTCTCTGCCACAAGTGTGGGCAGGTCAAGAGGCATCCATACACGCTCACTGCCAAACAATTATTCAGCCACATAGATTAAAAATAAATTATCGGCATTCTGCACATCTATTCCAAGTCGTCTTGTCACTGTGCCTCACCTCATTAAGAGATTGTAGTAATAGGACACTTTCATTTGATGAACTGCCTCCTGTCTCATTCTCAGCAAACTATAAAAATGATGAAGAATATCAATGATTGAGATCCAATCCAAACTATTTTAAAACAACCAAACTGAAATCTCCAATAACTGACCTTGTGCAGGAAACTGCCATGTTGCCAGAGTTACCCAGATTGACCATCCCCTGAGCCAGGAGGTCCAGACAGTGGTTTGAAGGAGCACTGGGGACGAGCGCCTTCAGTTTAAATTGTGGATCTACACAACCAGGGGCTGCTGGGAAACCACGCATCTGTCTCTTCAACTGACGACGAACAGCTACCACATCACGCCACCTAGAGTACATGCATGAACACGTGTCCTTTAAATGTTTTAAAAACAGTATTAAAAAAGACAAATACTTCCTTGAGGACACAACTTGCTAAAAATAAAGGGAAATAATAAGGTCATCAAACCTCTTTATGAATTTGCGAATGTGCCTCAATCCTTCATCCAGGATTACTTGTGCTATAGAGGCCACCTCCTCAGCCAATGTCTCCTCTATTATGCTTTCACATTCCTCCGCTGTGCAGCGGGCAATATAAGCCGCCTTTTCTTCTAAAGCAAGCCTAAAGGGGAATAACAAAATCACCAATTCTGCACAAGTTTTCTGGTGTGGTGAAGCTTACAAAACATAAAAAACAAGTCACTTTTGGTGTCTTTATCATAACAAATGGATATAATATGACATAATGCATTTAGCAAAAACTAAGCCTTACAACTAAAACTGTGACCCTTGACCACCAAATCTGTCATAAGTGTTAATTCATAAGTGAAAATTCAGATTTATGTGTAATCTAAAAGCTGAATAAATAATAATTTTACTGATTTGTATAATGTTAAACTGAGATGCAGCAATGTGAAATTCTGGAATCTGAGACAAATCAAAATACTGAGAAAATTTGTCCAAATCTGGTTCTTAGCAATGCATATTACTAATCAAAAACTGAGCTTTGATAAACCTACACTAAGAAATTAGGCAATATGTTCATCTTTACTTAAAATTCTAATAATTGCTCGCATAACAAATCTATAATTTTTGACCCATACAATGTATTTTTGGCTATGGGCAAATATACACCCATTGAACATCAGACTCAATTTTGTGGTCACAATTGTCTTAATGTCTACATTCATGTTAAAAATTGTATTTGATATATCTTTTATAAAAGAAAAGGCAAAGTCATCTTATTCAATATCTGAAATGTATTAACTATATTAAAGAACTTCACAATTATTCACACATTATTTTTTCTAACTATGGTAGTAAACAGGCTGTCAAATCTGTTTGGTTACTGACATTCTTCTAAATATCTCACTGTGTTCAGTAGAACAAATATAATTATGATGGATCTAAATATCCTGATGGTGAGTAAATGATGGCAGAATTTCCATCTTTTTGGGAGCACTATCCCTTTAAAAAATGTTTTAAAACCACAACACCAGTCACAAAGCCAGCATAATAACAGCGAATAAACAAGGACAACCTCCATGAGATGTTTGTGGTGGATTAAGTACCTTATTTCAGCTTCAGCAGTTGCTCTAATGCTTTCTGTTAGCACCTCATCACTGATTTTAGCACACAGCTCAGCACTGAACTGCTGAAGAAACGCTTCCTTTCGCCTGAAACAGACAAAAATGAAAGCATCTGCAACTTGATATAAACAAAAACACAACTATCATATTACAAAAAAAAGACAACAAATGCAGAGGGTCCCCCACACACACCTGGCTTCCTCCTCCTTGCGTTTCTCCTCCGCAATTCTCTCCTTCTCAGCAATGATCTCTGATGTGGACACTTCCCTCAGAAGCTGATGTAAGACTTCACTCACAACTATTTCAAGCTCACTGTCACTTGCACTGCAAGACACATGATAGAGATCTATTATGCTTGGTTTAAAGGAGTAAAACAAAATATGTGCTTAAAAATTCTGGGAGTTTCCCTGGAAAGTCTTTTGACGAACAGCAGGTGTTGAGGATGGCACATAAAATAACAGGAGTTTGCACATACCCCTTAAACTATTATTTTGATTGGATGCCCCTTGGGTGGACATCTAAAGACAATTAGATGTTCCACGAATTGTTATATATTTACTTTTGTGCCTGAAACAATTCGGTTACAAGATAAATGTAGTTGATTGATGGTTTATTATTATAATTATTATTCATGTTAAGTGTTGAAATTTATTGAGTAAAGTGTCATTTATTTTATATGTGAAGCACCATACTATGTCAGAATGAATTGCCCCAATAAAGTTTTTAATAAAGCTTTTTTTTTTTTTTTTTTTTTAAAGAAATGCATGATCATACTACTTGCTAGATTTTAACCTTCAATAATTTTAACCCTAAAGTGACAGGAAAAGCATCCTACCTGAGGGCTGCGGACACATATTCAGCAGCTGAACGCGTTACATCAGAGACTTCAGCCTCCAACACCTCATTAACCACTGCATCCACTTCTGCCATAATATCCTGCAATAGATGATGTCATGGGTGAGCTTATTTATGGGAAGGATTGCTTCATTTTGTGCTTAAGACTGAAAAGCCTCTCACCTGATCCGTGTAGGTTGGCTCTGGTTTGGGTGGAGGAGATGGGGGTCGAACCGGCTGTGGTGCTAGTATGGGTGGAAAAATAGGCTGTTGCACTACAGGAAGAGTTGACTCTGCTGTTTGAGACTTCTCTCCTGTTTCTTCTGTGTCATCAGCTTTTACAGGCTCAGAGAGACCCATGAAAAGCCGTGGTTCGGCTAAAAGCCTTGTTTTCACCTGAGGCCTGGGTTCAGGCTCCATGAAAATCTGCCTTTCTGCAGGAGCTGCCAAGAACAAAGGAACTTGTAAGCACAAATATTCTGATATTTCCTGTAATACATTTTGCACTGAAGTTCCTCCACACCTTTCAGGACAGCTGGTGGTGGCTCTGAAGAAAGGCCATCTCCAGTGTATTTGTTGTTGGAGTCAAAGCTACAAACAGGACTGTGCTGTGGTGGGTTTGGAAGCGGTCCACCATTCACCACCTCTCCTATTAGAACAGTTCTTTTCTTCTCAATCGCCACAGACTTCTTCTGCGGCAGGGAGTAATCAGGCTCCTGATAGGCTGTCCGACTAAGTTCAACCATGCTGGATGAAAGACAAAACTAGCAATTAGTTTGTATTAATTCTATATCCCTGAAATTTAGAAAATTTATCTAACTAGGGGTCTGCTGCTTGTGCTTTTGGTCAGCGCAGCAACAAACATCCCTTGCAGAGAACAAGTCATTAAAATTAATGGGTTTTACAGTGCAGCAACCTCCATGTCTGGTAGGAAAACTGCTTCACACTGTGCAATGACTACTGCTGTACATTGGGGAGTGCGACACACCATAGACTGCTCCTATTTTCAGCCATTTTTCCCTTTTGGCCAAAAATGCTGTTCATCCTACTGGAGACCAAAAGCATTTACTGTGTGATCAAACCTATTTTAACATTAATATAACATTTTCATATCTTATACCAAACAAATGTCAACATCATACACCCCTAGAGCTGACATTGTCACACAGCCATGACACCCTGCAGCCCAAGACCGGTTACTCACTAAAGCTAAGCAAGGCTGAGCCTGGTAAGTAAGTACTTGGATAGGAGACCACATAGAAAAAGTAGGTTGCTGTTAAAAGTGGTGTTAGTGAGGCCTGCAGGGGGCCCTTATGCCCCAGCAGGGCTCGACAATAAGGACTGCCCGATGGCCCGGGGCCAGCGTGCAAGACACTCGGGCCAGTGTACAGAATGTTACTGGCCCGATCGGGCCAGTGCTGCCTTTTTGCCAGCCAGATCGAGCCAGAGCTGCGTGCTGCGACTGTCTGTCAATTGTGTGCAAATACAATCTTACGGTGCTTTCACACATAGACGTTTGTTTCGGAATCTGTCTCGTTTCCCCCGTTAGCGTGTTTTTTTTGGCATTTATCCAGCAGTTGCGCTCGCATCCGCGCCAAATCAATCAATCCGAGATCGCCTGAATGAGACGGTTTCTGTCCTATTGAGCGGATCGATTGTAGCGAGAAAACAAAACAATGCAACGAACTAACTACCCAGGCTATATTACAGTGTATTATGATTGTGTAATAGCCATATATACGGCTATATGAAGAGAGAATGATGAGCAGGGCGAGATGTCATTCTTACCGGTAAATGCGAAAGTGAAAACAAGCTGAAATATTACTGAGAGCTGTCCAGCCTGATCTCAGTTTATCCGTTAGGAAAATTGACCGAAGTTAATATCTGATCATTTTTCCATGTTTTAATCTTACAATATGTTGTGTTAGGCCAGTTGTTTTGTTCATTTCTGCACTGACAGCTCGAAAGAAAATCAACATTGATCTGCTTCGCGATCCGATGCAGTCTCGGTTTATCTGCTATGTCTCTCTATAATTTAAGCCTAAAATACAGAATTATAGTCAACGTTTCTTTAATAGATTGATTCATTCAATAGATAGATATCTATACAAAACCTGACAATTGAAATGAGGCTCTGTATGAGAAAGTCTGACCTCGATTTATATTCGGTGATGATGTCTGTGGGTTGTTAAAATTGAAGTGCACATTTTCACTTATAAAATATTCTATACACAACTGGTCAAAAGTTTGGGGTCAGTATGATTAAATATGTTAAAATAAGCTTCTTCTGCTCACCAAGGCTGCAATTATTTCATCATAAATACAAATTGTGAAATGTTGCACTATAAAATAACTGTTCAAAAGTAGTTTATCATATAATTTATTCATTTATTCCAGGGATTTTAAAGATGAAATTTCAGCTTCATTACTCCAGTCACATGATCCTTCAGAAATCACTAATATTAAATTTTATTATATTTATAAATGGTAATAGTAATAAAAGCAATAATGTCTGGAGTAATGATTTTATTTGAAACTACATACAATAACAAAGCAGTTATTTAAAATGTTGATAAACATTTAACAAACATTTTTTTTACATTTATAAATATAGCCTTGATGAACTGAAAATTTTCCTTAAAAAACATTTTAAAAATTACTGTAAATATATATATACAGAGTTATTAGCCCCCTTTTGTTTTTGTTTTTATCTTTTTAAAATATTTCCTAAATGATGTTTAACAGAGCAAAGAAATGTTGATAGTTTGTCTGATAATATTTTTTTCCTCTGAACAAAATCTTATTTGTTTTATTTTGACTAGAATAAAAGCAGTTTTTTTATTAACCATTTTAAGGTCAAATTTATTAGCCTCTTAAGCTAATTGTTTTTCAGACTGTCTACAGAACAAACCATCGTCATACAATAACTAGCCTAATTACCATAACTTGCCTAGTTAACCTAATTACCCTAGTTAAGCCTTTAAATGTCACTTTAAGCTGTATAGAAGTGTCTTAAAGAATATCTAGTCTAATATTATTTACTGTCATCATGGCAAAGATCAAATAAATCAGTTATTAGAGATGAGTTATTAAAACTATTATGTTTAGAAATGTGCTGAGAAAATCTGTTCTCTGTTAAATCGAAATTAGGGAAAAAATAAACAGGGGGGGCTAATAATTTAGGGGGACTAATAATTCTGAAATCAAGTGCGTGCGTGTGTGTGTGTGTGTGTGTGTGTGTGTGTATATCTATATACACACACACACACATGCACACGCACAGTCAAATAGCTATTAACTTCTTTTTTTTTTTGGTGGGGCCAGTGAAAATTTTGGCAGGGCAAGTAAAAATCAGAACCCTGCCCAGTAAAGTGAAGAGGATACTACAGTATACTGTCAGTGAGTGCCGTCTTTCAGATTAGACGTTAAACCTAGATCCTGACTGTCTGTGGTCATTAAAAATCCCAAGGCACTACTCGTAAAGAGAAGAGGTGTAACCCCAATGTTTCTGGCCAAATTCTCCCAATTGGTCTTTACCAATCATGACCACCCAATCATCTCCATCCACAGAACTGGCTTTATCACTGTCTCTCTACTCCCCCTATAGCTGGTGTGTGGTGAGCGCACTAGCGTTGTTGTCCTGTGGCTACCGTTGCATCATCCAAGTGGATGCTACACACTGGGTGTATGGCCATACATAATAAATGCGCTACATAAATACACATTACATAGTAAAATATTTTAATAAGTTATATAGTTTTATATTTGGCCAAACCATCTGTAGACACGCTCTTTAATCTTTCTGATGCTTTACCGACGCTTGCTCTAGTTTTGCATATTTACACTAAACATGTTCTTACAAATACGCCTTAATAACGAAAAAAAACATTGTGCATTAATAAAGTGTGTTTTACACAGGTGAGTGGGCTTGACAAACCATCTGTAGAAACGTTTCTCTCTCTCTCTCTCTCTCTCAAAAAACAAAAAAAATGCTCACCCCTCCTAACTTTATCACTTAATTATCTGAGCACAAACAGTTGCTTTGTATGTATATATATATATATATATATATATATATATATATATATATATATATATATATATATATATATATATATATATATATATATATATATATATAGTTTTATAGATATATATTGATATATACATTTTTGTAAAAAAAAAAAATTTATTAAAAAATAATATTTTTTTATTGCAAAATAAAAAAGCTGAGAAATTAAACATGCCATACCCATCACTGACTGTTAGGCCATATTGTTGAATAAATTCTGTTGCTTCAGTGGCATTGCGGAACATGAGCATTCTGACAAAGTCCTCGACTGGAAAGATTGTTGATCTCTGGGATCCAACAGTAAAGGCCACATTGAGAATTTTAAGTGCTTGTCTTCTCACCTAATCAAACAGAGACAAAAATAACAAAACATTTGTTTAAATTACAGATACTGTAAGTTGTGTATACAAAATAGTTCAAAAATACTGGCTGCAGAACGAAGGTGCATTTACCTGATTGAAGTATCTGTGAAGTATGCAACTGCTTAAATAAGAAGCTGCACTCACAAGTTTAAAGAACCGGACAAAGTTATTGCTGTTAAGTGCTGCAAAGACCTGCACTGCAAAAGTAACTTCCGGAGACTCTCGTATTTCTTTACGGAACTGCTGCACCTCACTGCAATGAGACAAAATACTATATATTATTTACACCATAAATGCAAGTAGATGATGAGCAAATGATGACAATTTTCATCGAGTGAACTACACCTTCAAAAACAGATTTAAAGACCTAAAAAGAAAAGGTTAGAAATAAAGTTTTACCGAAGAATGTCTCCATCGTTGAGCTTAACCAACACATTGTATTGGCGGAACTCTGCCTCTTTGGGACAGTACACCTCCTTAGTGGCTAGATCTTGATACATCTCCTTTAGACTCTGCAGGCATTTTGTCATATTCTCATTGTTGATCTTGGCATCGAAAGACATCATAGGTTCCTGACAGAGGTGATGGGCGCAGTGAATGTGGAAACGAGTACATTTCTCAATGAGAGATACTGTTTCTGGATCGCACAGATGCTGCTGGGTAATGTCCTGCAAGAAAAGAAGAAATTGTAACAAACTTAATACAGAGAAGAAGTTTATATTAAATCAATTAGTTTTTATATTTAAATGAATAATACAATCAAATCAATAGTAAATGAAGCAATTAAAAGCAATTAAATGCCCACCTTCCTAATGCCTCTGGTTCTGTTCCAGACAAAGTCATACCAGTCACGGCAATTGCCTTCACCCTGGTCCATAATCTGAGTCACCAGGTAGTCCATAGTCATGCTTAGCACAGGAAGGGGTCTAAGCTCATGAGGTAAAGGTTCTTCCTGATCAGCTGAAGACCTGCTATACTCTTTGATAGCAGCATAATGATCCACCTAAGCAGAAGGTGATAATGTAATCCACTCAAAAGTCACCAAAGACACACAAAGTTTGTCACACAAATGACTACACAAATCTTTGAAGGTATCCAAGCATTTAAAGGTAGTAATAACCAAATTGATTATAATTTTGTTATTAATTACTCACCCTCATGTCATTCCAAATCGCTGAGAGCTTTGTTCATCTTTAGAATACAAATTAAGCTACTTTAGGTGAGAGCTCCCTCATCCTCCATATACATATGTAGGTTCCTAACTGGTTTAAAGTGCAGAAGGTTACCAAAAACACCCTCAAAACATACCATATGCCTAGAGCAGTAATACTTTTGTGTGCACATAAACAAAAATAACTACTTTATTCAACAGTTTATTCTCTGTTTAAAACTAAGCACATGCACATCTGAGGTAATATGAGAAACATAAACATCCACCGTATACTGACTGTAAGAAGAAACTGTTAAATAAAGTTATTTTTCTTTATTATGCGCACATAAGTATTCTTGTAGCTTGAAAATATTCTGATTGTATCACTGAAGACACATGAACTGTTTTGAGGATGATTTTCAGTTTCTTTTCTGAACTTTGACTCAGACGTTAACCATGCGATCTATGAAGAATGTGGACAAAAGCTCTTGGAACACATCTAAAATATTTTAATTTGTTTTCTGAATACGAATAAAGTTCTCAGGGGGTTGAAGTGACATGAGGGCGAGTAATTTTCATTTTTGGATAAGCTAACACTAAGTAATATTACCTACTACCTACAATATGACCAAACTCTGACATTAAATCTTAATTTTAGATAAAAACGGCAGAAAAAATGTGAACATAGGCATTATTAGACACTGCATATTATCACAAACCTTTTCAGTATCTGGAACGACCTCAAAGACACTCAGTTGGTTGCGTGTTTCTCTCATATACCGTTCCTTCTCAGGGCACATATCAGGGCATGTTCCCACAAATACTTTAGACATATCCAGGTCTGTTCTTTTGGGTCGAGCTTCAGAGACAAAAGCTTATTATTATAAATGTGTACACTATTACAACAAATAAAACAAACACCATCTTACTATTCGGAGTAACAGTTAATAATTATTTTTGAGATACAATTTTATATTAAAGTTACTGTAATAAAATTAAGCATCAAAGCAACTTTAGGCTTTACCTTGACGTAAGATTTTATCTCTCTGTTCTAGGAGGCGATACCTCTCCTCTGCACATTCAGCCACCTGACCAACCAGAGGCTGCAGAACTGAGGGCAAGATATTTATGGGCCGTTCTATGCTTCGCTCCTCTGAGACAGACTCAAACGGTCCCTCACTTTCAAACTGGAGAGTTTTAGCAATAGAGGATTTCTTTATCGGAGAGCTATAAGAAAACAAACAAAAAAACACAATCAAACATGCAGTAATAAATAAGCATGTGAAAAAAGATCATCAAGCAGAGATGTTTATTATTATGTTCTACATATTACTCTTTTAAAAATTACCCTTTAGTAAGAGAACCAGACATGCTGATGGGATTTGCTCTGGGAAGAGGTTTGTGGATAGGGGGAGATTGCAACAATGCAGATGCAGACTCTGGGTCCTCTATGACATCCTTGATCTCTGAAGGTCTAGCAGGTTTATCACCTGGACCTGTAAATTACAAACATTTTAATGAGCATACAGCATGTTCTTTTAACACAAGAAAATATAAGGCACCATTTGGTAACAAAACACGTGCATTCATTTTTGAAGTGTGAAAATGAGCTCTGAGTTTTTAATTTAAAAAAAACAGTTGCTGCTTATAAAAGACAAAAAAGACAAGATTAAATCAGCATAAAATCACATTTAAAGGTCGCGTGAAGTGCTTTGAAATGTGCATTTTTATTTAACGTTTGACGTAATCTCAACCGAAACATGAAGAGGGTGGGGCATAATATAGCTCCTCCTCTTTTACAAATAGCCAATGGTGTTTTACTTTATTACAACCCTGCCAGTGAGAGTGGTTGAGCTCAAGCATTTCACATGTAAAGCGTCTTGAAGGGGGCGGGGCATGTCAAATACTAGAGAGCATTTGATTGGTCATAATTTGATGAGAAACTGAGTATGAGGTGACTAATAAAACCGTTGATCCATTTAAGCAGAAGTGCCAACTTGCCAACTTTGTATGTTTATATCAGGTTCATATCTTCTAAATGCGAATTTTGTCACTGTTTTGGTGCACATTAGCTCATAGATATCCGAAAAACAAACAATACTGATATTAACAATTTTTATTTCATGGGAGCTTTAAATTTAATCATCAGCACCATGTGATCATCGTTTAATCAAACCACTAAGTATTCCTGAAAAAAAAAAACTTCTTTAAAGTTCTGCTACTCACTTTGTTTTTTTCTTTGCCAAAATATTTGAATTTCATTCCTCTGGAACAGCTTTCCTTTCTTTTTAGCTTTGGCTGCAGACGTCTAGAGGAAGGAGAAAAAAATATGCTCAATTAATCACAAACACTTTCATCCAGTGTATCAACTTTATTGGTAATGAAAGTTCTTTTATTAAATATTTAACTGGACATGCTCACATGATCTTGAAAATGCACAACAGCCAGATTCTTCTGAGGCTTGGAATACACTCTGAGCACTTTCCCAAAGTGCCCGAAATGCTGCATGAGGAGATCTTTCCTGTTAAGATTGGATGGGATGTTTTTGCACTGTATGACCGTGGCATCAGTAGGAGAGAGACCACCCAAACTGTCTGTGCTCTCCTTTCGAGCAGCTCGTCTACCAGAAGCACGCGTCTGTGGCTCAGGCTGGACCGCTAAAAAGAAATCACCTCAGTATTAGCAAGAAAAGTCATTGTAATATTGCAGATGAAAATTAACAATTCATAGTCATTGCATTCATCACACTATTCCAAGTGACTAATTATATGCTCAGGCCTCTATATATTTCTCTATAAAAAGAAAAAGTACAAAGAAATGTCTGTAGGGCTCAACGATAAGGACTGCCCGATGGGCATAGGCAGTATAGACAAATGCTATGGGCGCTGTACATCCAGGGGGGCGCCAGAAACGAGCGCGGTTAAGTTGGTTTTGTTTTCGATATTTCTGACACATTCAGTGATAAACGGCAATAACTAAAAACCTCTTACCCTAAAAAGTATCTGTCCATTATTAAAGTGTCACCTCTGTTATCAAACAAAACACAACGAGAGATTCATTTGCTGCTCTTCACTGAAAAAATATAGTAATTTTAATCAATATACAAATACAATAAAAAGTGAAGTAGATTTTATTGCTTTATTTATTTTCTGTATAGGCCATTGATTTTAATAGGCTAAACCTTTTATTTTATTGTCAGTATTTTCTAATGTTTGCTATGTATTCTATCATTTAAAGCTATTTGTTGTCCCATATCTTTTACATCCCAACGTTGACAGATTGCTAATCAATAAATAGCTATAGTGCTATCTGTTAGTTTTAACGTCAGCTAATGTTATCGAAGGGCATAGATGTTATGGAAAATAGTAAAAGTAATGTAACTACCCCCACCATTCCTTCCTCAAGCAAATGTGTAAATATTAGATCTGTTCAGCAATAACGTTAATTGCATTGGCATATTTATCTGACATTTTCCCAGCTTGTTGTAGTCGATCAAAAAGCTAATTCGTTTCTTATGACTATACACTAGCAGTAGAATTTACAGCAATGTGACAGGGGCGCCGCCTGAAATCTTGCCTAGGGCGCCAAATTGGTTAGGGCTGGGCCTGGCCTGGGGCCAGCATGCGAGACACTTAGGACAGTAAACAGGACGGTTATTGGCCCAATCAGGCCAGTGCTGTCTTGTCACTAAAGTCTCATTTGCCTGCGACTATTTGTCAATTGCGTGCACATAGTCTTAGAATCAAGAAACAGTTAGTGATTTAAGCCTTTAAATGCTACCTTCTCTCTGAAGTCATAAAAACCATATTGCTTTTCGGTTCTATCCTGTCAACAGTGTATTAATTTGTTTAAAAAAAAGGTCCACGACATGAGCCACCTTTTGTTAAATTATTTAGAACTGCAATAAAATACCTGCACATTTTCCATACTGCTCTTGTTGTTTGCATAACAACACCTTAAATTTTGCTCATTATACACCACTAGTCTAAAGTTCTCTTTTTTTTTTGTAAAGAAAATGATTCTGTTCATCAAGGCGGCTTTTAATAAATTACAATTTCTAATAATAATTTATAAATTTTCTTTTCGGCTTAGTCTCTTTATTAATCTGGGGTTGTCACAGCAGAATAAACCACCAACTTATCCAGCATATGTTTTACGCAGCGGATGCCCTTCCAGCTGCAACCTATCACTAGGAAACATCCATACACACACAAACACTATAGACAATTTAGCTTACCCAAATCACCTACACTGCATCTCTTTGAACTTGTGGGGGAAACCTGAGCACCTGGAGGAAACCCACACAAACACGAGGAGAACATGCAAACTTCACACAGAAATACCAACTGACCCAGCTGAGGCTCAAATCAGCAACCTTCTTGCTGTGAGGCGATTGTGCAACCCACTGCGCCACTGTGACGCCCAATAGTAATAATATTAATAATGATAACAACAACAACGATAATACTAACTAATTTTAGAGTGATTTCTGAAGGATCATGCGTCTCTGAAGACTGGAGTAATGAAGCTGAAAAATCATCTTTAAAATCACTGGAATAAATGTTTAAATTAAATGATAAACTACTTTTGAACATTTATTTTATAGTGCAATAACATTTCACAATTTTACAATTTGTACTGTATTTTTGATTAAATAAATGCAGCGTTGGTAAGTAGGAGAAGCCTATTTTAAAACGTGTAAAATCCTACTGACCCCAAACTTTTGACCGGTACTGTACATTTATTAACATTTTTTTTTAAATATTTACAGTTCACAGACGTTATTTTTGATTATCTTTGGGAAATTAAGTTTCATCAAAATTGTAATTGTATTTAAAGATTAAAGAAAAGTTATGCTGAATAAAAAGTGTATGCTGTTATGTTTGGCTTTTGACACATTGTTTATAATATGCGGCTAAGAAATAGCTATTTGCTTTTTTTTTTTGGTGGGGTCAGTAGAAATTTGACACAGCCAATAGAACAAATCCTTAGCGTTGAACCCTGGTCTACATTCTAAAAATTTAAATTTCAGCCATTTGTCTTAAACATATAGTGATATTTGTTTACATAATAAAAAAGTAACCCTCTGCCCTGTATTAATATTTCAAAAATATTTAAATATTATTATTTATTATGCCCTGTGTAACCCAAATGCTGTGATTTGTAAACTTTTCACAAAAAAACATTCACTTTAAAGAACATAAAATTCCTCTTATTCAAAAGACCTCAACAAGGTAACAAAATGACTTTTTAAATATTCCATGGCATATCAGTAGCTTTATATATGATATTTATATTGGTCTATACCAGTTGAAATTGATACTATTCAGTTGTGTCTTTTTAATCTTCTTAACATTAAGATTATCTTTGCCATCTTAAAAAATGCTTTTAAAATAAACTACTAATTTTTATTAAACTCTTGTTATATGCAATCTGCTGTTAAACATAACAAATTTCCTTGTAGCATTTAATTAATTTTTTTTAACATCTGAATTTTAATATTGTCAAAGTCACAAGAAAAGACTTACAGACATCTTCTGCTTTTTTCGAAACTAAGGAAGCCTGAGGCCTCAGAAGTGCAGTGGCCAGATCACTAGATGGACCAGGCGGATCTGGTCTTTCAGGAAGATTATCTTCTCTCTTGACTGGGCTCACTTTGGATTTTAGGACGTCAGACATTGCAACACGGAAGAGCCCTCCAGCCATGACACGGCTTCTCAGAAGTGGGCGTTTGGCAGGTTGTCTTGGCCCGTCTGCTCCAGTTTCACTGGGATCACTTTTAGCTGCATCTGCAGGCTCCTCTTTCCGTTTCATACCAAAACTCACAAAAGCTGTTTCCCCTCCACTGCTCTGCCCATCACCCGTTTTATCTTCGGTTCTTACAGTTTTTGGGACCCCAAAAGCAAAGGGTCCAATCCCAGTACCACCAAACGCAGGCACTTTGGTGTCTGACTGAGGTTGAAGGCTTTGGGGTGTGAAGCTGAAGGTGGAGGGAGTCGTGGGCTGAGAAGCAGATGTACTGCTGCTGGACGGGTTGGCAGGTTGAGAGAAGGTGAACTGAATGCTACTGCCGCCACCACCAACTGTCTCCTTTTGTGAAAAATTAGAATTAGAGAGAGAAACAGAAGGAGCTGCAGCCGGCTGAGAGAAGCTGAAGCCCAGAGCGCTTGGTTTTACGCATGAAAACAGTGAACCACCAGAGGAATTATCCACCACCTTAGAGGATCCAGCAGTTTCTGAAGCAGAAGACATATTCGTGCTTGTTGGTTCCGGACTGACACTAAAAATAGGCTTGAAGACTGCTTCATTTGGTGGTTTGAAAGAAAACTGATTCCCACCTGTGGGATTCTCAGCCCTGCCGCTTATTGAGGAGATGGATGTTGCTGCTGGTACAGGAAGACCAGAGAGCTGACCAAAACTAGGCTGACTAGTAACAGTGCTACTGAAGCTGGTTGAGGAGGACTGCGAGACATAGGAGGGAAGGCTGAATGCAGACGGCTGACCGAAAGCTGAGTTCTGAGTCTGTCCCGTAGCTTGAGAGTATGAAGGTGGTGGTGGTTGTCCAAATCCAAGTGTGCCCCCCTGACCTAAACTTGGCTGCCCAAAGGCAGGGTGTGTTCCCAAAAAGGAAAATGATGATGTTTGCCCCGATCCTTGAGATAACCCGCCGGTTTGGCCAAAAGTGGGTGTGAAGACTGGAGGCTGTGGTGTTGGCTGAACAAAAGCTGGCTGACTAAAAGCAGAAGGTTGGCCAAAACTAACACCCTGTGTTGGTTTCTGCTGGGCAAAAGTCTGAAATAGGTTTCCAGACTGATTAGTGTTCGGTGCCTGAAAGGCAGCTTGTGGTCTGCCAAAGATGTTTGAAGGATTCATAATGGATGAGGCAAGAAAAACAATCGTTAAGATTTAACGTTACTGATCTGATCGTGAGCTAGTCATTACCAACGAATCCTGCAAAACAAAGACAGAAAAGTTACCAATGTTTTACCATTTTATCTATTAGAAGTCACATGACAGAAGTTATTAAATGTAAAGTTAAAAGCTCAAGTGGGACATCGTTAAAAACAAATGGCGATCTGAGAGCTGAATGCCGATTACTTGTTTAACTCCAAAACGAACTACCTAAAAACCTATAATATGTGTATGTGTTTCAAGTCTATATTTTGTACGCAAAAGTCAAGCACATTTCAAATTAAAAAGGAGTAAAAACTGTAAATACTTTAGCGACGTCCTTTTCTTACTCGGACCGGATGTTTATTTCTCTTCTTCGTGAACTGGCGCGTCGATTCAACGAGAGTCTCTGGCGACTGCGGCGTGTACAGGCAGGCAGGAGCATGACAACATTAGCGCATTTCTCCATTTCATTATAAAAGGCTGAATAAAAGTCCATTTCGCCTTGTGGAAATATTTTTAACGCATTCAACTTGCTAAATATTTTAAATAAACAATATATGCAAACACAAAAAACATATTGTACTTTTTTCTGGAAGATACATGGCATGCTTAATGTATTCCACAATAAAAATAAGACAAGCTGTGGACAATGAATTTGTGTTAATGCAAGTCTTCAAAAAAAAAAACTTAATTTGTTTGTCTGATAATTCATTTGCAAAGTACAGTTAATACAAAATGAGCAGATTGTCAAGAAATGCAAGAAATGAAAGTTTTGCAGTGAAATGAACAAATATCCACAATTCCTGTTTCTCCAATAATGAACAAGAACACAGACATTTTGAATTCATTATAAAGTTTAATTGATTTTTACATCTATAAAATATTTTCATGGCTATTATCAGAATGAAATAAATATTATTGAGTGACAAAGTATATTCTTCATACTCTTGTACAGGGTCTTTAACAAAGAACAGAAGAATCATATTCAGTTAAAGCCGTTGACAAATTCACATGAATCACTTCAGCTGATAATTCCTTATGTACATATGCAGCTCATGTCTAGTTGAGCTATGTTTCAGTCTTCTGTCTCTCCACAAAGTGCAGATTGACCTTTTTGTTGGGAACAAGCACTGAACGAAAGTTTGCCTTAACTTCACCTACAGTCGGGTCTGGTCGCATTTCAAACAACTTGATTAGCTGCAATTAAAAACACAATCACAAACAGCACAATAATAATGCAATGTCACTGTCTGACACAGAACTGAAAAATAAATCTCACCCTTGCCAAAGCCAGATGCATTTCCAGTTCAGCAATGCGACGACCGACACAGGCTCTGACTCCAAATCCAAATGGGATTGACCCAAACGGGTTTGGTCTGGTTCTGCCGTCTCGCAGCCAGCGCTCAGGTTTGAACTTCTGTGGTTCTGGGAAGACTTTTTCATCGTGGCTGATTGCATAGTGGAACAGATTAAATGTGGTCTATTTCAACAAACGAAAAAGAAAAAAAATAATTGTATTTAGTGATGTTGATTACAAAATGGACAACATTTTGTTACTTCCTATCCTAACACGAGGCCAATTCACCTTTTTAGGAAAAAGGTATTCACCAATGATGACTTCACTTTCTGCAATAAGACGGGAATTTACAGGCACCACAGGATACAGTCTGCACAGAAAATTACATATGCAAACACATTATAAAGTAATAGTACAGAACATGTGCGCATGTATTTATGATTTTGACAAAAGTCTTGATAAATTTTTTTGTTTCTTTATTACTTATGTCTTTCCCCAATTATTTGAATTGTAGTACATCAGGGTTTTCCTTATATATTTTTTAATATAGTAGAAAAATCTTCCGCGTAGATAAAATATTTACACAGAGGAACAGTTCTTGTACAAAATAAGTGGTTTTACTGTATTTCTGATCAAATATCTGCAGCCATGGTAAGCATAATATAATAATTTTAATGCAATATATCACATTCAACATAATCCTCCACCTTAATGTTTCCTTGATGACGGCTTTGAGGAAAGGCATGCTGTTCACTTCTTCTGCTGTTGGGATTCTGTCACCCTTTAAGACCTTGGTTACCTCCTGATGCAAAGTCTCCTGAGCTGCTGGGTCTTTTGAGAGAAGATAAAGAGCCCACAACATGGTGTTGGAGGTCTAGAACATCATATCAAAAATAATCTTAAACCGTAGTTGTGATGACTTTTCTTTCCTATTATGACTATAGCATCAGACTGAAATAGCTTGTCAAGTAAGACAAAATGTGCACTAAGATTGCATTTTGTAAATTGTACAACCCTGAAAGTAAGAATAGGACTGGGTGGCATATATCAGTAGATTTTTTGTAATCGATATTATTTAAAAATATAATCTACTATGAATCTATGCATTATTTCCATTTTGCTGTCAGGGGTGCTTTCTGCATGTTAGTTTGCACTAAACTCAAATGGTTCGTTCACCCAAAAAATTACATATTTGTCATTAATTGCTCATCCTTACATCGTTCCAATGCCCTGAGACCTTCATTCATCTTCAGAACACAAATGAATACATTTTAGATGAAATCTGAGAGCTCTCTTAACTTCTATATAGAGTGGCGGCCATGGGAAGTTCAAAGAAACAGAACAAAAGCAAAGGAACCAGGTCCCAGTAAAGTACAGTATGTTCCACTGCTGACTAATGACTAGGGATGTCCCAATCAACTTTTTTTGCCCTCAAGTCCAAATCATTTGATTTTGACTATCTGCCTACACCGAAACCCGATCCAATACTTCTATAGTACATTAAAAAATAAAGAAGAATGCAGAAGCAGATCCAGGATGTTCCTTATTTTTTATTTAATTTACCTTATTTGACCATTTAGAGCAAAACAGACTGAGCAGCACTTCTGTGAGGGAGCTTAAACAATCAAGTAATAAATAACATCAATTCTTCACTTTGAACATTAGTGCAACAGTAAATATAAAAATAATCTAATACAAAAACAAAGAGCAGCTCAACTTAAAATACCCAGCAGGCAATCCTAAGTTTACCTATCTTACAGTTTGTTATGGCAATGTTGTCATCAAATTTATAATACCTCCAGACCGCAGACATTTAAGCTGCTTCCGTGTCCTACTTTGCCTGCATTCAACTAATAGCGTCTCTGCAACAAAGTGATGTCATGCTGCACACGTTGCTGTTTCTGTGTGAAGTCAAGAAAGAAGTCTAACTCTGTGCCACCACATAACTATATATGTGTTAAAAAATTATGACTATATATATATATATTATAAATTCTAGTCCTGATCGGGAGATAACATCCGATTATGATCAAGTCTGAATGATCAAGTCTGAATGATCAAGTCTGAATTATGATCAGGCCTGATTTCTGATCACATGATCGGATATAGACATCCCTAACAATGACAATTACATCATTTTGCCCATTGTACAGTGCATCCAGAATGTATTCATAGCGCTTCACTTTTTCCACATTTTTTTGCCCATTTCTCTTTGCAGAACCTCTCAAGCTCTATCAGGTTGGATGGAAAGTGACGATGTACAGCTATTTTCAGATCTCTCCAGAGATGTTCAATAGGATTTAGGTCTGGGCTCTGGCTGGGCCACTCAAAGACATTCACCAAGTTGTTGTGAAGCCACTCTATTAATATTTTGGCAGTGTGCTTTGGGTCATTGTCCTACTGGAAGATGAACTGTCGCCAGAGCACTCTGAAGCAGGTTTTCAAGTTTCTTATGGTCTAAGAGTCCTTCAGAGGCTTTTGGGCAAATTCTAGGCCGGGGAGTGGCTTCCGTCTGGCCACTCTACCATACAGGCTTGATTGGTGGATTGCTGCACAGATGGTTGTCCTTCTGTAAGGTTCTCCTCTATCCACAGAAGAACGCTGGAACTGGCCATCAGGTTATTGATCACCTCCCTGACTAAGGCCCTTCTTCCCCGATCACTCAGCTTAGATGGTCGGCCAGCTCTAGGAGGAGTCCTGGTGGTTCCAAACATCTTCCACTTACGGATGATGGAGGCCATTGTCCTCATTGGAACTTTCACAGCAGCAGAGATTTTTCTGTAACCTTCACTAGCCTTGTGCCTCGAGACAGTCTTGGAGGTCTACAGACAATTCCTTTGTCTTCCTGCTTGGTTTGTGCTTTGACATGCACTGTCAACTCTGGGACCTTACAGAGACAATTGTACGCCTTTTCAAATCATGTCCAATCAACTGAATTTACCACAGGTGAACTTGAGCTGCTAAAACATCTCAAGAATGTTCAGTGGAAACAGAACTTGAGCTCAATTTAGAGCTTCACGGCAAAGGCTATGAATACTTAAAGTATGTGCATGTGAATATTTAGCTTTTATATTTTTAATAAATTTGCAACAACTTCAAAAAATCTTTCTTCACATTGTCATTATGGGGTATTGTGTGTAGAATTTTGAGAAATAAATTAATTTAACCCATTTTGGAAAAAGGCTGTAACATAAAAAAAAATTTGGAGTAAGTGAATATGAATATGAATATGCGCTATGAATACTTTCTGGATGCACTGTAAATGTGCACCCTGACCTGAAGTAAAAGACACAGGCAAACAAAGTTGTCGTTTTGGGTTTTGGTAACACAAAAGTGCTTCATATGACTACAGTTGAACCCCTGAAGTCACATGGAATAATTTGACTTACGTTTTGGTTCCTTTTTGGACTTTAAATGTCTCTGGACCATTGCTGTCTATGGAGGATGAGAGAGTTCTCTGATTTCATCTAAAATATCTTAATTTGTGTACTTAGGATGAATGAAGCTCTCAGGGGATTTGAATGACATGAGGGAGAGAAATTAATAACAGAATTTTAATTTTTTTTATTTCAAACCCTTCTTGTTATAGGGTTTCTTTAGCAAAGATTAATAGTTTTACATTTTTCATTTATCTCTCGTGCTATTGACTTGCTTACTCTTAATGAAAACAGGTGGTCACTGTTTGTAGTACTACTGATGTTGTGTGAAGTCTAGTATATTTGTTGTGAATTGTCAAAATCTATTAAAAGGGCACAATATAGTTTTCATTAACAGCATTTTTGAGTGAATAAAACCTTTATTAAATGAGTGGCTAAAATATTTGTTGTTGGAAAATAAATGACATATTTTACACCTTCAACTAAATGCATCGTTACCATAGAAGCAAGTGTAAAGTGACAATCATAACAGGGTAATCAAAATAATTTAAATTGCTAATAATTCAAATAGAACTTCACCGTGAGAACGTTACACATACTGTATGTTACATATGCACATTTTCTAGAAAGAACCATGTATTTCTGTCAGTTTGCTTAATGGCCAGGAGTTGTTAATAACACAGCTTTCTGAATTCTAAACAGCCAATATTTAAAACTCTTACAAATGTTGTTTACATAGTCAAATCTATAGAAGCGTCTTACTGT